TCCCACTTACACATCTGTCTGTATCTGAGGAAGCATGTCTGCCAGTACAGGAAGGGAGCAAAGCTTTCTATAATAAATGGCATCATCTGCCGTGGGGGAAGTCATTGCCAATGCATGCACTCACTCACACAACTCATGCACTCACACAACTCACTCGTTCGTGCAACTCACTCATGCATTTCACACACCTCACTCATCCATGCAACTCACACACCTCGGGAAGTCATTGCCAATGCACGCACTCACTCACGCACCTCACTCACGCAACTCATGCACTCACACAACTCACTCGTTCGTGCAACTCACTCATGCATTTCACACACCTCACTCATCCATGCAACTCACACACCTCACACACTCACATATCTCACCCACTCACACAACTTACACACCTCATGTGACTCACTCACTCTGTATTAGCTAGTACTGTGGGTTGCAACTGACAGATCCTTACCTGAAATTAGGGGATTCCATTGCAAGGGACATCTCTCAGAATAGTTGTGCCCCTGAATGGGTTCAGAGCAGTTGGGCTTCAGGAACAACCGGAACTATTGACTGGAATGTACTTTTTCTGTGCACGTCTGATTCGCCCCTCTCCTTTTCTTGTAGACTGGCCACTTCACATCGATGAGAGAGAAACATCGATCAGCTGCCTCCTGCACACCTCCTACTGGGGATGTGCCCGCAACCCAGGTACATGCCCTTGACCGGAATCGAACCTGGGACCTTTCAGTCCGCAGGCCGACGCTCTATCCACTGAGCCAAACCGGTTCCGGCATGAGCCTTCTTTCTTATTTGGAGGCTTCTGCATTGGTTTCCTTCTGTGCCAAGAGGGTGGTGACATGAAGGGCAGTGTCTTAGTAGATGTCCCATTGGGAACTTTTGGACAAGCAACTGTAGTGGCCCCGTGGGTTACTATTGTCTACCTTCTGAATTTAAAAACTGGTTGGTAGAATTGGAAGTAGGAGGAGAGAAAAAATTCTGGCAGAAATGAGCTTGGGAAGGGATGTTGTTCTGGAGAAATGAGCCTGAAACTTAAGAGAAAAATGATCCATTCTGTAGAAAATTCTTATACGCCACGTGTGCTCTTGGCTCTAGATTTGATTTTTCTAATGAACCATATCTGACAGACAGATAGTCCTAAGGTGTTCAGTGATGGTATTTAGCCTTCAAAAATCAATCTCATTCAAAAAATAGTGAGCTATCCCCAAAAGTACATTTGCTATTTGGATAGTGATTTGCACTCCTACGTTTTTTTCAGTAATCAGATTGTGTGAGTCATGATTGGAATCCTCACCTTCATCCTCTCCACTTTGTGTGCTTGGGAACTTAGACACGAAGAGTTGGTTTTGATACGTGAGATTCACATCTCAAGCCTTTGTTAGGAATTTTAGAGTCAGGTAGGTCTAGTTCAAATCCCAGCTCTCCTTGAGGGCAGAAAACTTCACACTAGGCAAGTTACTATACCTCTCTGAGCCTGATTTCTCAACCATGAAGGACATAATTTTTGTTGCAGCTCAAGCTCAGTGCCTGCTTTCTAGTGGGCAATCAATGACTTCTGGTTTCCTCTCCCAAGAGTGCCAAACTTGCATTCCAGGCACTGTTTATTTATCTCGTCTGTCTTATTACAATACTTAAGTGTCTGGGAATTATAATGCATAAGGAATACATGAGATATTTTTAATCACAGTGTCTTATACTCAGAATTATCACAAAGCCAGTCAAAAAGAAAAATAATATCCAGATTGTTCACTTTTTTTTTTAAGATTAAAGCCTTCATTTTAGAGATATTGGATTTAATGTGACAGTTTTAGAGGGACAAACAGTTTGTAACTTGAGAGTACATCGCAGCTGAGTGGCCAGAGGTCAATCCCCTTTGTAAAATAAATTTTGAAGCACATGGATGAAAAAGGATGTTATATTAGCTAGCACATTTGCTATAATCATAAAAACCAAAATATGGCTTTCTTCCATTTTATTAGTACTTATAAAATAAAAACAATTTATGAATATATGTCCCTTTTCAAGATAGAGAAACTACAGTCTTTGCCAAAAATACACACCCATAATTATTGAAATACCAAATTGCTCACATTTAGCAAGTCACTTGGTTTTAGGGTAGCATAGATATTTAAGTTAGCATAAGTGTAAGAGACAAGATTCTCAGTAATGTCCAGGTTACAGTAACTCTTCACCTACTTCTCAGTCATATATTCTAAATCCCACCTGTATCCCACTTACACATCTGTCTGTATCTGAGGAAGCATGTCTGCCAGTACAGGAAGGGAGCAAAGCTTTCTATAATAAATGGCATCATCTGCCGTGGGGGAAGTCATTGCCAATGCATGCACTCACTCACACAACTCATGCACTCACACAACTCACTCGTTCGTGCAACTCACTCATGCATTTCACACACCTCACTCATCCATGCAACTCACACACCTCACACACTCACATATCTCACCCACTCACACAACTTACACCACACCTCATACTCACTCACTCTGTATTAGCTAGTACTGTGGGTTGCAACTGACAGATCCTTACCTGAAATTAGGGGATTCCATTGCAAGGGACATCTCTCAGAATAGTTGTGCCCCTGAATGGGTTCAGAGCAGTTGGGCTTCAGGAACAACCGGAACTATTGACTGGAATGTACTTTTTCTGTGCACGTCTGATTCGCCCCTCTCCTTTTCTTGTAGACTGGCCACTTCTTCCTTTTGGTCCATGTGGCAAAGGGTCCCTAGTCCAACAGTTTGGAAAGAGACACAGCGATAGGTAACTGGTATCAGATACCCATCCTCTACCAGTCAGTTATGCCCAGGAGGGCATGATCATTTAAAGACTTGGTGGCTCCTTCAAGAATTATATAGATGAAGGGGATGAGGAGAGGAGCACAGAAGGGGAGTGCTGAGCACAGAGTTCCAGAGATGCCCACACACCCATCCTGCCGTCCCAGGGAATACACACACAAAAAACAACACTCCCGAACTGAGAGGTTGCTTGCAGCCAAGTGATGGGAGACAGATGTGCAATTAAATAAGTGGAATAGAGTGATGTTGGCTTTGTAACAATGCATGCAATAATGCATGTAAAGAATGGTGTCATAATGGAAGTAAAGAATCGGTGATCGGTTAGGTTAGCTCTGACACACCTAGCTTCTGCCAGCAGTGATGGCTACATAGCTGGGCACATGGCCGGCTTCCTGAAAATACTTGAGCCAATTGAATTAGGTATTCTGGAGACTCGGGCTCGCCTTGGCGTTTTCTGAGTATAAGCGTCATGTGCTTTTTCATTAAGAGGCCTCTTCATCAGAATACCTTTTTGAATTATTCATTGAGTTCTTTTACAAGGGGAGAATTAAGGACATCATCAGGATTTTTTCATTTCAGCTAATTGTGTTGTGTTTCCGAGAATTCAAATGACCTGAATATTAGTTTCCTTTGCTAGCTCTCTAAACTGGTATTAAAAGACCTCCAGTAAGACTTGTTATACAATTCAGCTAGCCTGGCACTGAACTGCTTGTTAGTCACAAATTCCTGGCTTATAAGATGAAGACATACCCTTGTTCCTTGTCATGGGTCCCGCGAGCCTTTGCCATTGTCCCTGTCCGTTGCTATTGTAGTGACCTGCACTAAGTCCACAAATGGTCTCATGGTTAGCGTCCTCCAATTTGCTCTTTTTCAGGCAGAGCATACTGATCCCTTTTCCATCTTCTATTATATTGGGTCGACTTTCTGTCTTATTCCACAAATCTGTACCCTTGAAGCTTGGGTACCTCAGGCTGAGCACAGTTTGCTTCAGTCTCACCATCTTGGCTTTGTTTCTCACACTCATATTTTACCAAGGCTTTTATTGTCCTTCATCTGCTCTCTCTCTACCTTTGCTTGCCTTTACCTTTGGTTTAAATTAAACTTCTTATTTTGAGATCATTGTGATTTCACATGCAGCTATAAGTACAGACAGTCCTCGGGTTATGTCGGACTCAGAGTACATCGTTTCATGGTTACGTTGCCATCTCTCATTTATTTATTAAAAAAAAAAGTTCTGTCATTTCAACGTATGTACTTATGTGCTTCATGTTTTTTATTATTTATTTACCACAAGTAAAGGTCAGGAATTGTTATCTTTCTTTTAAATTTCTTTTACTGTTTCACTTCATTACTGCTGTGTATGTGCTCCATGTGAGTGACGTAGGTGCTTATGTAGGTAGGTTCAGACTTAGGGTGAAAACCGCGTTACGTCGCGCCGTAGGAATGGATCTCTGTCGTAACCCAAGGACCTACTGTAGTGATATTCTCTACCAAGTCCCCTCAGTGGTAACATCATCTTACAATACTATTGTACAGAATCATATTGTACAGTTATTGACATTGACAATCAAAAAAAAAATACAGAACAACTGCCATAATATTTTGACTTTTACGCTTCTTCTCATTATTCTTTTCTTTATTCACCTCTTAGACTCTTCTCCCTCTTCTCAGTTATATATTCATAGTCCCAGGTATTTAACTGAGTCCAGAATCCTAAAGATTTATCTTCTCTTTGATAGATACAGTTATTGACATTGACAATCAAAATACAGAACAACTGCCATAATATTTTGACTTTTACGCTTCTTCTCATTATTCTTTTCCTTATTCACCTCTTAGACTCTTCTCCCTCTTCTCAGTTATATATTCATAGTCCCAGGTATTTAACTGAGTCCAGAATCCTAAAGATTTATCTTCTCTTTGATAGGTTGGCTAAATTCTCATGTTGTCAGAGTTTCTAGGGATAGCAACTCCCATGTTTTTCTTTAAATCACTTCCCTAGAATAAATATAATTGGGATGGCTTAAAGTGGCCTTAAAATGCATGTGAGAACCTGATCTGCTATGGGTTCTGCTCGCCTTAATTTCAGGCAAGTCACATTAGGGTGAAGAATGTGTGGGGGCCGGTACAGTACTAATTCTTTGAGACCTAAGAGCCCTGATCAAAGGCACTTTCCCCCCAAAGGACAGTTCTGCACGGAGGATGTGGACGAGTGCCTGCTGCAGCCCAACGCCTGTCAGAACGGAGGCACCTGTACCAACCGCAACGGAGGCTACGGCTGCGTGTGCGTCAATGGCTGGAGTGGAGACGACTGCAGTGAGAACATCGACGACTGTGCCTTCGCCTCCTGCACGCCGGGCTCCACCTGCATTGACCGCGTGGCCTCCTTCTCGTGCATGTGCCCCGAGGGAAAGACAGGTGAGGCCAGCAGAACGACAGAGCTGGACACTAGGGAAGAAATCCTGAGCAGTCAGGATTTCTGCCTTCTTCTCTTTCATGTCGGTAGCTGTGTCCTTTTCATTACCAATCGGTAGGTACATATCACTTAAGATTGTTCTGGAAGTCTAATCGGTAGCCAAAGTGCTATGGAGCTAGTCTTTCCTGATCGCTTTTGGCTCTCCTCTCAACTCTATGTTAACGCAGTCTTTCGTCCTAAAAAAACGAAAGTTAGTCACGATTGCTTTGGGGGCATCTGCTGACCTCCTTATGACCTTAGGCTGAAAAGCGCCTCAGAAATTAAGACAAAATGACTAATGGATGTAGAGACTTCATATTAAGAAGAAATAGCCCACTTGCTCAGAAGGAGTTGGCAGGACAGAAGCATGTAAGTGCATTCCAGCTCCCAACGTCTATAGAAATATTGCCCTCGGGGTGGGTTTTTACTGACTTCAGAGTTAACAGTGCTCTAGCTCCTCAGTTTCACAGCTAAGGAAGGGAGGAAGTTGTGGAGAAAGACAGCTTAGGTGCGGGAACTTGGGGCCCAGCAGTTCTGAAATGTCCTCATATCTATGCCTTCCGAGGAGCCCCACCTCCAGCCTTGCAGCAGGAGCCTTAGCTGCCTGTTCTTAACCTAGTTGCAGAGTGGAAGATCCAGTTCCCGCGTGAACCATGCAGAACATGGGGCCAGCTAATATCGCCTCAGTCCTGAGGGCACTTGAGCCAGGAATGCTGACACTATTAAAGGGCTGCCCGAGCATAGGCTGATGCTGTTGCACTGGTTTTTTTTCTTCTGAGGCTAGTGAAATGCTGACGCCTCTTTGGTCACCGGGTGGCATGATTTGGGGAAAGTAGGTTAGCAAATAAAATAGAGATGCATGCAGCAGTTTGGACATACAGTAGAAAATGACTTATTGTCTATCTGAAATTACTGTTGAACTGCATATCCTCTGTTTTTGCTGCTCAGTCGGAGGGCTGTAGGAAGGTTATTGCCCTCTGCCTGTCTCTGTCGTCTGTCCGTCTCACTTATGGCCCTTGAGGAGCCGTCTAGCCGAGGGTGAGGGGGAGGCCACCAGGGTTGTCTGCAGAAGCTCCTGACTTGCAGCGTGTTCCTGAGGGAGGATCAGGAGAAAGGAAAGTTTCCTCAATCTCCATGGTGGATTTTGATGAGACAGTATAAGGCTTTCCCTCCTCCATGAAAGAGACAACTCTTCCTCAACTGGGGTCATTTTCTCTTTGTTCTTGTGACAGGACTCTTGTGTCATCTGGATGATGCATGCATCAGCAATCCGTGCCACAAGGGGGCACTGTGTGACACCAACCCCCTGAACGGGCAGTATATCTGCACCTGCCCACAAGGCTACAAAGGGGCTGACTGCACAGAAGACGTGGATGAGTGCACCATGGGTGAGTTCCCCGAACCTCTCCTCTTCCTCCCGTGTCTGCGAGCTCAGCAAGCATTTAAACTGAAGTACATTTTGCCCCAGATCTCCTGTTACTTGACCATTGTTTACAACCATCCTTTCAATGTAATCATATATTCTAGTCTGGGAATTGACATATACAGGTGGTCTGTACTTGATTCTTAATATAAAGCCCGACCTTAGAGACAGTTTGGGCAAAAGAGCAGCCAGAGACACACGAGAGTGAGGTTGCCTAGTCTAATTAATTAATTTGTTCACAAGAAAATGGGAAATTGAGAATCAGACTACGAAATGCCTGGCCCTAACGCTTGTAACAAGCAGACCACGTCTGTAGTCCACACATGTGGAAACTCGGTCGTGCTGTGATCCTGGTAACTGGTGCTTTTGTCTTTCAGCCAATAGCAATCCTTGTGAGCACGCAGGGAAATGTGTGAACACAGACGGCGCCTTCCACTGCGAGTGTCTGAAGGGCTACGCGGGGCCTCGCTGCGAGATGGACATCAACGAGTGCCATTCCGACCCCTGCCAGAACGACGCCACCTGTCTGGATAAGATCGGGGGCTTCACATGCCTGTGCATGCCAGGTACTTGGGCCCATCCGAGTGCGGGGTCTCGGCTGGAGGCACTGAACGGCGCTTCTCTGAGGTGGAGCACTCAGCACAGTGTGGCCATTCCGTGAGCCCCGTCAGCATCTCCTTCCCAGTAGTGACGGGGCTCCCGGCCAAGGGGCCCTTAGAGTGAGGCAGTGCTAGACTTCTTAGAACTGGGAAGGCCCAGGTAACCACGCCTATCATGTCAAAACCCAGGTTCGTGCAAGAGAAAATTTCAGAAAGGAGTGTTTTTATGCCAAGATTATTTAATACAGTATTTACCATAAGTGTCCTTTAAGTAGCAAGCCTTCCTGATTCCCTTACGTGTTACAAATACCATGCCTTCCCACTTGCAGAAATTAACTTTACCCGTAATTCTGTAGGAACCTGCCATGGCCATGTCCCATGATTCATGAGTTGTCCCCTGGAGCTCTTACGCAGGGACCGTTTCTGAGTTGGCAGAGAGCACAGCCAGTGCCTCTCACAGTGGAGGCTGCAGTGCTGCTGCCCTGTCACAGTGCTGGCGCTCTAGCCTGGGAGCCTCCTGACCTTGCCTTGCACCCTGAGGGCAGCAGCATCTCTGACTCAGCTGGTCTTTAGGAACAAGCAGTGGGGATCCCTCGGGCCTGGTGCTGCCCTGAAAGCAAAGCCTGGACTGGTCAGAGAACATGGCCCAGTCTTTGTTGGCACGTGAAGTGTGACCAGGGTCTTGGAGGTACCCTCATCCCCTTCATCACAGTGACCCGGATGTCCCAGAGGACACCCCTGTGTGATCTAACTGTCACTCTCACGGCATAGTTCCCCGGTCCTCTGCAGAAATGTCTCTGCTCATGAAGGATGTGGCCATCTTTGTAAGTTTGTGCTTTCTTGGCTAGAATACACCTTTCTCTCTTTCTAAGCCATTCGTGTGGTTCGTTTCCTTCAGGTTTCAAAGGTGTGCATTGTGAGTTGGAGATAAACGAATGTCAGAGCAACCCCTGTGTGAACAATGGGCAGTGTGTGGATAAAGTCAATCGCTTCCAGTGTCTGTGTCCCCCTGGTAAGTGCCCACCACCTGCCCTGCTATCTGCAGAAGCACAAAGCTGACTGACCCCGGGGAAGGGAGGATCGAGAGCAGGCAGAGAATGTGTGTGGGCTGTGCATGCGGAAGTCATTAAAGTGAGCCCTTCAGGAAGGAGATGTGTGTACAGAGTCGGGGAGTCTGTCTCAGCTAGTGTGTCCTCCAAATCCTCTGTGGCCACAAGTCCAAGTCTGTTCGGAAAGGCCCGTGACCTCTCTGTCTGTGTGTACATTTCAGAAAGTTCATGCCTCACAGAGGCCTTCGTTTCAGGCTCTTCGGGATTGTATTTTTCCCCCATGGGTTAGAGTCTCGAAGCCCGTTGGTGGGATTATTATTTTTAGACATTTCACCTCTGAGTCCAGAAACGGCCAACATAAGTCAGTTTTTCCAAAGAATGCTCCGCCTCTTCTCTCCCTCCCCAGAGCTATTGTTGAAGACACGCCAGGTTTTCTGCCACACACTGTGGTGTCTCTCATTTTCAGTCTCAGTCCCTCTGAGGCGAAGCTCACTTGTTGGAGTGCTTCCCTGTAACCGTTCAGGCCTGTTTTAACGAGAAGTGAAAAGTGTGGGGAAGAAACAGAGGTGGAGACACACACCGGTGCCTCTGTGCCCTGAGCTTCCCCCTGTTGTCCTGGTCACTTGCTGGGGAGAATAATTTCACTTTTGCTGACCCTTTGGCGTAAGGGAACTCAGCCCCACGCTGCTCGGGCACCATTGTCGGAGTGAAGGCGGACGTGGGATAATCCTGTGACTTGTGTCCTCCTGTGCCCTTTGCAGGCTTCACCGGGCCCGTTTGCCAGATCGATATTGATGACTGTTCCAGCACTCCGTGTCTGAACGGCGCCAAGTGCATCGATCACCCCAACGGCTATGAATGCCAGTGCGCCACGGGTGAGATTCTTCTCATTTTTCACCCCGCCCCCAGGTCCACCTGAACAAACAGGAGACTGTCCTTGTCCCGCTGCCCTACCAGCCCCGGGCACTGGAGGGACTGTTCTGCGTTTAGAGAGGTCTTCTTCCAGCTTGGTTTTTGCCGCTCTCTCTCCACTATTCCCTTCTCCAACACCTGCCTCCTTGTCCACCACAATAGTGGCCTGGCCTGGACATTGCCATTTGGTGTCCGTGTCTTTTTGGGACAGATTTTGGCAGCGGTGAGTTTCCAGCTGGCTTGACTTATTCCTCTGGGGAAGGGAAACATTCCAGCTGAAAGCTCTTTTTCACTGGGGGCTCCTCAGCAGGAGGCTTGTTGCTGTGTTTCTTGAGGCAAGGCATTGAACAAAGGCCCAGAAATGTAAGGGCTGTTGTGTGCAAGTGCAGACGCTTCCTGCAAACAAGGCCACATGCCCTAGGAGTCAGGTGGTTCTCAGACAGGTGCAAGAGCTCTGAGTCCTCTCTCCTGAATTCTGCTACTACAGTGAAAAAGAATCCGTTTGTAAATATTCTGCATGTCTGGTCTGTGGCCACAGTTCCCATGTGGGAGTGATCTGAATAAGCCAAACATCCCGTTACACATTTGCTTCAGCCCAGACCAACACTGTGGAAGTGGACTAGACATTATTAGGAAAGGGGACATTCCAATTTCTTTTTTATCCCTCTGCTTAAGAGAGAAAGAAGTTAGGAATAGAATTAAGGACAATCTTCTCATTTTAGAAAATGGGTTCTTAAACAGTTTTAAACATTATGTGCATTTCTTTCTGATCACAGAAAAACAATATCATGGAAACAAATGATTACTATTTCCGTAGTATTGGAGCATCACCACTTACTAGGCCTACTTAGACTAGGCCCTGTCAGGGAACCCTGTACCCACTTCTGTCTTCATGAACTGTTGTCTCTGGCTGGAGGAGTTCCGGGTTCTGTCCTCCTTTGGCAGCTTATGCTCATGGAGAGTGACCTTCGGGAGAGAGAGGTGAAACACCCTGAGTCATGCTGAGAGGGAAGGAGAGGCTTACTGGAGCCCCCGAGAAGAGATTTAATGTCAAGTGAAGGAGTTTTCATTTGTCCCAGTTTCATTTAAATGCTTGTAACTTGGTCATTCATTTTATTCAACAAGTCTTTATGGAAAACTTACTATATATGCATAGTACGATGGGGGCAGTTGAGGAATAAAGAAAAGTTCTCTGTTCTGTCAAGCCAGAATTGGGAGCCCAGCCAGTGTGGCTCAGTGGTTGAGCATCGACCTATGAACCAAGAGGTCACGGTTCGATTCCCTTACAGGGCACATACCCGGGTTGCAGGTTCAGTCCCCAGTAGGGGGTGTGCAGTAAATGGCTGACCAATGTCTCTCTCTCATTGATGCTTCTATCTCTATATCCCTCTCCCTTCCTCAAAAAAAAAAATGGGGAAGATAAGGTCCGTGGAACCATGAATACAGTCCCTGTATATTGGGTTTGGGAGGAAAAGAATATAGAGGTAAATATACCCAGGAAAGGTATTGAGGCCCAGTATGGGGTGAAGCTGCAGTTGAAGCATCTCTGCCAGGACAGCTTCGATCCCTTAGGAAGAGGTATTTGAATTCTGCAGATTCAATCTGAAGAACTTTATTTTAAGCACAGCTCTCTGGGCCTGCCTTATGAATCAATGCCAATGGTCAGTGTCAAGCGCTCATTCCTACAGGATGAATTCAGGCATGGGGGGTGTAGGGTACGGGGATGTGGCTCCATGTATGTTCAGGTGTGGAGTATCTGCCTTGGTTCTTAAGCCTCCTTGGTCACATTCCTTCCCAGGATTCACTGGCGTGTTGTGTGAGGAGAACATCGACAACTGTGACCCCGACCCCTGCCACCACGGCCAGTGTCAGGACGGGATTGATTCCTACACCTGCATCTGCAACCCCGGGTACATGGGCGCCATCTGCAGCGACCAGATAGACGAGTGTTACAGCAGCCCCTGCCTGAACGAGGGCCGCTGCATCGACCTGGTGAACGGCTACCAGTGCAACTGCCAGCCCGGCACGTCGGGTAAGCCCACCCCCTCCCTGTTTCCTTTGGAGCTGCTAACGTAAAAAAACATTCAAACCTGTGAAGCATTTTTGTGAGTGTATTTGAGTCACACTGTCAACAATTCCCGGGATACAGAATCTCAACGGATTGGGACAATGCTTGGAGAGTGGCAGTTTTTCACCTTGATTTATACATTACAATCAAAGGAGGAGACGTAATTGGGTTACATGACATCTATTGGTGATAGATTAGGAGCCGGGAGAAAGCAAAAGGGGGGGGCAAGCTCTGGGATTGGATAAAAAGTAAAATGATAGACACGCACTTCTTAGGTGGGTGCAGGATAGTTAACAGTCAACAATTAACTCAATAACAATGAGGGGATTTGTAGTCTCCGTAGAGTGGTGCCTGTGCTTTAAGGGGTCTGGAAAAAGGAAAAGTACTTTGACTTTACAACAATATGTAATGCAAAAAGGCAGTAGGCTCAGTTAAGGTAAAGATTTACCCTTGTCAGGGAAGCTACCGGCCTAGGATGCGACTACCCACCATAACTGCTTTTAGTTAAAGTTTTAATTTCAGACCCTCCTTTGTGACTACGTTAGGCCTTTGAGTTTGCAAGACCGCCATGCAGGCCTTCCCTGAGCTTGTCAGGTTAGCATGTGGCCCCTTTTTCATCCAGAGTGTTCACTGCTTCTCAAACACGATTTACACAGATGTCTCAGACTTCCTGGGCAGACGCTTACATACCTAAAACACAGTCCTTTTTCCTGAGAAGCTTGGCCAAAGCCACAGTCAGAAACATCTCTGAGGGAGCTGGCTCCAGCCAGGGAAGAAATGAGAGACAATCGTTTCTCAAAGCTGGTGATTTTAGGCATGTGTTTCCCTAAAAGAAGCATACCGCTTCAAAAACCTGCAGTTATTCTTTAAAATGGAAAACCTTGCTTTTGTGGCTTGGTTTTATTGTCATCTTTTTCTGTAACCTCCACTGCAGGCTAATAAAGTTGTGCCCCCGCGAATCCCCTTTTTCCATCCCCACCCCCTCCTGTCTTTCCAATCGTTTTCTCGATTTCAGAGTCCAGTATCTTTAATGTGACACCTTTCTTCTGCCACTTGTCGCTGGTGGGCTTTGGGCAGTTGTGGGGATTGGGAGAGGGAAGAGAGACTTTGCAGCTCCCTGTCATTGAAAATTAGAATGCGGGGCCACCATTCCTCATCCCAGCTCCTCGCTTCCTGACTACAGTTCATTCCTGCTGGCTGGGAGGGCAGGCTGCTCCTTGCTGGGGGTGTTGAATTACTTGCTCAGGCAGCAGCATTTCACAGGTTTCACTGGATTCTGTTTTACTTATTGGAGGAATCATTATGGTCACAACTGTGGTTAATGGACAGAGAAGCACTGTGTCTCAGATCAAAGAAAAGTGTACCAGTGGAAGATTAACCAGTGGGTGCCTTCGTCAGAGCGGACCTGCCAGTACAGCGCACTGATTTATTGAGAACTCCTCTCCCTTTAAGGACAATGGCCTAGGTGGGGGCAAAGGTGGGGGAGCTGCCCTCATTTTACTTTGTGATTTCCAAACGCATTCCTTCAAACTTGTCAAGGGCCCTGGGCTTCTTCCAGGACCCGCACATGCCAAGTTTGAAAACAAAGTCCTTTTTGAGTTGCTCGAGCATATGAAAAACATCCCCTGCCTCACAGTGGCAAATGCCTCCCCTCCCCACGTTTAGATAACTCCCCAGCAGGGCTGAATGGATCTTTGTGAAACCCTCCAAAAGCAATTTGCTTCCGGGCTGGTCCCCAGACATGAGACATTGCAGTAGGAAAAGGAATTTGAGAGACTTACCAGCAACTGAATGGATGCCTGTAGGATGGCGGGGCTGCTCTGGGCCCCATTGTAACAAGCTCACCGGAAACCCCTGGAAACCGGGAGCTGGTGGGGGAGCAGCACTTGGTTTTCTCTGTGATGGTTATCACTGTGGCAGGAAGTATCAGGTGTGTTCCCTGGGGGGACAGCGAAGGCAAGGTGTGAGGAGCTGTCAGTGGAAAGGCAGGAAGTAGCTGTGAGGGGTGTGCAGGCAGCAGAGAGAGGGAAGGCCCAGAATCTCTCAGAAAGCTGCCAGACCTGTTCCTGTGGCATCAGGAGCCTTAAAGCAGAGAGACCCAGGCTACATAAAGGCATCTTGTAATGGGCGGAGAAAGGCCCGGCATGGAGGGCCCCGGGGGAAAGGATCCATTCAAATAGTCGTTATGAATAGACTCTCAAGTTCCAGAGTAAGAATCCGCGACCCATTCAGAATGCGGTCCTAGGTGGCGGGCTGGGGTCTGGATGAGTGTGTAGACAGAGGGAAACTTTACAACTTGCTGCTTGTAATGTGGCTTCTCGCTCAGTGGGCACTGAAAGTGGGGTGCACTACCTGGAATCGCTTCTTTCGCCTGTGCTCTTACGATGGGACACTGTTCTAAGTAAGTTATTTTTGGTTTGAAGTCACAGAATCCAATTTGACTAGCTTAAAGGATTATAGACAAGCAAGCAAACAACAATAAAACTGCAGAAAGAATTTAGTGAGAGCACAAAAAAGCATCTCGTGGATTTCAGGTGAGTTTGGAGCAATAGGCTTTGCAGAGATTCGCAGGGAGCAGGGCCATTTGCAGACCAGAGCTCACACCGTCATACTCCTGCATTCCAATGACAAAGTCTCACTGGCCCAGTGGGCGGCTGTCTCTTCCTGCTCAAGTAAATTTTTGATGTAATTATTGTTAATAAATATTAATGCAAAGTGAGTCAAAATTATGGCATTTTGTCATGGAAGTTTCATTTCTTAATTTATAATCCTTATTATCAGGTTTTATTTTTTAGACTTTTTAAACTACTGAAGTATTCTATGATACCCAAAAAAGCATCACTAAATTCATGTTAATTATATCGTGAAATATGAGTATTTTTACCGAATAATGCTAGCAATAATGATTGGTATATCTCTACTGTTTAGTTACCCATATCTTCAGTTAAAGCTTTTCTAACACAGCCAAACTCCACAGTTTTTTCTGGGAATCGACCAGAAGGAAGACAACATACTCCAGGAGGAAGTTTTCAGACTCTTTAAAGTTTATCCTGAGTTGTAACCAGAATAGTGACTGTCAGTTTAAAGCTTATAGTGGTTCCAAAATTCTAATTTTCATGTGAAAGCTTATATTTTATCTTTGGAACACAATACTATCAGTTTTTGCTTTTTTTGAAATAACAGGTTTACTCTTTGCGGTTAATATGAACTAAATAGTTCGGTGCGAATAGCCCTGGTTTGTCTTGTCAGTTGTTCTTTTGATGAAAATGGGATTCCATGAAAAAAAAACAACTGCTTCCGTTCAAAGCTGAAATCATCAAACAACTGCTTTTCCTGGAGGCACCTCTGCACGTTGGCATGTCACCAAGCGGCCTCATGTGTACTTCCCAGGTCATCACACAGAACAGTGGACATATAAACAGTCAAGGGTCAAGATGTAATAAAAGGATAAAGTTAATCATCTTACTTCACCAACGTCATTCTTAAGGGAGCCTGTCTTTTTCTCTGGTTTTTGCTGCGAGTGCACGGATGTGATGGATACAGTGCCCACCGCTGCAGTGTGGCACCGCTGCTCTGATTCCCGCCATGGCTTCTGCCCGTTTGTGCCAATGCCAACACAGTGAAAAAGGCACACAGGGGCTCAGTGCGATGAATGAGATCGCCTTGCCCCCATGATCCCTCCGGCAGCATTGCTGCTTTCCCCAGGGCTGGCTGGATACTCTAGCTTTCTCAACCAGTTAACTGCCATGCGTCCAAAACGGAAACCATCTATACGTCTATAGACGCTTATGGCGTACAAAGGGTTAACACTTAGGGTCCCAAGCAGACATCCTTGATATGTTGGTGGAAATATTGCATGGTTCCTCTTTGCTCTTATCCTTGCAGGTGTTAATTGTGAAATCAATTTTGATGACTGTGCAAGTAACCCGTGTGTCCATGGCGTCTGTATGGATGGAGTTAATCGTTACAGTTGTGTCTGCTCACCAGGATTCACAGGTAACGCCCCTTGGTGTTGGGAGGTCCTACTTTCAGCCCCATTGCTTGGGAAAAGGGCATCTAAAGGAACATTACTTTTTAAATGTTTTCTATTTGTTTGTCTCTGGGAAGTTTAGACTTTTGTTTCTGTGCTTCTCTGGCCCTGTTTTCTAGTTACAGGCCTTCCCTGAACTGTAACATGAAACTTTTCATTAGTTAGGGGTTTTAGACCATGTGTTTATAGCCACCTGAAAAGAACTTTCAGTTATACCCAGAATTTATCACTCACTGTGCTTGAGTTATATTTTTCTGTAATGGCATAGCCAACGTAAAATTCTTTGAAAACATTAAAAACTTTTTTCTGAGTACTACTTCTAATGGGAGCTTGTTGGATGAAGCCAGATCCAACCTCATATGGCTAGCACAATTGAGATTTTTTTTTCTCCCCAAGAGGAACGGAGTAAATGCCTAAAATAAAGTTGGCTAGAATCCTTCCTAAATTATAAGCAGCTAGAGCATTTAACACATGTACACATGTGTGCACACAAGTTTTCCCTTTTTTCTCGTTTGTTAATCACATTACCTTTATCATTTACCCTCCTGAACAAAAGTGCTAGAGGCTACTGAGGAATCCCGAGGCCCCTCACACACCCGAAGGCTTGTGCTCTGCCAATCCTATTCTTTCTAGACAGTGCCATACACAAGCAAACGTAAGATGTGGCCGTTCAATAAGTACCATGTGGTCATTTGCAACCAATGTGAGAAACTTCCCTCGGAGCTTTCCACTATGATGTCAGAGGCAATCGGAGCCAAGCACTTGGGGGGACTTGCATTCCTCTGCATCCCACAGTCCTTTTCTCCTGCTGTGCCTGTGTGGATGCTGGGAGGAATGGTGGTGGCCCCAGGGTCACTGGAGCCCGTGTTCAGTGAGCGATCGCTTCGAAGACAAGTGTGATGGAAGCTCTCATAGTTAGTGCCCAGCACTGATGGTAGGAGCCAGATGTGCTTGCTTCTCTGTCCCGAAACTTGTTACCCCAAGACTAAGTGGCAGCCAACAGACACACAAAAATTCCTGCCAGTTGGGATATGAGGTGCATTTTTGTTAAATGAGTAATAAGAAGAGAATGGTTACCATTTATTAAAGACTTACTTTGAGCCAGGCATTAAACTACGTGCCTAACCTCATGTAATTGCCACTGCTGCTATCATCCCTACAGTATTGATGAGAGACCCAGAGCTTGCAGCTGGGCCTTCACCCCAGGGGTCCCACTCCAGAGCCCGCTGTCGCAGTGCCTAACCTCATGTAATTGCCACTGCTCCTATCACCCCTACAGTATTGATGAGAGAGACCCAGAGCTTGCAGCTGGGACTTCACCCCAGGGGTCCCACTCCAGAGCCCGCTGTCGCCTAAGTGGGTGCCATTGTGGTTTCTTTTTAGGTATATAAGCCTTAGACTAGATTTCTGCTTTTTCTTTTTCTGGGAATGTCAGTGAATCATAGTCTCCCTTTTTAACATTCAGCAAACCAGGAAGGTCAAGGAGGGAGGACATAGGCTAAAAATATTCTAAAATAAACTTAAGGTGTAGCATGAGACCACATAAGCAAAAAATGGAATGTTTTGATTCCTGGGTGGTACCCTGTTCTTGGAACTGTTTTCTAGTTTGTTTGGGGTTTTTTTTGGGGGGGGGGGCAGGGGGGGAAGGGTAGGGGGGCTTGAATAAGCTGCTGAAAATAGAATAAACTGTGGTTCATACTCAGAGCTGTGAATGTGAGTTGCTTTATTCTTTCCTTTGTTTTATTTTAATGCTACTTTTTAAACAGATTTAAGAGTGTTTTTTTTTAATTAAATTAATTGGAGTGACATTGGTTAATAAATCTATATAGGTTTCAAGTGTACATTTCTGTAACACATCACCTGTGTATTACATGGTGTGTTTACCACCCACAGTCAGAGCTCCTTCTGTCATTATATATTTGACCCCTTTACCTCCCCCCATGCCCTTTTCCCTCTGGTAACCACCATACTGTTGGTGTCTATGAGTTTCTGTTTGTTTGTCTGTCTTGTTTATTTGTTGCTTCCAGTTTTATATCCCACATAAGTGTCTATCAATGTTTGAGGGATAAAGAAGATGTGAGATATATATATATATATAATGGAATGTTACTCATCTGTGAGAAAGAAGGAAATGCTACTTGTGTGTAAAAATATGGATAGACCTTTAAGGCCTTCTGCTAAGTGAGATAAGTCAGACAGAGAAAGACAAGTACTAGATTATATCACTTATGTGCAGATTATGGAAAAGAGTAGAATGGTGGTTACCAGGGGCTGGGGGAATTGGAAAGATGCTGTTTAAGGATGCTAACTTGCAGCTAGTAGATGATGAGTTCTGGAGGTCTGATGCATAGTGAAGTGATGATAGCCAACAACACTGTATTATAAACATAAAGTCGGTAGGAGAATCAATCATAATTATTCTCACCACAAAAAAGAAATATTTATGTGACATGATAGAGGTGTTAGCTAACAATATGGTATACTCATATTGCAATATGTAAATGTAGCAAACCGTAAACGTACACAATGTTACATGTCAATTATATCTCAATAAAAAAAATTAACAAAACAAAAAGGTAGCTGGGGAAGTTTTATGCCCATTTAACAAGTGAGGCAGCTCAGAGATAGAGCCCAAGTCCATTTTATCAGCGAGGGAATCACACAGCCAGGACAGTGAGTCCCTGGAGGCAGGGACCTTTCTAATCACCTTTGTGGCCAGTGTCTAAAACAATGTCTGGCACCGAGGAAACACTCAGTAAATGCTGCTGAGTAAATGACTATAACTCAAATATGGGACCTCTGACATCCAACCCCAGACCCCTGAGTCCGAGCTATCCCATGATTTCATTCATTAAACACCGGGTGAGAAACCTTGGTTCACTTCTCATCCAGTAGTTACTGGGCCCAGGAAGGTCCGTAGGTTTGTGCTGGGCATTTCTGAGGCTGAGTAGAAACTCCTGAAGGGTGGGATCTGGCTGTCAGGTCAGGTAGTAGACTGCACAAGGATGCTCTCAACTCTCAGCTAAAGGTGGCTTGAAAATCGATTCTGAAAGAGTTTTAAAAGCAAATGAAGAAAGCTTGGGAGGAGTGGCCTCTGAGAAGATGCTTCCAAAAAAGGACAGAAAACGAAGGCCTTTCCTCTCTCTCTCCCTGCGTGGCAGGCTGAGGATAGCTCACATCTCAGTTCCATTGGCACACGAGGTTGAGGCGAAGGAAGTCGTATTTTAAAATAAGTTATTAATACAACACTTAAGAGGAAAGCAGCCACCACCACCAGATTATGGGTCTTTACCACAGGAACCACCAATCATGGTTTAGAGAGCAATGAAGGGTGAAAAAATGTTAATACCCATCCTTTAAAGGGGTGTGTGTCTGTTTCATTTGGAATTTCCTGTTCTAAATGCAGGGTTACTCTTTCTCAAAGAAAAATGCATGGTGGTGTGCATGTTTTTCTGAGTCAGAACATTGTATTCTTTGAAATTTGTCTGTTTCTTCCTAAGTTTACGTGTTGCCACTCATTTACAGAATGATGGGTTATTTTAAAGTTTTATAACATTTTGGAATATATAGTTGAATCTCAATTATTCAGAATGTAACAAAGCAAAACTCATATTACTGGAAAACTCTACTCAGCTTAAAACAACAAATGTTAAGGTTCCAGCAGGCTTCTTTTCAAAATGCAATCTCAGGTATGTTTTAGAGGACGAACCTACTCATTTCAGTTTCATATATTCTGAGCATTTACATGTTAATGAACTTATAATTGTCTACCTCAGAGTTCCTCAGAATGTAGTGTTTGAACCACCTGCATAATTTAAAATGTGCTTTGCTGGACCCTACCCATCACAGCCCACGGGGAAGGGGCCTAAGTCTCCTTTTAAAGTGGTACTTTAAGCAACTCTTTTAGCACATGTAAGTTTGAGAGCCACTGGTGTAGATGGAAAGACCCAAAATTGTTTTCTCAGCTATCAGAGGACAGTAAAATTATATTTAGAATATTCTTGTTCCTGAGACAGATAATGGATTAATACAACTCTACAAGTGAAAGCAAACTGGCTTTCCTTTTTTAACCACATTAATCATTACACTACTATTTCATTCACGAAGCATCCCAGTTCATTGAGATTTACCGTCTGTAGAACTGTAAGAGGTTGACTAACCAGAAAAATGAATTTTCGATAAGCCAGCTGAGAACAGTAGTAAGATGAGCTTCTTTGAAAGTACTCAGAGCAACGTCAAGAACTTCGGTAACTTTGATGTTCTCTTTCTAAACCCTTGTGAAGTTGCCCCTTTTCCAAGATGGAGTGAAGAAGAAATGTATGTCAGAACATGACACCAGCATTTTGATAACTTTGCTTCATATCAGAAGACATTGCTGCTTGCTCCTCCCTCTCATGGCACTACGTGCTTTTGGGTGTCTTATTCCTTAAATAAGTTCTGTTGGGTGCCTGTGCAGATGAAGGTGTCAACACAGTATGTCTCAGTTCTGTGTCTATTCCCTAAATGTTTTGGATTTGACAAGAACTGCCCCCCTTCTCTACAGGGCAGAGATGTAACATTGACATTGATGAGTGTGCCTCCAATCCCTGTCGCAAGGGTGCAACATGCATCAACGATGTGAATGGTTTTCGCTGTATATGCCCCGAGGGTCCCCATCACCCCAGCTGCTTCTCGCAGGTGAACGAGTGCCTGAGCAATCCCTGCATCCACGGGAACTGTACCGGGGGCCTCAGCGGGTGAGTAGCTGCCATGTAGTCATCATTTCTTGTTGACCTGTGTCAACTGACCTGCAGAAGTCAGTCAGGGACCTGAGCTGACTGAGATTTTGGTAGTCCGTATCGTAGTCTTCCAAATTGCCTCCTTGTCCTTCCCTCCTATGACTGAACAGGAGGAAAATAAGGAGGAATGTCTTCCTTGTGTGGGTAGGCAGCATGTGGCGGGAGTTCAGGGTTGTTTTATGAGTCTTTGGCAAGTGAAAGAATGAAGAGGGTGTTTAGAGGCAAATGGGAAATCAAGTCATTTCCAAGATGAATTTTCTCAGTATTCCTGCTTCAGAGTAGGGCAGCCTTCAAAGCATCCCAACCTATCACATTTTTCCTAAGAAGCTCCAGACATCTGGCCACGATCTCCTGATACGACATTCTAAGTCCTAATGACATTCAAATTGTGAACAATGTCCATGTACTTCAAATACCTTCATTTTGGACCTTTTTCTGCTCAGTACGCTGGGTGCTTTCTGTGGCAGGGTTTCTGGTCAGAACAAAACATATCTCAGAAGTCAGGCATTCTAGGAGATCTTCAGAGTGGCTCAGAGTCCCTGATACTAATCTACTTCCTGGGTGTCTGTTTTGCCTCAGAAACAAATGACCCTAAGGTTTGCTTTACTTTAGTTTTGCTTTTGTTTTTTAAAATTTAAATTCTTTATTGTTTTAAAGTATTACGTAAGTCTCCCTTTCCCCCCACTGACCTCTCCCCGGCCACCCCCACCCCCTAGTTTTATATATAAGGAAAAAAAACTATGCAGATTTATCCGTATTAATGTGTCTTTCAGATTGGTCCAATATGTTGTACCAACCATGCTCTTTACATATGAAAGCTCAGTGTAATTAATTAGTTTCTCTAGCATCTTTGTGAACCAGGGAAGCACCAGGAAGGAAGATCATTTAACTCCAGATGGGCCCTCCTGATCCACACTGTGTTCTTGGTGACCCACGTATAGGTCCCTAGAGAGTAGAATTGAGATTAGCTTACCTTCATCTCCTCTTTCCCTCATTTCTTCACCATGTCCTGTATTCAACTCTGACTCAATTGTACCTTCATTCCCCATAGTAAAGAATTCTGTCTTCTTTCAGATACAAGTGCCTCTGTGATGCAGGCTGGGTCGGCATCAACTGTGAAGTGGACAAAAATGAATGCCTTTCCAATCCATGCCAGAATGGAGGAACCTGTGACAACCTGGTGAATGGATACAGGTGTACTTGCAAGAAGGGCTTTAAAGGTGAAGGCAAAAGTGCATATTTCCATCTCCCTTCCCTGCCCTTTGGTTGTTGCGTATTGCTTGGCTCACTTCTTTCTTTCCTTTTTTCCTCTGTTCATTCACACAGCAAACATAATTTGAGCACCTAATATTTATAAGGCACTGGGCAGTAAAAACATAAATAGATATAGATTCTACTCTCAGCCTAGCAGAGAGGTGAGCTATTGAAGGTGAGCAGCCGGGACTTCACTTACACAACTTTGGACAGGTGTTCTAATTGCAAGCTTCTTGATGCAGGCTTGATTCTATGATAATTCAAAAGAGAAATTGGTAGTAGAATGAAAATACTGTCTTGCTGTAATTCCTACAGCAGTAATATGGAAAGATTCATGTGTTCAAAACCTTCCAGCAAATTATTTCACACAGTGAGATACTCTTAGATACATAGTTCTCCGTGGCCTTCTGGAAAAATACAGAATAAGGGGGGTATTGTGTAAAATAATTTTTGGGTTGTTACTGTTGTATTTCTGCCATTAGTTTTCTCTTGGAAACTCATGAGAGAGAAATCCATGGGTAAATCATTTATATTTGGACTGCTCTATTCACTTAGTCTTTGAGTTCCCCACTCAAAAGCAGTGCCAGGCCCTAGCTGGTTTGGCTCAGTGGATAGAGCGTTGGCCTGCAGACTGAAGGGTCCCAGGTTCAGTTCTGGTCAAGGGCACATGCCTGAGTTGCTGGCTCGATCCCCAGTAGGGGGCGTGCAGGAGACAGCCAATCAATGATTCTCTCTCATCATTGATGTTTCTATCTCCCTCTCCCTTCCTCTCTGAAATCAATAAAAATATATATTTTTTAAAAAGCGGTGCCAGGCTACTGCGAATCAGCAGTATATTTCAGGGACATTTTATTTGATTAGTTGAAAACGTTCTGAAACCGTATTTTAGTTATTAATTTACTGATATATTACATTTGCGAAGAAGCGTATAGATTTAAAAGCACTTTTATGTCTTTATCTCATTGAGACTTACTGATCAAACAAAATCAAAATGTACAGTCCATATTTGTATGACTATTGAATAGCCAGCCCTCTGCACTCCCAGATCATTTTTACAGTGCTCTAATTCCTCTATTTTAAGGCTTTATTGAAGGTGCAAAGGTGTGTAATAGCTGGGTACTTTCCTGTCCCCGTAAGTGCCTCTTTTCTCTTTTTTAGAGTGGGAGTAGAATTCATATCTTGATCAGGAGGAGTCAGCTTTGTGACCTCAGGAAGTCTTACCACATCGATGGAAGGGGGCGCATAACTCGGAGGCTTTGATTAATGTATTCAAGAATGTCACCCCTCGATAACCCATACCCCCTTGTTAAGCCCTGACCAGATACATTGTGTACAAAGAGCTTATATTTAGATTAAGCAGCAGATTTTTGCTCTTAATGAATTTCTTGGTTCATTATTGAGAAATTATTTGTACCATATTTGAGGGTGCATTAGACTTTCAAGATATCAGAACATATCTTAACTAAGCACTGTTTTTTACTTGCTCTATGTCAGGGACTTGTCACTGAAACCAATGAACAGATGTTCCGGTGGCCTGAAGAAATGAATGCAGTTTCTGAGGTGTTTCATGTTTACCACTGAGAGGATCGCTTAGTAATTCAGATAATAGGAGGCTAACAGAAAGGTTCACGGTTTGGGTTTTTCCCCTTTTCTATCCACAGGCTATAACTGTCAGGTGAATATCAACGAATGTGCTTCAAATCCGTGCCTGAACCAAGGAACCTGCCTTGATGACATAAGTGGCTACACCTGCCGCTGCGTGCTGCCCTACACAGGTGAGCCCTGAAAGTGCGGGGACATGGGGATGCTCATCTTCCCTTGTCACTCCAAACCTTGAAGTCTCAGAGGTGGGATCTGTGGGGCTGCTGCTCGGAGGACTCGCCGGTCGTGTGTCCTGCCCTCACTCACTGGATCTGGAGCTCTGAGAAATCACTGTGACCTCCCTCATGCAAGTGCTGGGAGATTCATTGCCTTCTCGGCTCTTTAGGGTTTGAAATTTTTTTCATCGTGTGTGGTTGGAACTGATGCAGAGCTGATGGTTTAGTCCATTATTGTGAATGGAGCAGTGTCTCCATGGACCATGCTCTTTGTCTTGGTTTCAATAACAAGGCTACCACTTATTGCTAATTTATTATGTGCCAGATACTTTATACACTTTGGATTATTTCTTCTAGTGCTCACAATAACCCTACAGGTAGAAGTTCCTGTCACCATTTTATACATGAAGAAGCTGAGGCAAGAGAGGTTACTTGCTGAGGGTCACAGAGAGGGGTGGTAGGTCTAGGATTTGTCCCCAACTCTCTAAACCCAGAGCTTGTCCTCTTAACTGCCATTCTTCTCCTCCCAGTCCACACAGCTGCGTCTCATTCAGAGAGATAACGCCCTGGATGGCGCTCACACACAGAAGACGTGCTATGCCTCCGTTGTATGCCAGGTGGTCCTTGTTTCGGGTGGTATTTCAGGAGTGTGCTTGGACATGTCTGCTGTGTTCTCCTGCCTCATTACTGCCATCCTGTGATTGGTTGTATTTGTGTGGCTTGTTTACCTCCTCGTCATCCCATTTTCTTCATGTCTGGGAAACAAAACAAATATGGGGGATGGCGTTGCATGTTCTGCAGTGAGCAGCATGCGGGCGGGATGCCTTGGCCTTGGGCTGTGCACAGTAGCTGTGACTAGTGACTCTGAGCGGTGTAGAGCGGCAAGTGGCCTTGAGCATGACCCTGTGACCTGGAAGATTTGATGCTACTTGTTCCCTCTGCCCCGCTTTAGAAGGCATGTTCATGTAGGGAAACAGCATGTAGCCAGCCTGGTGGGTAAAATCAGAGTTATCAGAGATCCCCAGCTCTCCCCAGACAAAGACAGTCTCCACCGTGTCATTCATTTCACAGCGACAGTGCTGACCACACTCATTGGCAGTGAGAAGATCATCTTACTCACAACCATAGACTCAATATTGACGGCTGTGGGGAGATGTAGGCAGACGTCACTCTATGCAACCACATCATAGACTTGCCTGGGTGTGACTTGTGTGTACTGTTCATGTTGAAATTATTCGTTCTGTCTTCTTGCTATGCAGATACTATAAGCATATTTGACTCTGTGCCAGCTGTCGGTTTTGCTTTAGATTAGGATGCCAATAAAAGAATCTCCTATGTGTGAACTTTGAGAAATTAATTATATTAGACTGGAAGCCTGTGCAGGTGAAATCTCAGTGCTGAGTGTGGCTAAGGCTTCTGCCTGGCATTGAGTTTGGCCCGCATGAAGGCCACTAAGCAACATTGCCCTCCCTGTGAGCCACTATTCTGACCAGACACACTAAAAAGCTGCTTGGGGATATTGGTGAAAATTTGTGGTAATGTTCTTCTTTCTGAATATAAAATTTTAGGATAAAATTTTAAATCAAGTTAGTTGCAACTTGACTTTAAAATCTACCTCATCTCCCTTTTAATAAGAGCATCCTTTTTGTGTCTGGAAGCTTGGATTCAGCATACTGAGGCAGAAAACATTGGTGGGCAGATACTGACGTCATGCTGTTGCTGTCGATATAAGGAGACATGTTGCTAGGCACTCAGGATCACTTCCCTGTTGCCTCCCTCCGGGGCCTTCTGGTCAACCTCACTGCCTTCTGGAACGGGCCAGTGAGGCTGAGAGGAATAGGAGGCCGTACTGTGGTGGCTTCTTCCCTGCTCACACGAAGTGCGTCTGTGTGGCTAAGCCTCCAAGTAGCTGAATCTTAGCTGTGGAGATGCAGAAGCTGTCACTCCCGACTGAGGCAGGTGTCAAATGCATCCAGCTACTCGTGATAGCAGGACGATGACAGCAGCCCCCCGTTGTCACGTGCTCACTCTGTGTGCCAGGCTCTAACTAATAAGCACTTACTGATCATTTTTTCATTGAATCCTCAAAAGCCTCTATGAGTGCTATCCTGATTTCGATTTTACTGATGTGGAAGGCTCAGAGGAAATGAGTAACTTGCCTGAGGCCTCGCATTAGTAATAAAGTCGGAGCCGAGACTCAGGGGCCGCAGGTCTCTCAGCTTCCAAAGCTCTTCACCACTGCTGTGGACGTGCATTCAGAGAGCCTCCTTCAGTATAGAATCTGGGAAATTTCCAATTCCGTGGCTGGTTTTCTGTCCTGAACTCTGTCATTTGCTTTGCAGGCAAGAACTGTCAGACGGTGCTGGCTCCCTGTTCCCCAAACCCTTGTGAGAATGCTGCTGTGTGCAGAGAGGCGCCCAATTTCGAGAGTTACACCTGCCTGTGTGCCCCTGGCTGGCAAGGTAACAACCCGGGAAGGGAGAAACCAAACATTTTTTCATGTGGGCAGGTCATCAGAATAAATGGAAGGCCCTGGTCTTTGTCCAGAACACAGGCTTTGGACAGGAGCTGCTAATGGGAATGACTTAGAAAGCCTTTCCACGTTGCGTGTCTCTGGGGTCCTCTGGTGCCTGGAAGACTCCAGCCTGAGCCTGAAACCATGATGTCCTGCAGGGAATTTTAGCACCTGGCCAGCTGCTTGCCAGGGCCACAGAGGCCTTAAGGGACTTCCCAAAGCAGGGGACCAACCAGAATGCCCTTGAAGTAGCCCATCCCCCTCAGGCCACATAATCTCTGTGGAATCCGCGTCCCCAGACTGGACTACGCATTGCCCTGTGTTTCTAGGTCAGCGGTGTACTATTGACATTGACGAGTGTGTCTCCAAGCCCTGCCTGAACCGTGGTCTCTGCCATAACACCCAGGGCAGCTACATGTGCGAGTGTCCTCCGGGCTTCAGCGGTATGGACTGTGAGGAGGACATCGATGACTGCCTCGCCAGTGAGTATGCCAGCCGGCTCCTAAGCCCGGGGGCCCAGGAAAGCTGGCGGGGGCAACTGCCTCTCAGGTCTGAGACTGGTAGGAAAGCACTCAGGGGCCACAGAAGAGCTGGCGGGGGCAACTGCCTCTCAGGTCTGAGACTGGCCACCCCGACAGTTTATCATGTGTCCTTAATATTAGTGTTTTAAATCTTTTCGAAGCTAGTAGCTTTGGGAGTTAAGGCAGAGGAATCTCTTTGAAGCATTCCCTGAGTTCCTAGGTTACTGCTCTTAGTGGGACTCAGTACAAGTCGCCCACCTTTATGAGTCTCAGATTAAATTGCTGCTGCTGTTTGGAGCTCTAATTCTCGTGTGTAATGGCTTAGATCCTTGCCAGAATGGAGGCTCATGTGTCGATGGAGTGAATACGTTCTCCTGCCTGTGCCTTGCGGGCTTCACCGGGGACAAGTGCCAGACAGACATTAACGAGTGTCTGAGCGAACCCTGTAAGAACGGAGGGACCTGCTCCGACTATGTCAACAGCTACACGTGCAAGTGCCCGGTGGGATTTGACGGAGTCCACTGCGAGAACAACATCGACGAGTGCACCGAGAGGTGGGCGCCCATACACTCCAGAAAGGGGGGGCACAGCACTGGGATTGCGGGGCAGGGGCAAGGCATTCATGTGGGTCCCAGTCCATAGTCATCTCGTTGCCCAGCCCTGATTCCTTGTAGATGTGTAGTTAGCAGGTCAAAGGTCAGGGGCTGACAAGCTTAGTGGTGGGTCATCATTTATTTCTTGCTTAGCGAAACAGGAAGAGCTGTAATTCTGAACAAAAGACAAATTTTCCTCTTTGTCTTTCGTTCCTATTAGTTGACAATTTAAAAATTCTTATTTCTTTACAGATGTGTCATCACTGTTTAAGTAATTTCTGGGAGGCTGTTTTTTTTGTGTGTGTTTTTTTACTTATTAGCAAATTTGCTATGTTTCTTTTTCATAAAGAAATCTAGAATCAAGAGCTTTCTGTTTAGCACTTTTCTTAGAAATGAAATTGGCTTAGGGATAAAATGAAATGTGATATAGAAGGACTGGGTAAAATTTGGAAACCTTCACTTTCTCTGGGAATTGCTCATAAACTCAGCCTTTTAAATACTTAAGCTTCTTGGTTGTGGATAGGAAGCTGGGACTCAAGGCCACGGGGCAACCAGTCTAGTTTGGAAAAAGGTAAAATTTACTGGGTGGAGGGGTTTGGGATGCTCACGAGTATTGGCCTCCGTAGCATCTTAGGTTCCAGGAACCTTGCTTTTTAAATAGCAGGTCAGAGGACCAGATCACCCCGCTGATGGCGCTCTCCCTGTTTGCTCCTTAGCTCCTGTTTCAACGGGGGCACGTGTGTCGACGGAATTAATTCCTTCTCTTGCTTGTGCCCTGTGGGCTTCACTGGCCTATACTGCCTCCAAGAGATCAATGAATGCAACTCTCATCCGTGCCTGAATGAAGGAATATGTGTGGATGGCCTGGGTACCTACCGCTGCACCTGCCCCTTGGGCTACACTGGGAAAAACTGTCAGGTAATTAAATTCCAGCCCACTCACTCAGCTTCCTCAGAGTAGCAAAGTTCTGTACCTATTTCTTTTCTAGGTACATAAGCCCCTCCTGAAAGAGAAAATTCTAGAACTCAGGGTTGTCCCTGAGATAAATCAGGTTAACTTCTTAGTAGCTAGTAAATTGCAAAATAGTGACACTAGCCAGATAAACAATAAAATTGTTGTTAACAGCCCTAACCTGTTTGGCTCAGTGGATAGAGCATCAGCCTGCAGACTGAAGAGTCCCGGGTTCGATTCCGGTCAAGGGCATATGCCCAAGTTGCGGGCTCAATCCCCAGTCGGGGGTGTGCAGGAAGCAGCCAGTCAATGATTCTCATCATTGATGTTTCTAGCTCTCTCTCTCTTCCTTCCTTTCTGAAATCAATAAAAAAAAAATTGTTGTTAACAGACTGAGAACTGCAGACAAATACATGTGGGAAGTAAGCACATAGATATTGTTTACATTGGAAATACAGAAAGGGAAAAAAGAACAATTAAAAAATTAAAATTTAAAGGTCAGCTATATCTAAGGGGATAAGTGTCAGGTCTTACAATGTTGTGACAACCTCCAACCAAGCTATTCACACATCTTTCAAATGCAAATTCCTAAGTTATATTTTTCTGGACTCTTAGGAAGGACCCCTCAGAACCAACTAGTCTAGCCTTTCATTTCATGGTCGGAGAAACCAAGTCCCGGAGGGACAAACCAGCTCTTCCAAGGTTGCATACCAAGCACTGTGTGTAATTTTATGCTATTTTACCTCTTAAAACCGTGGTAAAATGATAGCATCACAGAACTCTCAAGAATTCGGGAATGAACGGCCACATTTAACGAGCCTTACAGGTGCCCTTCAGTAAGGCTCTGTCCATATTGGACGTGCAGATGTTACCGCCTCTGCATGTTAAATAGCTTGCTGCGGATTCTGAGGGTCGGGGACATCCTCATTGGGTTTCTGCTCATTCTCACAGTGTGAGAGTATAAATGCTGGTGGAGCACTCTGCCCTCCCCCGCCGGCCCCTCCTTTCACAAACCGTCTGTATTGTGAATTTCCTGCCTCCCAGAGGCCACATGGAACAATGGAGAAAGGCCCAAGTCTGCTTGCACTCTTTGCCTCACTTTTTCATAAGCCTGATTTTCTCCGCTCGAAACAAGCTGTTTGACAGTTTTTAGGCTTAATAACAGGCTTTAAGATCATGCTCATCACAGACAGGTTTGCTCGAGACCCCCGTGGATTCCTCGCACAGGATTGGCACGGGGAGACGTGTACCTGTCTGACAGCTTGACTCTTGCTTTCTAGCCTGACAGTGTGACCCTATATCCAGACATAATCATGATGTAGGGAATAGCTTAACCTATTGGGCTTCCTCAAATTCTTCAATTTCTCTCGTAAGAACTGTTTAAATAGCAGAGCTAAGAGGAATTGGACTATATAAAATGATTAGATTACTTGAGGACACTGGGTCTAGTTTAAGGCTTGGATGAGGGCTTTATTATTATTTAATATAATTTTATTGATTTCAGAGAGGGAGAGAGAAGGAGAGAAAGATAGAAACATCATTGATGAGAGAGAATCATCAATCGGCTGCCTCCCGCACACCCCACACTAGGTATTGAGCCCACAATCTGGGCATGTGCCCTGACCAGGAATCAAACCGTGACCTCCTGGTTCATAGGTGGATGCTCAACCACTGAGCCACACCGGCAGGTTGGGTGACGGCTTTTGGGAAAAAATAATTAACATGTTTTTCTTTGATTACTTAAAATGCAGCGTAACCTATTCTCTTCGTTTCCGGTGTGTGGATGTTGACATGTGTGTGCCTCTGTTTCAGACCCTGGTGAACCTCTGCAGTCGGTCTCCATGTAAAAACAAAGGCACCTGCATTCAGGAGAAAGCGCACTCCTGGTGCCTGTGTCCACCTGGGTGGGCTGGTGCCTACTGCGACGTGCCCAATGTCTCCTGTGAGGTGGCGGCCAAGGGAAGAGGTAAGCTCTGCCCCTCAGGCCCAAGGGCCATTCCCTGAAGTATTGACTGGCCAGTGGCATTTAGGGCAGGCGTTGTTACTGTGGGCTGAGGGGAGGGCAGGCAGTACGGTGTGGCAAGGCTCTGGCAAAAGGGCCTGAGATGAAAGGGCAGAGGAACAGGCTTAGAGATTCCAAAAAAGAAATGTATTTGTATGCCTCTTCTTGATCCATTCGGCTATCAATGGACACCTAGGTTGCTTCCTTAGCTTGGCTGTTGTAAATAATTTTGTGATGAGCATAGTGGTGAATATATCTTTTCACATTCGTGTTTTTGTTTTCTTTGGATAAATACCCAGAGGTGGAATTGCTGGGTCATATGGTAGTTCTATTTTTAATTTTTTGAGGAACCTTCATACTTCACCAGTTTACAATCCCACCAACAGTGCACAAAGGCTCCCTTTTCTCCACATTCGTGCCAACACTTGTTATTTCTTGTTATTTGTTGACTTTTTGATAATAGCCATTTGGACAGGTGTGAGGTGATATCCCATTGTGGTTTTAATTTGCATTTTCCTGGTGATTAGTGATCTTGAGCATCTTTTCATGTCTGTTGGCCATCTCTGTGTCTTCTTTGAAGAAATGTCTATTCAGGTCCTCTGCTCATTTTAAAAATAAAAATTTTGATGTTGAGTTATATGAATTATTTATGTATTTTGGATATTAATCCCTTATCAGATATATGATTCAAATATCTTCTCCCACTCAGTAGGTTGTCTTTTCATATGGTTTCACTTATATGTGGAACCTAAAAACAAAAAACAAAAAAACAGACTTATAGATACAAAGAACAAACTGATGGTTGTTGGAGGGATGGTGGGTTAAAAACATGAAGGAGCCCTAGCCGGTTTGGCTCAGTGGATAGAGCGTCAGCCTGTGGACTGAAGGGTCCCAGGTTCGATTCCGGCCAAGGGCACATGCCTGGGTTGCGGGCTCGATCCCCAGTAGGGGATCAATGATTATCTGTCATCATTGATGTTTCTATCTCTCTCTCCTTCTCCCTTCCTCTCTGAAATCAATAAAGAAATATATTTTAAAAATTAAAAAAAATAAAAACATGAAGGGGATTAAGAGGTACAAACTTCCAGTTATAAAATAAAAAAGTCATGGGGATGTAGTTTATAGCTTAGGGAATATAGTCAGTAATATCATCATAATGTTGTATGGTGTCAGATGGTTACAGCACTTATCACAGTGATCACTTCATGAGATATATATATAAATTATGAATTATTATCATGGTGTGCACCTAAAACTCACATAATGTTTTATGTCACTATATTTTCATAAGAACAAGAACTGTATTTTAAGTGAAACGAAGGCATGTGCCACTTTCAGGGCTTGTTTATTTTCAACACATATCCGATGTCAGGGTCCCTGAGTTAGACGGGAATAAAATCCGATGTGCCCACTGGCTTGATGAGTTTGCTCAGAGTTGGTCTGAACCTGACACTTCCTGTGTCTTCTGTGACATGTCTTCCTCCTCTGGTTCCCCAGGGGTGACCCCCGACCGCTTGTGCCAGCACTCGGGCGTCTGCATCAATGCCGGCAACTCGCACCACTGCCAGTGCCCCCTGGGCTACACCGGGAGCTACTGCGAGCAGCAGCTGGACGAGTGTGCGTCCAATCCCTGCCAGCACGGAGCCACCTGCAGGGACTTCATTGGTGGATACCGATGTGAGGTAAGAGGCAGGCACACAGCAGAGACCTCCCGGAAGATGGTGCAGCTATTGTGAACACCAGCATATTGAATTTAGCTGCATATGTCTTATTTTTACAAATTTTAACAAAACACCATTCCAGTGTTTCCTGTGAAAGTATACATTTGTTTCTTTCAGTCCCCTGTGCCGTAAGTTAGCGTAGCTGTAGCAAGCTATTTTCAGCGGTCTGGAACCATCTCACTTCCCTGGGGCTGCCTCTGCTCGTTTTAACATTCAGAGCCAGTATTCACTGCCTGAACCTGGAGATGAATAAATGCAGTACCTTTACCACCATCCACACAACTACTTGGCTGAGTCATAGCATCTTCATGACCTACAAGGGAATGAATGCATCTTTTAAAGATGGGACAACCGCCCACAGGAGGGACAGGAGTTTTGCATAGAGGGCCTGTCTGAAACATCCCTCAGGATCCAGTCCTTGCCATCCACTATGGTGGCTTCTTCAGCGGGAAGAGGTCAATGCGGGTGGGCGGCAATCAGCCCCGCACAGGATGATGGTTGGGAGGGGGGTGATGTCAGAAACATGCCTGAGCCAGGATGCGGGGCAGAGGTCATGTCATCGTGCCAGATGTCATTTGCTCTCGTGGTCTGTTTCCAACGATGGTCCAGTATTTCTTGTCCTTCTGTCTGCCCCTGGCAGTGCGTCCCAGGATACCAGGGTGTCAACTGCGAGTACGAGGTGGATGAGTGCCAGAACCAGCCATGCCAGAACGGGGGCACCTGTGTCGACCTGGTGAACCATTTCAAGTGCTCCTGCCCGCCAGGCACCCGTGGTAGGAAATCAGCCTTACCCATTCTCTGTCCAGGGCTTTCTCTAAGTTACAAATGCAATTTTAATGTTGGGAGGAGGCATTAAAAATCAGACATTTAGTTCTGAATTCTGGTAACTCGCCGTTTCATTCACTTGTCTCTTGCCTGGCTCTGAGGTTCTGACTCATGTCCTTAGTGCTGTCTGGGTCTTGCTGACATCTGATATTCCATGAAACACAGAATGTGGAAATCATAGAATTTTGCAACAACATTAGCCTGGTGGCGAGATTTCTTGGAGCTTCGAGGGAAAACAGCCAGTGGCCTCTTGAATAAATGATTCCCATTTACCAGCTGATGTGTATTTTTAAACTTGCCAAGTCTCGTCCCCCTAAGGTGGGGAAATGAATGGAATGAAAACCCTTGCTGGAGAGCTGGGTTCCCAGAACGGTCCTAATTCTCGCTCTCCTCTCCCCGCAGGCCTGCTCTGTGAAGAGAACATTGACGACTGTGCCAGGGGGCCCCACTGCCTCAACGGTGGGCAGTGTGTGGATAAGATCGGGGGCTACAGCTGCCGCTGCCTGCCTGGCTTTGCCGGAGAGCGGTGTGAGGGGGACATCAACGAATGCCTGTCCAACCCCTGCAGCTCGGAGGGCAGCCTGGACTGCATACAGCTCACCAACGACTACATGTGCGTCTGCCGCAGCGCCTTCACAGGTGAGGCCTCTCCACGAGGAGGCGGGGCCCATGGGGCCCACCCAGACCCGAGGGAGCTTTTCTTAGGCAGGAAAACTAGACCAGCTTCGGTCAGGGCCCAGTTTCTTCTTAGGTCTGTGCTCCATAGATTTTATAGTCAGTCTACAATCTCTACATTTTCTCTTTTGCTAAACATTGGTATATATATATATACACACACACACATACACAGACATATGTAGTATATATACATTTACTAGTATGTAGCAGAGATATAAAAAAATAGAATGTTGGGAGTAATTGAGCAAAATCACATTTTTAATTGCAATAAAATACACGTGAAGTTTACCATCTTAACCATTTTTAAGTGCACAGCTCAGTGATGTAAGTACGTTCACGCTGCTGTGCTGCCATCACCAGCATCCATCCACAGAGCTCTTTTCCTCTGAGCAATACCAGTGGGGAAATGAACTCTGGAAAGCTAAGCTGTATTTTAAAGCAGCACCAATTGGGCTTCAGAAAGGCTAAAAAATGATTGAAAAGAGATGTTATGGATGAAAATTCTCTATAAATTGCAAATCAACATTTATATGTATTGGTCTGGGGAAGTCTCTCCTGTGAAGTAGACGATGTTAACAAAATGCAGTGAACAGTTTTGCTAAATGTTTCCTTTGACTTATGACAGTTAAATGCCTTCACTAAGAAGCTATGTCGTTTTCCTTTTTTTTTTTTTTTTTGGTGATGGTTTTAGAGTCACTTTTCATATCCATCCTGTTCTGTGAGTCAGGTGGGAATGTAGGCCAGGCGTGCTTGTCGTGTAGATGAGACAGGGGAGGGGGTGGGTCAGGCACCATGAGGTCGGTGCGTGCTTCTCCCTGTCTCTGTGGCTGAGACCTGAGCGCTCATACCTCCCACCCCACCTCTGACCTCTGACCCTGGGCTCGCTCACACTCTCCCAGGGCTCTGCTCAGTAACTTGCAGCTACACTTCTGTCTCCTAAAGCTCCTTTTCATTTTCTCTTTTGAGGTCGTCACTGTGAAACTTTCGTCGATGTGTGTCCCCAGATGCCTTGCTTGAATGGAGGGACTTGTGCCGTGGCCAGCAACATGCCGGATGGTTTCATTTGTCGTTGTCCCCCGGTAAGGGCCATGTTGCCTCCTGAAGGCGCACGCTGTCTTCATACGGTCTGACCGAGCCGAGCTTAGCTGGTCTTCCCACGCTGCAGGGGGGCTTTCTTGGTGGGGAGGTTTCTCCATTGCAGCTCCCTTAGAAGAAAGTGCTTGGGTTTTCCGTGTAGAGCTAAGATATTGACACAGTGGGCGCCCTAGTCTGCGACTGTGGGTCTTCGGAAGCAGCGAGGGAACCCGCACGCGGTGGGGGATGCTCCCCGAAGAGAGGACTGCTGTCTCTGGCTGCGGGTGCTGCGCTGGAGGTGGTCTCGCTGCCCAGCTGGGGGCAGAGATGGTTGGAAACGCAGCTTCACTTGCATTCCTCAGCAGGGGCTGTTTGGGAACAAGCCACTGCTTCTTAAACTAGAAGGAAGCCTGATTTTAGCGATTTGCTGTGCAGATCCCTTTGCCGCTGGCAGAGGCTGAAACCTCCCTAAAACAGAGATCACTGTGTGGAGGCCCCGAGGGGAAGCCTGTGCAGGCACCCTGGCCGGGGCTGCGCAGGAAGTGGAGGAATGATTGACATGGGGAAGTGTATTTACCCAGAACTCCTGAAGTGATTCCCCACACTCCCCTAAGGCCTTACATAAGCGATGGAACGATGGTTAGGAAAGGTGCTAGCAGATGCAGTGTCACCTGCGTCTTATCCCATCACGACCTGTGGATTTAATTTGGGCATGATCTTAAGTGGGTAGAACTCACATCATCCCAAGGGTTGACTTGAAGAGGTCTCTTCTTGCAACTTGGTCCAGTTGGCTGCGTGGAGGAATCTTAGCCTCCCTAGCGGTGTGGCCGAAGGCGGGGGAGGGGAAATGGGACGTGCCCTCAAGAATCGATCCCCATCCTCATTTGTTCACTGATTTCCGCAGGGGTTCTCCGGGGCGAGATGCCAGAGCAGCTGTGGACACGTGAAGTGTAGGCGAGGGGAGCAGTGTGTCCACACGCCCTCAGGGCCCCGCTGCTTCTGCCCCAACCCCCAGGAGTGCGAGCTGGGCTGTGCCAGCAGCCCCTGCCAGCACGGGGGGAGCTGCCTCCCGCAGCGCCAGCCCCCGTATTACTCCTGCCAGTGCCCTCTGCCGTTCCGGGGCAGCCGCTGCGAGCTCCACACGGCCCCCACCAGCACCCCACCTGCCACCTGTCACAGCCAGTACTGTGCCGACAAAGCTCGGGACGGCGTCTGCGATGAGGCCTGCAACAGCCACGCCTGCCAGTGGGACGGGGGTGATTGCTCCCTCACCATGGAGAACCCCTGGGCCAACTGCTCCTCCCCACTGCCCTGCTGGGATTACATCAACAACCAGTGCGACGAGCTGTGCAACACAGCCGAGTGCCTGTTCGACAACTTCGAGTGCCAGGGGAACAGCAAGACGTGCAAGTAAGGGTCCTGGGTCCCTCGAAGCGGAGGGCGACTGTCACTAACACACCTCGGTTTCCTGTTCTTGCTCCTAACCACTCCAGCGCTTCCGCCCGACCTGCCTCTGCTTTCAGACTGGTGCCCGAGGCCCTCTGCTTCCTGGCGCCGGCCTCGTCCCACCGCACGCCGTCCGGGGCGCTGCCTGGCTGGCAGAGGTCCAGGGATGCTCCTTGCACAACCACCCTCTCTCTGCCTATTTCTGCCTTCTCACCTGCTGCTCTCGTGATCTCCTGGGGAAATGCCTTTTGGAAGTGGTGTTGCCCACTCTCAGGCAGCCTCTCACGTAACCTGCCCGCAGGATGGATGGAAAGGTCTGTACCTCTGCCTGCTCACCCCCGACCTTTCCCAGCTGGGTTTTTCAGGAAGCGGAGCTAGGTTAGGCCTCGCAGCCCTCCTGGTCTTCGCTTTGCAGCTACAGGGCGCTCTGTGGGTCACATGGAGACTGTCCTGTTAGCTGTCCCTGATGACTTCTCCACAGCCTGGTGAGGCGTGGGTGTTGTTAATGGTCTTTCCAGGGTGAGGGAACCGAGACCCAGCGGTTAAATGGCCAAAGCACACCCAGCGCTTCCTGACACCTCAGCGCTTGCTGAGCTAGCGTGGCAGCTTGTGCCGAATGGTGTGACTGCCACAGGGTGTCAGGGAGGGGAGTGCCGATGAAGTGGACTGTGCACCATTTAGGTTCTGGGACTCGATTTCCTTTTCCTAGTATTTGAAAGAGGCTGTACAAGTTAGATGTGGTTTCCTGTGTGGGATGCCCACCTCCCTGCCCACCTTCCATAGCTGGGACTCAGTGTGGGTGGGGAGGATAGAGGCCACGTGGACACGTCTTGATGGCTCGGAGCTATGTATCCAGGTTCTGGAGGCACCTTTACTTCCAATGCCCCTGGTTACCTCGCCAGGGGCGGTGCAGACAGAAATAGAGGAAGCATGAGGCAAGTTGATTTTCCTCTTGTTTGGGTAGGTTTTTGGTTTCTGACTTAAAAACATGACGAGCTGGCAGGGGGCCCTAGCCCATGTGGCACAGTGAGCACGTGCTGTCTCTCGTTCAGGGCGCGCCCCCTGAAGCCGTGTGGCGAAGACTCTGTGCTCTAAGATGGCAGGGGCGGGAGATCCAGGGAAGGCATCACGGGCATTTGGGGCCTGACCTGGGCCACAGAAGATGGGTAGGAAAAATCCAGCGTAGTTCCCAGTGGAAAACCAAATGGAGCTGCGGCCTCGTCTGAGCCCCTCCCCCCCGGCCTGCCTCCCTGCCCAGGTACGACAAGTACTGCGCAGACCACTTCCGGGACGACCACTGCGACCAGGGCTGCAACAGCGAGGAGTGCGGCTGGGACGGGCTGGACTGCGCTGCTGACCGGCCGGAGAACCTGGCCGAGGGGACCCTGGTGATCGTGGTGCTGATGCCCCCCGAGCAGCTGCTGCAGGACGCGCGCAGCTTCCTGCGGGCCCTGGGCACCCTGCTGCACACCAACCTGCGCATCAAGCGGGACCCCCAGGGGCACCTCATGGTCTACCCCTACTACGGCGAGAAGCCGGCTGCCCTGAAGAAGCAGAGGCTGGCACGCAGGTCCCTTCCTGAGGATCCAGACCAGGAGGTGGCTGGGTAGGTTTTTGGTTTCTGAGCTTTTTTTAAGATATATTTTTATTGATTTGGGAGAAGGAGAGCTAGAAATATCAATGATGAGAGAGAATCATTGATCAGCTGCCTCCTGCATGCCCCCCATTGGGGATTGAGCCCACAACCCGGGCACCTGCCCTGACCAGGAATCGAACTGTGACCTCCTGGTTCATAGGTTGACGCTCAACCCCTGAGCCATGCCGGCCGGGCTCTGAGCTTCTTAAAGCTTAATTTTATAAAGCTGAGCACTTCAATACACAGAGGAAGTCATAACGTAATCTGTGAAAATGCAAAGCCCAGACAAATAAAACAGCCCACCAGGTAAAACAGACGCACGGTCCCAGGATCTGTGTCTAAGACTAAAGGTTTGCCTTGATCTTGGGGATCTGCAAGGTGGGCTGGAGCGAGCACGAGGCACGAGGCAGGGAGGCCTCCTCAGATGCTGGGCTCCCCAACCTCTCGCCAGGTCACCTCACATCCCTTTAGCGGGACTTCTCTCTTGTATCAATCGTTGGCGTCTCAGCTGTGTGTTGCCTCAGTCAGAAGGCCTGGACTCAGCCCAGGAAGGTGAGGCACCCCCTAAGCAGGAATCAGTGTGTAGGATCTGAAGGAGATCCTTTCTGGAGGAGGCAGCACCACAGAGCGGAGAGGCCGACACTGCAGGAGACAAGGAAGGCTCGTGCAGCCCTCCCTAACTCCTCATTGCCCTTTCTCCTCTTTCCCCTGGGCACCCACAGCTCTAAGGTATTTCTGGAAATCGACAACCGCCAGTGTGTTCAAGATTCAGACCAGTGCTTCAAGACCACGGATGCAGCCGCAGCTCTTCTGGCCTCTCACGCCATCCAGGGCACCCTGTCCTACCCGCTGGTCTCTGTCGTCAGTGAGTAGCACTGCTTTAGAGGGAAGGTATGGGGGGGCGTCACCTGGGGACAAAGAGGAAGGGCACACTCCTCAACGTGCAGCTCTTCATTGTTCAGGGCTGGGAGCTCCCAGCCGCCCTCGGGGTAAACGTAAAGCTAGTGTGGGGAGGTCGATGTCTTACCAGCACGTTTCCTGTCGCTTGTACTTGCAGGTGAATCCCGGGGTCCCAAACGCACCCAGCTGCTCTATCTCCTTGCCGTTGCTGTTGTCATCATCCTGTTCCTTCTGCTGCTGGTGGTCATCATGGCAAAACGGAAGCGTAAGCACGGCTCCCTCTGGCTGCCCGAAGGCTTCACCCTTCGCCGGGAGTCCAGCAATCACAAGCGTCGCGAGCCGGTGGGACAGGATGCCGTGGGGCTGAAGTAAGCCGGCTTGCCCGCAGCACTGCTCACAGCAGTGATGAGCAGGGGTAGAGCAGGCAGGCAGGTCGTGGGGGTGATGCCTTTAGCTCTGAGCTCTGGCCACATCGCCACACGTGACCACACTCTGGGTGCCCCCTGAGCAGCTGTGAAATAGCAGCCAGAGGCCGGTGCTTCCGACCTGTACGTGTATCTGTCGCGTTGGTGCTCGGCTTCTGTGTTGAGGCACACTTTTTGTTCTGTTTTGTTAATCCTCACCTGAGGATATCTTTTCCCATTAATTTTTAGAGAAAGTGGAAGGGAGGAGGAGAGAGAGAGAGAGACAGAAAGAAAGATGGATGTGGGAGAGACACATCATTGGTTTTCTCCCGCACACACCCTGACAGGGCCAGAGACCCTGCAACCCAGGCACATGCCTTTGACCGGAATCGAACCTGAGACCCTTTAGTATGCAGACCAATGCTCTAAACACTGAGCACACAGGCCAGGGCAAGGCACACCTTTGTTGTAAGCTCTTGATCAGCAGGAAAGAAAGGATGTTTACTCCGGTAAAGGGATGTAAAATGCTGCCCATCCCTGGGGGCCAAAGCGAGTATAGAGAGGAGTGTGTGTCCTGGTGGGACAGGTGTGGCGATCCTCCGGATCCGTTGATGATACGCCTCTTCTCTTGTTTTCCCTTCCTAACCCTGGCCAACAGGAATCTCTCCACGCAAGTCTCAGAGGCTAACCTGATAGGTTCTGGAACAAGTGAGCATTGGGTCGACGATGAAGGGCCCCAGGCAAAGAAAGCCAAGGTGAGTTGGCCACCATCGGCCACGCTCGGGTCACATTTCCGTTTCTGTCCTTAGGAGCAGGAATGTCCCAAATGGGAGTGATCCTCTTTATACGTTGCCCGGGCCACGGCTATTCCAGGTGGTCATGAAAGGCAGGGATCTCCAGGTCATTGCTGGCCTTGGGTGACCTCTGTGTGTTTTCAGTAAGAACTCTAAGAATAATAAAACAGGCAACAAGCATGCTTCCTTCCTGAAGTGCCGTAGATGGCAGCCGGGTAAGGACTGAGGTGTGTAAACAGTTTCCTGCTGCCTCCATCGTGCCCTTGCTCTGTCGGGCATTTCCCCTCTGGAAGGGAGGGTGGGATTAATAGTGAAGAAGCCAGTGGCCATTAGAGGCTCCTCATCTTGAACCTAGGAACTAACACCATTTAGAAGTAAGAGGTGGATTGGGCTGGGGCTGAGGTGGAAAGGGAGGCCATCGGCCCGTAGCTATACGTGGCTGGGACGTGTGCATCCCGTGGGTATTCTAAATCAGCATGAGGAGGTGGACCTTGAGGATTACCGGCATGCACTGAGCACAGTCAGAGTCAAGTCCAAAACTCTGCTACTTGGTAGCTGGCAAGTTATTTAACCTCCTTGTATGTAATTACCCTTATTTGTAAAACAATGCTATTAACAGGGATATTAATAATTCTTTTCTCTGTGAGTTGTTGTGGGGATTAAATACAGCAGTACGTGTACTAGTAAAGTGCCTCACCTACTTCCTATCCCATCCTAGATACTCAGTAACGGGCAGCTGCGTTTAAAATTATAATAATAATTATTGCTCAACAAATATTTCCCGGGCACTTGCTCTGTGCCGGGCACTTGTTCGCACAGGGAGGCAACCCTGGGAAGGGTGTGGCCCCTGTTCTCGGGAACCTCAGTCTGTCTAGTGGTAGCGACTGGGGTGCAGGCGCCCAGGAGCACCCAGCACGGGGTCAGGAAGGAGAGGTGAGCAGAGTGCTCTTCAGGACCCACAGGAGGAATTCAAGTCCAAAGTCATTTGAAGGGGCGGTAGGAGTTAATCAGAGGATTGGGAGGGACCCTGGCAGACAGAGGGAACAGCGTGAGCAGATGCCCAGAAGCAAGGAAATGGCACCTAGGGGACCTATAAATAGCATGTTAGGTAGGTAGACACGTCAGGTATTAAGGCTGAGGCTAGAGTTTGGGCTTGGAGGTGGGAGAAGTGTACGGTGACCCGGGACAGGTGAGCAGGAGCTGGGAGGCGGCCGTGGGTGCAGATCTGAGGGCTAGAGGCAGGGCTGAGGGGAAGCTGGCGGGAGGCTCGGGACTAGCTTCGTCCGCAGCTCCTGGTGGTGGGCAGCTTCACAGCCGGCGTGCCGTCCCCTTTCAGGCTGAAGCCGAGGCTTTGCTCTCAGAAGACGACCCCATCGATCGACGCCCGTGGACACAGCAGCACCTCGAGGCCGCAGACATCCGCAGGACCCCGTCGCTGGCCCTCACGCCCCCGCAGGCGGAGCAAGAGGTGGACGTGCTGGACGTGAACGTCCGGGGCCCAGGTCAGCACTCAGTCTTCCCTCACGAGGCCACGCCTGCCTGGGTTCTGTGTTGTCCCTCCCGTGTCTGCCCTGCTTGGTGATGTGCCCCCAGCCAGTTTCCCAGGCGCTGAGTCAGAGTGAGGAGACAGTGCTTGAGGAATACAGACATGCAGACATGAACTCACAGGAGCAGATGGGGAGGATCGCACACCGCTTCACGCTCAGCGTGCTTGCGAACAAGTGGGCTGATTATATGAGATAGATTTCATTTACTTTTTTGTTTGTGTTTGGGGGTGGGGGTGGGGTGGGGGTTTTTTATTATTAATCCTCATCCAAGGATATTTTTAGTGAGTGGAAGGGAGGAGGAGAGACAGAGACACATCATAGGTTGTCTCCCCCACGCAACCTGACAGGGGCTAGGGATCGAGCCTGCAACCGAGGTACGTGCCCTTGACTGGAATCAAACCTGCAACCCTTCAGTCTGTGGGCCAAACCGGCTAGGACGAGAGAGATTTTAGTACAACAGAAAAATCATATCCCAAAGCAGAGGAATGGAGAATTCATTTAGCTGAAACTTCGGTGCCTATAGCTCTATTAACACTGAATATTTTAAATTGTCCATTTAAAAGTAACATAGCCCTTAGAAACTTGCACAGAAAGCTTGTTTAACTTCAAGAAGAACCCTTCTTGCTGCCTCACTGCCCTTTACTGGGGGGCCATTCCCAGTGGAAGAGCAGGTGGCCAGTGTCACCAGAAGCACAGGGATTCTTCCCAGTCGAATAACGTGACTCATGTTGAACTGTCTGACAGCGGGGTTAATTGAACACGAGTGCCGTTCTCCTCCTGAGTGGAATCAAACCTGCAACCCTTCAGTCTGTGGGCCAAACCGGCTAGGACGAGAGAGATTTTAGTACAACAGAAAAATCATATCCCAAAGCAGAGGAATGGAGAATTCATTTAGCTGAAACTTCGGTGCCTATAGCTCTATTAACACTGAATATTTTAAATTGTCCATTTAAAAGTAACATAGCCCTTAGAAACTTGCACAGAAAGCTTGTTTAACTTCAAGAAGAACCCTTCTTGCTGCCTCACTGCCCTTTACTGGGGGGCCATTCCCAGTGGAAGAGCAGGTGGCCAGTGTCACCAGAAGCACAGGGATTCTTCCCAGTCGAATAACGTGACTCATGTTGAACTGTCTGACAGCGGGGTTAATTGAACACGAGTGCCGTTCTCCTCCTGAGTCCTGGGTTCTCCTTTCCTGTAGATGGGTGCACCCCACTGATGCTGGCTTCCCTCCGAGGAGGCAGCTCAGACATGAGTGAGGAAGATGAGGACGCAGAGGACTCGTCTGCCAACATCATCACAGACTTGGTCTACCAGGGGGCCAGCCTGCAGGCCCAGACAGACCGGACCGGCGAGATGGCCCTGCACCTGGCCGCCCGCTACTCGAGGGCAGATGCCGCCAAGCGTCTCCTGGACGCAGGTGCAGACGCCAACGCCCAGGACAACATGGGCCGCTGCCCTCTCCATGCTGCAGTGGCAGCTGATGCCCAAGGTGTTTTCCAGGTAAAGAACATGATCTGCAGTGTCTTATCTTTGTTAAGGCACTTAGCATCCCATTACATTCACTCAGTACTTCTTTCAGAGAATAAAGCAGGTGGCAGAGCCGGGCTTGCTAGATGGGAAAGCCGGAAAAGGGAGGCAGGCAAATTGACCTAATTGTCTGTAGCCAGGGGGTGACAGACCCGACAGCAGTGTTCTGAGTGCGAATCACGTGGTTTTCTGAGGTGCCAGAATGCCTCCCAGATGAGTAGATCGAGGGGAGTGGTACCTATGATGAAGCCTTTGCTAGTGTCAGCTTCTGCCTACAGGTTTACCTGACCACGTGGGCTTCCACGGGCTCCTCTGTGGTTTTCTTTACGTGAAGTCACAGTGTGCTCCTTGATGCCCTTGTATTGCACCCTTTTGAGGAAATTGGAAGCATCCTGTACACCATAATGGAGGTGGTGGTATTTTCCCACACCCCCCTTCTTTCTTTAGAAAGTAGGACTTCACCTTACATGGAGCCATTGTCTTCAGCACATTTGTTCGTTCGTTCATTCATTCATTCATTCATTCCACAAACATCTGTTGATTGGTCCTGGTAGAGACTCGGGCACAAAAAGAACAAGACATTTCTTCCCCTCCAGGAACTCACAGCGTGGCCTCCACTACGATGCCCTTGGTCCTTCTCTCAGTGTCATTACATTCTTCATTCAGGTGACTCTCTCTCCTGTACTTTCCCTTCTAGATCCTGATCCGCAACCGAGTGACCGATCTGGATGCCAGGATGAACGACGGCACCACACCCCTGATCCTGGCTGCGCGCCTGGCTGTGGAGGGGATGGTGGCGGAGCTGATCAACTGCCAAGCAGACGTGAACGCGGTGGACGACCACGGTAGGGATGCGGCGGGGTTGGGATTCTGACCCGCAGAGCATCCTCTAAGGGGGAGGGTTGTTGATCCTTAGAGACCTGCCTCAGGTCCAAACCCACTGAAGGTTCATCTGTCCATCCAGTCTTTCTCTTAACATGATGAGCTTGGAGAGCTGAGCCATTGGGAGGTGCATGGATGAAGAGGGGAAGGGATGGTTAGGGAGGGCTCAGGGCCTCAAAGCAGGTCTGTGAAAGGTTTGCCTGTGTGAGCTGCCTGGCCTGCCACTCTCATGAGGATGTATGAGAGCCGGATTCCCTGGGATGGGGCACCGTTAGAGACCCTAAGTATACGTTCTGGCGTGTATACATACATACGGTCTTCACTGCGGTAGGGTCGGTTCTGCCATGTGGAGGGCGGGGGCACCACAGACAAATGGTCCTCATCCCGGGAGGTCCTCTGGAGGCGGAGCAGCCTGCACGCAGCACTCCTAGAACAGGGGGAAGGAGGAAATACTTGGAGTCTGTCCTTGGACCCCACAGGGAACTGACTTCCCGATGCGAGGAGCGGGACGTGTCCTCTATGCCGCCTGCTCACACGAACGTTTCTCTTGCAGGAAAATCTGCTCTTCACTGGGCAGCGGCTGTCAACAACGTGGAGGCGACACTTTTGCTGCTGAAAAATGGGGCCAACCGAGACATGCAGGACAACAAGGTGCAGTCTGGGCTCCGAGCGGGAGGGCAGGCCCCGCCGCGCCCAGCATCTGAGGCCTCCCCTGTCTCCCGCAGCTCCGCCTGTGATCAGTGTAGACAGAGGAGGAAGCGGGCTGGACGGGAGCCTTAGGAAGGGCATCGGGCTCCCCCAGGGAGGGGCCGGGGCTGAGCCTCTGCCCACGCGGTACTCAGCCTGCTGCAGGCCGTTCTGCACGTGACTCGGTGCAGCCTCGCTGCCTCGCTCGTCTTGGACGGCCCTTCTGCTGTGCCCTGCCCTGCTCTTGCTCACTTCTTTCTCTTGTTTGTTTTCCTGCTGCTCTTCTTTTCTGCTCTCGGACACCACGTGCTTTCCTGTTTGCTTTTCTTCCTCTGAGTTTTGGGTCAGGCTTCCCTCTCTGGCTCATCTTCTCCCTTCCCCCTACTTTAGTTCTTCTTTGTGCATGTCCTTTCTCCGCTTTCTTTTACTTTTCCCTGCTCTGCACATGCTTTAGGTTCTCCCCTGCTGCCTTGCTTATTTCTAACTCGTTCGCCTACTTTGATGAGCTCAGTGCTCTTTTACGACGCTCTGCCTCAGCAGCGTGCTTGAGTTCACACATTCCCACCTAAGGAGACACTGCCCGCAACCGGCAAAATTGGTTCCTGGGCTGGGGTGACATAATCGTACTCTTTCGCCTGAAGCATAGATATCCGTTCAGCACATAGCTAGAGAGACAGTCTATCGGTGGCATTAAAATTTCACGCAGGGGGGCAGTTTGGGAAAAAATGTCTAAGGGGAGGGTGATAGTAAAAGGATTGAGAAACATGGCTCTGGTCTCAAGAGAGTCATTCATTCAACTGTGCTCTTCGTGGGCCTTCCCTGCAGGAGGAGACGCCGCTGTTCCTTGCTGCCCGGGAGGGGAGCTATGAGGCCGCCAAGATCCTCTTAGACCATTTTGCCAACCGGGACATCACAGACCACATGGACCGCCTGCCCCGGGACGTGGCTCGGGAGCGCATGCACCACGACATCGTGCGCCTGCTGGACGAGTACAACGTGGCGCCGAGCCCTCCCGGCTCCGTGCTGACCTCCGCCCTCTCCCCCGTCATCTGCGGGCCCAACCGGTCCTTCCTCAGCCTCAAACACACTCCGATGGGCAAGAAGCCCAGACGGCCCAACGCCAAGAGTGCCGTGCCCACCAGCCTCCCTAACCTGGCCAAGGAGGCCAAGGAGGCCAAGGGTGGCAGGAGGAAGAAGTCGCTGAGTGACAAGGCCCAGCTGTCGGAGAGCTCCGTGACTCTGTCCCCCGTCGATTCCCTCGAGTCCCCTCACACCTACGTTTCCGACACCACCTCCTCCCCAATGATCACATCCCCTGGCCTCCTACAGGCCTCGCCCAACCCCATGCTGGCCGCGGCCGCGGCCCCCGCCCCTGTCCACGCACAGCATGCACTGTCCTTCTCTAACCTCCGTGAGATCCAGCCTTTGGCGCACGGGCCCGGCACTGTGCTTCCCTCGGTGAGCCAGCTGCTGTCCCACCACCACATGGTGCCTCCAGGCAGTGGCAGTGCGGGGAGCGTGGGTAGGCTGCATCCGGTCCCTGTCCCGGCAGACTGGATGAACCGCATGGAGATGAATGAGAGCCAGTACAATGAGATGTTTGGTATGGTACTGGCACCAGCTGAGGGCACCCCTCCTGGCATAGCTCCTCAGAGCAGGCCGCCGGAAGGGAAGCATATGACCGCCTCCCGGGAGCCCTTGCCCCCCATCGTGACTTTCCAGCTAATCCCCAAAGGCGGGATTGCCCAACCCGCCGGGGCGCCCCAGCCTCAGTCCAGCTGCCCTCCGGCTGCTGCAGGCCCCATGCCCACCATGTACCAGATTCCAGAAATGGCTCGTTTGCCCAGCATGGCGTTCCCCACTGCCGTGATGCCCCAGCAGGACGGGCAGGTCGTTCAGACCATCCTCCCCACCTACCACCCTTTCCCAGCCTCCGTTGGCAAGTACCCCACTCCCCCTTCACAGCATAGTTACGCTTCCTCCAATGCCGCCGAGCGAACGCCCAGCCACAGTGGTCACCTGCAGGGGGAGCATCCCTACCTGACCCCATCCCCGGAGTCTCCTGACCAGTGGTCAAGTTCGTCACCCCACTCTGCTTCTGACTGGTCAGACGTGACCACCAGCCCCACTCCCGGGGGGGCCGGAGGAGGTCCGCGCGGACCGGGGACACACATGTCTGAGCCAGCACGCAGCAACATGCAGGTTTACGCGTGAAAGCCTGCCTCCGGTGCAGGCACAGAACTGCCTATTGTAAATGCTGCTGAGGACAAATGAAGGTCATCCGGGAGAGAAATGAAGAAATCTCTGGGACCAGCTTCTGGAGGCAGAAGAGAGGAGACGCTCTTACCTTTCAGCTACTGCAAGGAAAGCAGTCCCACCAGCGTCAGCGGGTGTCTGCAGGGCTCTGGGAGGGAGCGACACGCCTCCTAATCTCTTGCCCATCAAGCCAAGTGTGTTGGAAATGCAAGATGAATACGAGACTTGGGACCATGTTTACCCTCTTTTACTTGGAGAATGGACGGATGCCTGTTGTAGCTCAGACATTCTTGCAGCTGGGACTGCGCTGTACGCCCTGGGGGCTCCTGCCCTGTCCATGAGAAGATTCCACGGGGAATTATCCCTGGAATTCTAGCTGGACTGACCTGTCTCATCCTCTCAGCCTTGGCCATTCTTCGGACTGTTTGGTGCTTTGAGTTTTGCACCTGTCTGTGTTCGCAGCCACATCAGCACGGAACCGGCCCGGCCTCTGTGCCTTTAACCATTCCTGCTCTGGAACGTAATTTTCACTGCCTTTTCCCTCCCGTTTTCCACTCTCCCTGGGGGTCTCCCGGGGTGACTTTGGTTCTGGTTCTCAGCATAAACCTTCCTGTTTCTTTAGAAAACGGACATTCGGCATCCTCCTGCCTGACAGCATTCCTGGAAGAGGAGCAAAATATTTTTCTTTGAACCCCGTTTTGGGACAGGAGATCCCTTCAGGATGCTCCCAAGCTCCCTGGCCTGCACGCAGGGCTTCATGGAAACCTTACGGGAGAAAGGGTGAGAGTCCGTCTTTCTGTTCGTGGGCCTAGTCAGCGTGCAGTTTTACCCTTGGCAGTTGGGTACTATGACCCTTGAAAAAAAAAAACCCACCAGGACTCAGAATGTTGGAATGACCAAGAGATAAACTCACTGATGCAAGATGTGTTCCCACTGGCAGGTGCCTCCCCTCCCTGCCCAGCAGCGCACTGACTCCCGTGGGAAGCCTGTGCGCGCCTCCCCGCCAGCAGAACCCTCGAGGGCTCCCCTCACTCACCCAGCAGACAAAGCTGTCTGTATATTGAGCCTTTCCTTCCATTGGTCCTCACAGAAGAAAATCTCTCAGACGATATTCTCTCACCTTCTAGAATGGAACTGGCCTCGGCTCCGGGCAGCCCGTGGCAGCCGTCTTCCCTTCGTTTCCTGATTCTCTTTCTGATCACAGGCCCATTCACCAGTCTTCCTTCCGCACAGGAGGGGCTGAGTTACTGGTGCCCCCAGTAGGTTCTCACCGAACACAGGGATTTATTTTCAAGGGCAGGAAATGGAGCCTTGGCCTTGCTCTCTAGGTTCAAGGCCAGTCCCTTGGAAAGGGAGGAACGACGAGGCAGCCCTTGCTACTTCTTGCCACCATTCCATTTCCTTTGAAGCAGTCATGACATCTCCTTTTAGGTAACTAACAAGCTTATCAGGGACATTTTTCTTTCCTAGAGTCACCGTCTAGATGACAATGGACAGTTACAGACTCACTGTCCTCGACACCCTCGTGTTCAGTGTGGAAATGCATCTCACCTAAGTCTGCTCTTTGTATTTGTGGTCTTGGCAGCTTGCTTGACCCTGGGTCAGGGGCAGGAGTGTTCTAGGTAACACCAGAAGTAGGAAGCTAAAGGATAGTCCCCCCGCCCCCGGCCCCCTTCTCCCTGAGTCGGCAAATAATTGTCACATCGACCTGGTGCTATGCTGTCATGGCACTGGGGAGATCAGTTCCCCGGAGCAGGTGGTAGACATTAGTAGGGGCGTTGCCTGCTCTGTTTTGGGGTGAATAACAGTCTTCATTCCTGCTGTGGCTGAGTGTTCACCAGGGCCTCCCACTTACTTGCTTTATCTGCCTGTGGCCCCGTACAGAGGAGCCCAGTGTGTCTGTTAGCAGGGAAGTCTACAAAGGATGCTTTTCAGTCCTGCCCAAGTTCATGAGCCAAGAAAAAGAATTAGTTCTGCTCTAATATAAGCAGATTGTCTATTCATTCTGCATTTTATTCTCTCAGGTGGCAACTCTACCAGCCCCTTTCATAGTGTGTAACATTCTGTCACTCTAACTGCTGACTCTGTCGTTGGCCGCATTTGTTAATTCACAGGTGGGGGGGTCACCTGTCTGACTCACCATGGAGCCCCGCACCGGCCCCGCTTACCGAAAGCATCACCTCTGATCCAGCAGCTTGAATCTTTGATAACCTCCCTCTCCCAGCACTGCAGGCCTCACTCGCTTGTTTCTCCGTGCAGCCCTTTGGGTTTCGGGGAAGGAACGAGAAAGCTGCCGTCACAGACCACAGGCTTCGCCTTTCAGGCACTGGTCGGTTTCTGAGATTATAAGGACCTTTGAGTTGTATCATATCTAATAGAAGAGATGGTGAGTTGGAGACTCACCTTCTCATTTGGTTCTGAATGGCAGACGAACTTTTAAGGGGACAGAGCTTTTATACCATGTATAGGTCAACCCCCCACTTTTGGTTTATTTTTATAAATTCTTCCTTTGATTCTTCTGTCATCCTCTGGGGATAGATTTTTTTATTTGTTTATTTCTTCTGTTTTGTGTGAAGCATCATTTGCTGACTTAACTTGATGGCGAGGGAGGGAGGGGTTTGAGGGCAAAAGAGACTGAAAGTCTTTAGTGTAAGAGCCACCAGCTATGATGCTCAAGTCCATTATGTCATCTTACTATTAAGTTTGGTAGCCCACAGTTCTTGCACAGAAAGGAACCAAAGGTGGAGTGTGCTGTCGGCAGGTGGCTTCAGGAATTTGGCCTTGACCGATAACATTGAATGCATGATGACCCTTTGATTGGACGGTTCTATGCCCTGAGGCTCCACCCCTAACTTTCTGGTACTATGCTCCTTCCTTGTGTACATTTCTCTTAAGGGTGATATTATATGTTTGTATGAGAAGGCCCATAACCAATAAAATGACTGCATATTCCTAACTAGGCATAGTAAGGAAAATGCACACTTTGTTTTTACTTTTCAAAGTTTCATTCTAAAAGTAGTTAAGATGAAATTTATATGAAAGCATTTTTATCACAAAATAAAAGCAGTTACATGTCAAACTCAATGGCGTGGTGGTTTTCATTTCCCTTTGCTTCATCCTGGTCCTGTGGTGACGACCTCGTGCCCTCCTTCTTCTTCGAGAGAAATCCTTCGCTTTCCATTCTGGGCCCCACAGGGAGGGCCGGGCACGGGGCTTCCTTTCTTCTCTCTCCAGGCAGATCCGAAATCAGTGCTTTTGAGGAAGGCGCTTCTGTCACATAGGAAGCATCGCGAGACTGAGTCCCTTTCCTTTGCACCAGCTGGTGACAGACAGTGGCTCAGGATACAGCGCCTTCCAGTGGAAATGGAGGTGTTTGCCAAAGGCAGAGCTGAGGGTTAGGATATACTGAGTAATGCTGGTGGGGCTGGGACCCAAACCGCCAGTGTGCAGTATTATTCCTCAGATTGTATATAGAATTTAATCTATACGGTTACAAAATAGTATTTTGCATATAAGTATGTTACCAAGTTTATTCATTTACTTGCAGGGTCAGTCAAGTGAATGTTTGGACACAGATATTTGACATGGGTGATATCTGTGGCATTCGCCGCCTCCTATCAATTTCCATAGCATATTTGCCGAAATAACGTTTTAACACAATTGACAGCACATATGGTTATCCTGGGAGGGTTATGGTTTTATATAAACATATATAATACATGTGGGGAGCTTCATGTTGGGTTTTGTAATGGTGTGGGAAGAAAATGCTTTTGCGCGCTAAGGAACGCCTCGCTCGAGTCTTGGCCTCTCAGAGCTGGGGTTCCTCTTCAGACTTTGGGAACTCAGACTTGCTCCATGGAAACCTGCTCCGGGGGACCTGGCCCGCTCTCCACCTTCCTCCTCCCCCTTCCACTTCCAGCCTGAACCCCCAGCCCTCGATGGGGCAGGGAGAATCCAGGGCCCTCCCAGCCCTGAGATCCAAGGAAGGAGGGCAGGCTGGAGGCCACGCCTGTCAAGTCACATAGCTGGGATTGTAGATTTGGACTCCAGGCCCTGGTCACGCAGTCATGCAGCTAACAAGCCTCCCAGCCCAAGGAGAGGTGCTGAGTTCCTCTTCAGAACGTGATGGTGATCAAGACCAACCGGCCCCTGGGCGATGGGCAAAGGGGGAAGCAACTGCGAGCCTGTCACTGCCTCTGCCTCTGTGAGTGCTCCCCTGCAGGACAGTCTTTTAAAAATAAAATAGGAATCAAGTCCTTGCAAAGGCCCTGAAGAGAGAGGGTGTATGTGGTGTGTGTGCGTGGGGGGTGGAGGGATGGGATACAGAGCAGGTATTCAACTTTTCCTTCTTTTGGAGCTTAGCAAGACACATTAATTTTTTGAAATATATTTTTATTGATTTCAGAGAGGCAGGGAGAAGGAGAGAGAGATAGAAACACCAATGATGAGAGAGAATCATTGATCGGCTGCCTCCTGCGCTCCCCACGCTGGGGATCCAGCCCACAACCTGGGCATGTGCCCTGACCGGGAATCGAACCATGACCTCCTGGTTCATAGGTTGATGCTCAACCACTGAGCTACACTGGCCGGGCAGCAAGACACATTTAAAACATTTGCACCAGTCAAGACCCAACTGAAAAGTGTGGGCAAACTCAAATTAGGATAATACCAGAAGGGCTCATTTACAACAGGACTGGTTATGAGGTGTGTATTGTGAGGGGGAGGTGAACCTTAGTGGGCAGTGCAGAAAGTCCTGGCTAGCATCAGCAGAGTGATGACCACTTCGGTCCAAAGAGAGGAAGGCTGGGAGAGGTCACTGAACCTGGAAGGTACCTCAGGAAGAGCCGTGACTTCTATCGAGGAACACAATGAGCCATGGCCTCACCCTCACCCCACGACCCCACCCCCAGCAAGGAAGCCAGGGAATAATACCCTGACTTCGTTCCCCACCCCACCTCCAGCCTGGACTTCCTATTTGCTGAATCCAAGAGGAAGTCCGAAAATGAAGGAACCTGTTGGATTTGACCCATTGATACAGTCAACTTCCTGGCGGGCAGAGCTTGGGAGAGAAAGGAAGAGAGTGGATCTGACGGTGCAAACATATTATCTAAAACATTCTCCCTCCATCTGTGACATTTCTAAGGAACTTCTACCCTTTGAGACAGCATGGAGGGACCTGGAGAGTATCATGCTAAGTGAAATAAGTCAGTCAGAGAAAGACAAGTATCACATGATCTCACTCACATGTGGAATCAAACAAACAAAATAAACTGATGAACAAAGTGGATCCAGAGACATGGAAGCATGGAACAGAGGGTGGAATCTCAGAGGGAAGGCGGGGGAGAGAGGGTGGGTGGAAGGTAATCAACCAAAGAACTTGCATGCATATATGCATGGCCCTTGGATACAGACAATGGGGTGGTGAAGGCCAGGGCAGGGAGTAGGGGAAGGCTGGAAGGAGTCAATGGGGGATAGGGAGGGGACATGTGTAATACTTTCAATACTTGCAACAATAAAGATTTTTTAAAAAAGAAACTTCTACTGACAGCCTTCCTTTGATGTGTCAAGGTGGGGAACGAAAAATAAAAGCAATGATGTATTGATAATCTGATTTAACATCTTTTCCTGATCTACTTACTAGTGTGCTTCTTCACTACTTTGGCTTTGAGCACCCAAACTGGAGAGAATCAAAAGCAGCAGGATGGAAGAATTATGGTACCTTCATTCAATGGAGTGCGACACAGAAATGAAAAAAAAAAAAAAAAGCAACGATATGAGGAATCGTCATTGGCATAATATTGATCAAAGGAAGCCAGACACCAAAGAAGACACCCTGAGTGATTCCATTATCTAGTTCAGGAAAAACAAACCAATGGTAAGTAGAGATCTGAAGAGCGGGTGCTTTTTGTGGGAGAGGCTTCTTGACTGAAAAGAGGGTAAGAAGATCTTTCTGAAGTCTGAAGGTGGCGATTACATAAATGTATACGTCTGTAAAACTCCCTTAAGACTTGTGCATTTTACTATTGTAGGTTATCTATACTAATAAAAGGGTAATATGCTAATTAGACCGGGAGACCTTCCGGACATCCTTCCAGACAAAGCCATGGTGGTGGGGCTAAGGCAGAAGCAGTTGGGGGCGAGCAGGCCAGGAGGAAAGGGCAGTTGGGGGCGAGCAGGCCGGCAGGGGGGGCAGTTGGGGGCGAGCAAGCTGGCAGGCAGAGTGGTTTAGGGGCGATCAAGCAGGCAGGCAGGTGAGTAGTTAGGAGCCAGCAGTCCCGGATTGTGAGAGGGATGTCCCAGATTGGAGAGGGTGCAGGCCGGGCTGAGGGACACCCCCCTCCCATGCACAAATTTCATGCACCAGGCCACTAGTCCTATATAATAAAAGGCTAATATGCAAATTGACAGAATGGTGGAATGACCGGTTGCAATGATGTGCACTGACCATCAGGGGGAAGACGGTCAATGCAGGAGCTGCCCCCTGGTGGTCACTGCACTCCAGAAGCCAGGCTCATGGCTGGCGAGCGCAGTGGTGGTGATGGGAGCCTCTCCCACCTTCACGGTAGCACTAAGGATGTCCAACAGCTGGCTTAGGCCTGCCCCCTCCTCCCCCCGGGCTCCCGGACTACAAGAGGGCGCAGGCTGAGCTGAGGGACCCCTTCTCCCCCTGAGTGCATGAATGTCATGCACTGGGCCTCTAGTACTTTAATAAAATATATCTGCAATATCTGACAAATGCCTAAATACCTAATATTATGAAAATAACATGTAGTTGCCTGGCCAGTGTGGCTAAGTGGTTGAGCATCAACCTATGAACCAGGAGGTCACAGTTCAATTCCAAATTGGCACATGCCTGGCTTGTGGGCTCAATCCCCAGCAAGGGGAGTGCAGGAGGCAGCCAATCAATGATTCTCTCTCATCATTGATGTTTCTTATTTTTCCCTCTCTCTTCCTCTCTGAAATAAAAATATATTTTTTAAATAAGAATAAATAAAAATAAAGAGGCCCTAGCTGATTTGGCTCAATGGGTTGAGTGTCGGCCTGCAGACTGAATGGTCCCAGGTTTGATTCTGGTCAAGGGCACATGCTAAGGTTGGGGGCTCAATCCCCAGTAGGGGATGTGCAGGAGGCAGCCAATCAATGATTCTCTCTCATCGTTAATGTTTCTATCTCTCCCTCTCCCTTACTCTCTGAAATCAACAAAAATATATATTTTAAATAAAATAAAAATAAAGAGGACAAGATAAACTTTTTAAAATATAGACTCTTTCCCATTAGTGATTAGTTGAATCAAACCAGATGGTGAAGGAAATCATATGCATTCTGGCTCTGGGGTACAGAAGTCATCTCTTGATGTCAGGTGAGAAAAACTGGGTTGTTGAGCGGGTATGTATGGGGCGTTCAACACCATAGTCAGACAATAGGTGGAGCCTCAGGATGGTGATTTGCTACACCAGAGCGGCTGCAATATTACACAAAGACACTAGAGGGAGCACATGAGTAGAAACTGGCAAACTCCTTCAAACAAATTATGCACACAACCAGAGAGAGAGAGAGAGAGAGAGAGAACTTGAGAGATATCCAGAAACTCTAGCCTGGCATGTGGCGAAAGTCCACTCTTTATGAAACCAGACAGTAGTCTGGGAGGCTTGGCTTATTCTCAGAAGCCAAAATCCCAAACATTACACCAAAGACAAAAAAAACACAAGACAAACAGGCAACCACAACATGTTTGGATGAACCAATTACATCTCGAAACCATGCCCAAAGAAATGAAGATATATAACTTGAAAAGAAGGAATTCAAAATTACTGTCATAATGATATTCAATGAATTAAAAGACAGAACAGGTAGCTAAAAAATTTCAAGAAAATGTGGCATGAAAAATGAGATTACCAATAACAACAAAAACTATGAAGAAGAGGCAAATAGCTGTTCTGTCAATGAAGAACACAGTACCTGAATAGGAAATTTCACTGGCGGGACTAAACAGCAAACTTGACCAGGCAGAACAAAGAGTGAGTCAAACTGAGAAAGGACTTTCATAGTTAATGAAATAGAGGAAGAATTAGAAAACAATGAAAGGAGCCTACAGGACTTAGATTTCATCAGATGAAACAACATATGCATTATGGGAGTCACAGAAAAGAGACTATTTGAAGAAACAGTAGCCAAAAACCTCCCAAATCTGAAGAGAGAATGGATGCACACATACAAGAAACTTAAAAACTCTAATTAAGATAAATTAAAGAGACCTCGAAAGGAAAACCTTTTTTTCTTTAAAAATTACAAATGTCCCTCCCCGCCCCCACCCAGGCCTTCTTAATCAAACTGTCAAAAGTCACAGTAGGTTCTCTTGCCTGAAGCCAGGGGCCGCCCCGGGTGGGGTGAGGGTATAGCTTCTACACTGACATTTTCAGGCTCTGCTGCTGCTCCTGCAGGCTCTGCTGTTCCTGCAGGCTCCCGGCTCCTGCCCTTTGTCGCAACCGAGTCCAGTGGGAAACTGGGAACCACGTGGTGGCGGTGTGAGCAGAGGCCTATAAACACCGATTCCAGCCGGTGGAGAACATCAGGGCTGTCCCAGGGCCTGTACAAACAGAAGAAATGGCACAGGATACAGTCACCTGAACAGCTTCCCCTTTCTTCCCACGATTTCTCTACTCCTGCTCCTTTGCCCAAGCTGCTCTCTGACTTTCACCGACCCTCGAGCCAACAGTCTCTCTTTCTCTTGGATTCTCGCGCACCTTTGTGGCGTTTCTTCCACGTGCGCCCAACGGCACCGCCCAGAAAACGAACTAGATGCCTTGGGCAGGAACTGCGCCCTGACCCATCCTACACCTAGGCTGGCGCTCCAGCACACCCTGCCCAGCGAGCCCCCGCGCTCTGCGCGCCTCTAGCGGCCGTGCCTGGAAGTGCAGGGGCGGACTCACTGGGGAACAGCTGTGCCATGAGGTCAGTGAGGACCTTAGTCTCCCAAGGCCATTTGCTCCCAGTGCTGGTCCTGGCGTTGCTCCTGGTTGACTCCCTTGGCGAGGATTTAAATTTTCACCCGGAGTGGGGGTTTGACTCATCTGAAATCACCATCCCCAGAAAGCTGAGCTTCCGGGGAGGGAAGCAGGGCACGACCAAACGCATGTCCTACCTCCTGCAGGTACAAGGCAAGAAGCATGTCGTCCACCTGTGGCCCAAGAGGTTTCTGTTGCCCCGGCACCTGCAGGTTTTCTCCTACACAGAAGAGGGGGAGCTCGTGGAGGATCACCCTTACATACCCAGGGACTGCAACTATGTGGGCGTGGTGGAAGGAGCTGAGGATTCTGAAGCTACTCTCAGTACATGCGCGGGGGGTCTCCGAGGCATATTGAAAATTGATGCCAAATATTACCAAATCGAGCCCCTCAGGGCCTCTTCCGGTTTTGAACATGCCATATATCTCCTGAAGAATGAGGGGGGATTTCAGGATCAGCTCTGTGGCATCACTGGTGATGAAAAAGAAGAGCAGATGGCCCAGCCTGACATCATGGCTCGGTATAGTGACTTTGCTGACAGCGTTAAACACCAAAGGTACTTGGAGTTGGCCATGGTCTTTGATCACGATAGATATTTGTATTTGAATTCCAATCTGAGTCAAGCAATAGATGATGCCATTCTTATGGCTGGGGTGATAGATACTTACTATCAAGAGATCAGTCTGAGAATACATCTAAAAGGTGTTGAAGTGTGGACGACTACAAACAAAGTAAGACTTTCATATGATAAAATAGTTTCGGCTTTAACCCAATTTAGGGCATACAGAACACATGCCCTAAATTCTAAGATCCCGGCAGATTGGGAACATATATACATTCAAGGAAACTTTACCGATCGCAATTCATGGCACTGGGGGAAAGTGTGTGGTAAGGAATTTGTCGGATCTGGAAGTGTTATTATAGATAAGGATCTCCTTTTACCTGCCATTTGGACGACTCATGAAATAGGCCATAGTGTGGGAATGGAGCATGACACGCAATACTGCCAATGTAGGGGGCAGCACAGTTGCATCATGGGCACTGGACGCACTGGGTTTAGTAATTGTAGCTACAACGATTATATAAACTACGTACGTCAAAAAGCAACATGTCTGACTGACATCCCAGGACTAGGGTTTGTGGTTAAGAAATGCGGAAACAAAATTGTGGAAGACAATGAGGAATGTGACTGTGGTTCGAAAGAGGACTGTGAAAAAGACCATTGTTGCGAACCAGATTGTAAATTCAAACAGGGTGCCACGTGTAGCACAGGACTTTGCTGCCACAAATGTCACTTTCGTCCATCTGGGTACGTGTGTCGGGAGGTAGAAAACGAATGTGACCTGGCAGAGTACTGCAATGGGACCTCGAGCTTCTGCCCAAATGACACGTATAAGCAGGATGGCACCCCGTGCAAGTATGACGCCCGTTGTTTCCAGAAGGGGTGCTGGTCCACCTATATGCAGTGCCAACGCATTTTTGGATCTGATGCCAGGGAGGCTCCAGATCAGTGCTACGAAGCAGTTAATTTAATAGGGGATCAATATGGCAACTGTGGTATCATTGCAGTTGCTCAGTATGAAAAGTGTACCAAACAGAATTCCTTATGTGGCAGAGTGCAGTGTATAAACGTCCCAACCCTCCCTGACATGCCAGATCACATGAGTGTGGTTTCTACTCATCTGCAGAATGAAAATCTGTTGTGCTGGGGCCTAGGCTACCATCCGGCCATGGTATCCATGGGGATTCCTGACTTGGGTGTAATCCATGATGGCACCTCCTGTGGCAAGGGCCAGATATGCTGGAACAGAACTTGTGTGGATACTTCCATCCTGAAGATTGACTGTGTGCCTGAGAATTGCAATGACAGAGGCTTTTGCAACAATAACAGAAATTGCCACTGCGTGTACGGCTGGGCGCCTCCGTTCTGTGAGGACCAAGGGTATGGAGGGAGCGTTGATAGCGGGCCGCCGAGACAGGTGGAGTTGAAGGTGCCTGCCTCCTTAAGGATCGTGTACCTTTTGATGTTACGCGTTGTTTTGTTCGCCCTCTCAGTGACTTTAGTGATTCTCAGGGTATTGACTAGAGATTTATCAAAACTCAAACAAAAAAGAAAACCACCTACTAACACGGAGATAGATAATTCAAGGCAAGATGAAGAAATTCAAGTAACATACAAACCAAAAAAAAAAGTAACCTGGAAACCCACAGTCGCTTCCGAACACATGCTCACATAGGAAAGAAGCTTATTGTTTATCCAAAGGCTCCTAACTCTTCCTCCAATTCTTTTTTTACTTACTTTTCCTTCTAGTTTTGATCAGCAAATAAATGATATTCTTGTTTGGGAGACAAACCAGTGCACTTTGCTTGCCTAGTGTTCGCTTGGCCTAGTTCGTGAGCGAGGTTGGCGTGTCCTGAGAGGGATCCCCTGGTGGCTTTTCTGAACTAAAGCTCTGGATGGTGTGAGTCTCATGCAATTACAGTGGCTGTCAGAGCAGAGTCCTGCCTCTCAGAATCCCAGCAAACAGAGGGATCCTTTGCCTTTCCCTCGGCCTCCCTCGGTGTGGCCAGTGAGAATGCCTGTGTCTGGCCCCTGCTGAACAATCAATGGTGACCTCCACGGTTTACAAATGGGAAGCGATGCTCTACCAGGAGTGTCCCTCAGATAAGCTTTTCGCCCTGGATAGTCACTGTCTGGGCCACTCCAGCTCTATGGACGTGTGGTCTCTGACTCAAGTTTCCCAGGGCTTCGGTCTGGGTGACCTCAGTTGGGTTAAGGACACTAATCTACCACACCTCTGGCTTTGCACCTCAGTCTATAAATGATGACACACCTGGTGCTGTCCAGAAAGGAAGAGTCTAACAATATTCTATGCTTTGGGACTCTGCTCACAGGGACACCTCTTGTGTGCGTGTGTGCTGAGGGACAGCTGGCTCTAGGTTTGCCACGTCCCTAAGTGGAGCAGAGAGTGAGGAACCCCTTCCACCTTCATGTCTGGCTGCAAAAACTCCCTCCCCTTTGTCCGGTGCTCTCTGGGGAGGAGAGGAGGACTGGGTGGCCCTTGGGAGGAGTCAGTGTCCAAATGTCCTCCCCAAGGAGGGTCTCATCCTTCCCAGACCTTGTCAAAACAAAGGTCATAACAAGAAACAAAGAAGGTCCCTACATAATATACAGGGATCCAACAAGAGGATAGAACCCTTATAAACGTAAATGCATCTAATATAGGAGCACCTATATATATTTTTTAAAAACTCTTGATGAAAAAAATAAAAATAAAAAAAAATAAAAAAATAAACTCTTGGTGAGCTTTAAGTGTGAGATCAACAACAATACAGTCAGTAGGGGACTTTAACACCCCACTGTCATCAATGGATAGATCTTTCAGACAAAATAATCAACAAGGAAACAGAGACTTAAATGACACACTAGATCTGATGGATTGAATTGATATTTACAGAATATTTCATCCCAAAGCAGCAGAATATACATTGAACATGGAATGGTATCAAAGATAGAGCACATGTTAAGACACAAGACAGCCCTGCCCCCAGCTCTCACCACGTGAACCGGAACCCGTCACCCCGGCTGCTCGGGTCGCTGTGGAGCAGCGGCGGTGGCATGGAAGAATCCTGTTTCAGGTCGGTTTACTACTATGCTCCACTGCTTTGGTGGAGGACTTTTATCCTATATACTGTTTGCAGAGCCTCCATTGAGCTTTCTTGCAAACAACACTAATATATTACTGGCATCTTCAATCTGGTATATTGGGGGCTGAGGGGTTGGCCATGTGTCCTAGTTTCCCAGGGGTATTTTTTTCCTAACTGTTCAACTCTTGGCTGCAGGAATGAAGGATGTGACCAGAACTTGGAAAACAGTAGGTGGAGTCACACATGCTAACAGCCATTACAAAAATGGCTGGATAGTCATGATTGCTATTGGATGGGCCCGAGGTGCAGGTGGTAGCATTATCACAAATGTTGAGCTATTGGTAAAAGGAGGTTGGACACCACAAGCTGATGAGTGGATGAAGATGTCCTACCCTGCCAAGGTAACCCTGCTGGTCTCAATTATCTTCACACTAGAAGTCCGTTGCACAAAGATTCGCGCAATAGGCCTTCCTTCCCCTGGCAGCTGGCACCAGTTTTCCTTCAGCACCCAGGACCCAGGCCTTTGGTCCGGCCGCAGCGAGGCTTGGCTTCTCCTCTTCCCTCCCCAGTGAGGCTTGGCAGCGGAGAAGCCAAGCCTCTTCAGTCTTCAGTCTTCACTCTGGCCGGATCCTTCATTCTTCGCTCCACGCCTGTGTATGCAAATTAACCGCCATCTTTGTGGGGATAATTTGCATGGTCGCTCTGATTGGCTGGTGGGTGTACCGGAGTGACACCAAATTGCATGTTTTGCTTTTATTATTGTAGATGAATGAGTTCCCAATGAGATGAAAGAAGAAATAAAAAAATTACCTGGAAACAAATAAAAGTGAACACACAACAACAGAAACTCTATGGGACACAGCAAAAGCAGTCCTAAGAGGAAAGTCCATAGCATTACCAGCCTTCCTCAAGAAGCAAGAAAAAGCTCAAGTAAACAATCTAATCTTATACCTAAAGGAATTAGAGCAAGAAAACCAGAAAAATCCCAGAGTAAGTAGAGGGAAAACAAAAACAACAATACTTATTTGAAAAGTTAAACAAGATTGATGAACCTTTAACCAAACTCATCAAGAAACAAAGAGAGAGGGCCCTGGTAAATAAAACCAGAAATATCCAAAATATATAAAGTACTCATACAACTCACAAAAGGAAGACCATCAATCCAATTTAAAAATGGGCAGAAGACCTGAATAGACATTTCTCCAAAGAGGACATACAGATGGCCAAGAGACATTATAAAAAAAAAATGCTCAAAATCACTAGTCATCAGAGAAATGCAAATTAAAACAACAATGAGATATCACCTTATATCTGTCAGAATGGCTATCATCAAAAAATCAAGTGCTGGCGAGGATGTGGAAAAAGTGAATACTAGTTCACTGCTGGTAGGAATACATATTGGTGCAGCCACTATGGGAAACAGTATGGAGCCTCCTTAAATAACTAAAAATGGAACTTCCACTTGATGTAGTGATCCCACTTCTGGGAATATATCCTAAAAACCCAAAACACCAATCAGAAAAAATATATGCATTCCTACATTCATAGCAGCCCAAGTGCCCATCAGTAGATGAGTGGGTAAAAAAGCTGTGGAACATTTACACATGGAATACTATGCAGCTATAAAAAAGAGGGTTCTCTTACCCTTTAGGACAGCATGGATAGACCTGGAAAATACTATACTAAGTGAAATAAGCCAATCTGAGAAAGACAAATATCACATTATTTCACTTATTTGTGGAATTTAATGATTAAAATGAATTGACCAACAAAATAAGACCCGAAGCATGGAGGCATGGAACAGACTGACATACCCTGATGTGGGGTTGAAGGAACAACAAGAGATAAACCAAAGAATTTATATACTTACTAGAGGCCTGGTGCATGATATTCCTGCATGGGGGCAGGGGAGGGGAGCTCCCTCAGCCTGGCCTGTGCCCTCTTGCAGTCCGGGACCCCTTGGGGGATGTATGCCTGCCAGCTTAGGCCCGCTCCCCATGGACATCATCTGAGGGGTCCTTAGCACTGCTGTGGAGGCAGAGGTGGAAGAGACTCCCGCCGCAGCCACTGCACTAGCCAGCCATGAGCCCAGCTTCTGGCTGAGCAGCACTTGCCCTGTGTGAGCGCACTGATGACCAGGGGGCAGCTCCTGTGTTGAGCATCTGCCTCTGATGGTCAATGCCTGTCATAGCGACTGGTCATTCAGCTGTTTGGTCTATTTGCATATCAGGGTTTTATTATATAGGATATGCAAAGCCCATGGACACAGGCAATAGGGTAGTGAAATATTATGAACAACTATATGCCAACAAATGGGACAACCTGGGCAAAATGAACAAAGTCCTAGAAACATACAATCTTCCAAAACACAATCAGAAAGAATCAGAAAACCTAATATAGACCAATCAACAACTAATGAGATTGAAGCAGTAATGAAAAAAACTCCCAGTGAGTTTTGCCAAACATTCAAAGAAAAAGGAACACCTATCCTCCTCAAACTATTACAATTGAGTCAGAGTTGATACAGGATGTGGTGAAGAAATGAGAGAAAGAGGAGATGAAGGTAAGCTAACCTCATCTCTACTCTCTAGGGACCTATACGTGGGTCACCATGAACACAGTGTGGATCATGTGGACCCATCTGGAGTTAAATGACCTTCCTTCCTGGTGCTTCCCTGGTTCACAAAGATGCTAGAGAAACTAATTCATTACACTGAGCTTTCATATGTAAGAGTGGTTGGTACACATATTGGACCAATCTGAAAAGCACAGGAACATAGCTAAATCTGCACTTTTTTTTCACTTTTTTAAATTTAAATTTATGGAGGTAACATCAGTTAATAACATTAACTAAGTTTCCCATGTGTACCTTTCTATCATCTGTATATGCCATTGTGTGCTCACCAGTGAAAGTCTAGTTTCCTTCTGTCATCATATATTTGAACCCCTTTATCCTCTTCATGCTTCCTCTTTTCTTATCTATAAAAATAAACTACAGGAAACCTCCCAATCACTTCTTTCTGGAGAAAAACAGACGCTTACGAAGTGAATGAGTATCAGAGACTCTAAGTCACTCTGAAGATCTCCTGGAATGTCTGACTTCTGAGATGTGCTTTGTTTGGACTGAAATGCAGCCCCAGAAAGCATCCAGGGTGCTGAGCAGGAAAAAGAAAAAAAAAAAAATGAAGGACACTGTTCACAATTTGAACATCGTTAGCACTTAGAGCAGCGGTTCTCAACCTGTGGGTCGCAACCGCTTTGGGGGGTCGAACGACCCTTTCACAGGGGTCGCCTAAGACCATCGGAAAACACATATATAATTACATATTGTCTTTGTGATTAATCACTACGCTTTAATTACGTTCAATTTGTAACAATGAAAATACATCCTACATATCAGATATTTACATTACGATTCATAACAGTAGCAAAATTACAGTTATGAAGTAGCAACAAAAATAATTTTATGGTTGGGGGTCACCACAACATGAGGAACTGTATTAAAGGAAGGTTGAGAACCATTGACTTAGAGTGTGGACTCAGGAAGGAGACATGACTTGGGTTGGTGAACACACAACACAACCTACAGCTGCTATAGTATAGCATTGTGCATCTGGAACCTATATAAATGTATTAACCAATATCACTCCAATAAATGCAATAAAAAAAACTGGAAAAAAAAAAGAATGTGGTTTCAGGAGATGGCCTCAATATGGCTTCCTTGTCTGGAGATACTTAGGAAAATGTGGATGGGTTGGCATGCTTTGAAGGCTGCTCAACTCTGAAACAGGAATATGGAGGAAATTTGTCTTGGAAATGACTTGGTTTCCTCTTTGCCTCTAAATACACTCTTCATTTTTTCACCTGTTGTAAGTATGGCAATGGCGATCAAGTTGTGTTACACCCATGTTACCATGACTTGGACAATCACAGCAGCACGCTGGGATATGAACCCGGCACTCTGGACTCTACATCAACCCTGCATCAACCATACTGGTGCGTCTGTGAGTGATGAGGCCATATTGCCTCTCTCTCTCTCTACCCACAAAGGAGGCTAAGGGTCTCCTATTCCTTGTATACAAGTGGATAACTTTAAGAGATGTGTCCAGCCCTTGGCTGACAACCCCCATTTGACCAAGAAGGTCCCAGAAAGCCAGGTGGTCTGTTGTGATTCTTCCCCCAAGACCATGTTTACTTGAGCAGGAAGAGACACCCGCCCACTGGGCCAGTGAGACTGTCATTGGAATGCAGGAGTATGACGGTGTGAGCTCTGGTCTGCAAATGGCCCTGCTCCCTGCGAATCTCTGCAAAGCCTATTGCTCCAAACTCACCTGAAATCCACGAGATGCTTTTTTGTGCTCTCACTAAATTCTTTCTGCAGTTTTATTGTTGTTTGCTTGCTTGTCTATAATCCTTTAAGCTAGTCAAATTGGATTCTGTGACTTCAAACCAAAAATAACTTACTTAGAACAGTGTCCCATCACCCTAGCTGGTTTGCCTCAATGGACAGAGCATCAGCCTATGAACTGAAAGGTCCTGGGTTGGATTCTGGTCAAGGGCACATGCCCTGGTTGCGGGCTCGATCCCATGCAGGAGGCAGCCGATCAATGAGTCTCTCTCAACATTGGTGTTTCTCTCTCTCCCTCTCCCTTCCTCTCTGAAATTAATAAAAATATATTTAAAAAACAACAACAGTGTCCCATCGTAAGAGCACAGGTGAAAGAAGCGATTCCAGGTAGTGCACCCCACTTTCAGTGCCCACTGAGCGAGAAGCCACATTACAAGCAGCAAGTTGTAAAGTTTCCCTCTGTCTACACACTCATCCAGACCCCAGCCCGCCACCTAGGACCGCATTCTGAATGGGTCGCGGATTCTTACTCTGGAACTTGAGAGTCTATTCATAACGACTATTTGAATGGATCCTTTCCCCCGGGGCCCTCCATGCCGGGCCTTTCTCCGCCCATTACAAGATGCCTTTATGTAGCCTGGGTCTCTCTGCTTTAAGGCTCCTGATGCCACAGGAACAGGTCTGGCAGCTTTCTGAGAGATTCTGGGCCTTCCCTCTCTCTGCTGCCTGCACACCCCTCACAGCTACTTCCTGCCTTTCCACTGACAGCTCCTCACACCTTGCCTTCGCTGTCCCCCCAGGGAACACACCTGATACTTCCTGCCACAGTGATAACCATCACAGAGAAAACCAAGTGCTGCTCCCCCACCAGCTCCCGGTTTCCAGGGGTTTCCGGTGAGCTTGTTACAATGGGGCCCAGAGCAGCCCCGCCATCCTACAGGCATCCATTCAGTTGCTGGTAAGTCTCTCAAATTCCTTTTCCTACTGCAATGTCTCATGTCTGGGGACCAGCCCGGAAGCAAATTGCTTTTGGAGGGTTTCACAAAGATCCATTCAGCCCTGCTGGGGAGTTATCTAAACGTGGGGAGGGGAGGCATTTGCCACTGTGAGGCAGGGGATGTTTTTCATATGCTCGAGCAACTCAAAAAGGACTTTGTTTTCAAACTTGGCATGTGCGGGTCCTGGAAGAAGCCCAGGGCCCTTGACAAGTTTGAAGGAATGCGTTTGGAAATCACAAAGTAAAATGAGGGCAGCTCCCCCACCTTTGCCCCCACCTAGGCCATTGTCCTTAAAGGGAGAGGAGTTCTCAATAAATCAGTGCGCTGTACTGGCAGGTCCGCTCTGACGAAGGCACCCACTGGTTAATCTTCCACTGGTACACTTTTCTTTGATCTGAGACACAGTGCTTCTCTGTCCATTAACCACAGTTGTGACCATAATGATTCCTCCAATAAGTAAAACAGAATCCAGTGAAACCTGTGAAATGCTGCTGCCCCAGCAAGTAATTCAACACCTTCCCACACACACACACTAGAGTAGAAAGCACAACCTTGCAAAGATGACTGCATCCTCTATGAGCAGAGACATTTCTGCGGGGGACGGGGGACTCTGCCGGGACAGTCAGATCACACAGGGGAGTCCTCTGGGACACCTGGGTCGCTGTGCAGAAGGGGAAGAGCTTATCTCCAAGGCCCTGGTCACACCTCGCGTGCCCACAACGACTGGGCCATGCTCCTCGCAGCCTTCTGGTCTCTGGCATCTCTCCTCAGCAGTTCCCAGCAGTTCACGTCTGGCCCATGGAGAACATCGCTTGTCTGCATTGTTACCAGAGTTTCCTAACTAGTCTTCCTGACTCAGGCTGGTCCTTTCTCCCTTTCCCTGGATGCAGCCAGAATGAATTCCCTGGGACAGAGGTCGGCAAACTCATTAGTCAACAGAGCCAAATATCAACAGTACAACAATTGAAATTTCTTTTGAGAGCCAAATTTTTTAAACTTAAACTATATAGGTAGGTACTTTGTTATTAACTTAATTAGGGTACTCCTAAGGCTTAGGAAGAGCCACACTCAAGGGGCCAAAGAGCCGCATGTGGCTCACGAGCCGCAGTTTGCCGACCACGGCCCTAGGACAAACCAGGAATGTTCTTCTAGTGACAGAATCCCTCAACAGACTTATGACCTTGAGGTTTATCCTTCCCAAGGACAAGTCCCTCCATTGTCTGAGCAGGGTCTTCTACAGACCTTTGGGGTCTGCTTTCTCACCCATCACTTACACTGCAAACAAACAATCACCTGCCTTTCCCTGAAAGTTCCTGGGTTTAGCTCTTTCTCGGGTACTTTCGTCTTCTGAGATTCTCCCACCAGTGCAACACACACCAGCAAACCACACTGACCCCTGGCACCCCAAGGACACACAAGAGGAAGAACCACCTGGCAGTGTGAGGCCTTCTGGGAAACGGCCTGTTGCCTGAAGCCAGGGGCCGCCCCGGGTGGGGTGGGGGTGGGGGTCAACTGACATTTTCAGGCTCTGCTGCTCCTGCAGGCTCCCGGCTCCTGCCCTTTGTCGCAACCGAGTCCAGTGGGAAACTGGGAACCACGTGGTGGCGGTGTGAGCAGAGGCCTATAAACACCGATTCCAGCCGGTGGAGAACATCAGGGCTGTCCCAGGGCCTGTACAAACAGAAGAAATGGCACTGGATACAGTCACCTGAACAGCTTCCCCTTTCTTCCCACGATTTCTCTACTCCTGCTCCTTTGCCCAAGCTGCTCTCTGACTTTCACCGACCCTCGAGCCAACAGTCTCTCTTTCTCTTGGATTCTCGCGCACCTTTGTGGCGTTTCTTCCACGTGCGCCCAACGGCACCGCCCAGAAAACGAACTAGATGCCTTGGGCAGGACCTGCGCCCTGACCCATCCTACACCTAGGCTGGCGCTCCAGCACACCCTGCCCAGCGAGCCCCCGCGCTCTGCGCGCCTCTAGCGGCCGTGCCTGGAAGTGCAGGGGCGGACTCACTGGGGAACAGCTGTGCCATGAGGTCAGTGAGGACCTTAGTATCCCAAGGCCATTTGCTCCCAGTGCTGGTCCTGGCGTTGCTCCTGGTTGACTCCCTCGGCGAGGATTTAAATTTTCTCCCGAAGTGGGTGTTTGACTCATCTGAAATCACCATCCCCAGAAAGCTGAGCTTCCGGGGAGGGAAGCAGGGCACGACCAAACGCATGTCCTACCTCCTGCAGGTACAAGGCAAGAAGCATGTCGTCCACCTGTGGCCCAAGAGGTTTCTGTTGCCCCGACACCTGAAGGTTTTCTCCTACACAGAAGAGGGGGAGCTCGTGGAGGATCACCCTTACATACCCAGGGACTGCAACTATGTGGGCGTGGTGGAAGGAGCTGAGGATTCTGAAGCTACTCTCAGTACATGCGCGGGGGGTCTCCGAGGCATATTGAAAATTGATGCCAAATATTACCAAATCGAGCCCCTCAAGGCCTCTCCAAGTTTTGAACATGCCCTATATCTCCTGAAGAACGAGGGGGGGTTTCAGGATCAGCTCTGTGGCGTCACTGGTGATGAAACAGAAGAGCAGATGGCCCAGCCTGACATCATGGCTCGGTATAGTGACTACACTGGACCCTCGATGCACCAAAAATATTACGAATTAGGCCTGATCTTTGATCATGAGAGATTTGAGTTTTCAAATTCCAATATTACCGATATCACAAATGATGCCATTCTTCTGACTTCGATTGTCGATACCTACCTTCAGGAAGTCCGTACGAGAGTACAACTGCGTGCACTTGAAGTATGGTCAGATCAAGACAGAGTGAATATTAATTTTCCGACATTGCAGCAAGCTCTAGGCCAATTTTTGATATACCAAAGAAATATACTAAGTCGACAGTTTAAAGTAGATTGGTCACAACTATTCATCAAAAGGCATTACATTGATGCTCTTGCATGGTCCTGGGGAATCGTGTGCACTGAGAGGTATGCAGGATCTGTATCTGTTTTTCTAGACACAAGCATCCTTGGACCTGCCACTTGGACCGCTCATAATCTGGGCCATAGTTTGGGAATGAGCCATGATGGGCCATTGTGCAGGTGTAGGGGTCGGCGGAGTTGCATCATGGGCACTGGACGACATGGGTTTAGCAATTGTAGTATTATTCAGTTTTTCAACCACGTTCATAAAGAAGCAAACTGTCTAAATAATATCCCGGGAGAAGATTATGTGGTGAAGAGGTGCGGAAACAAAATTGTGGAAGACGAGGAGGAGTGTGACTGTGGTTCCTTAGAGGACTGTGAAGACGACCTTTGCTGTGAACCAGGTTGCAGGCTCAGACCGGGTGCCAATTGTAGCTTTGGACTTTGCTGCTCTGAATGTCAGTTTCGTCCATCGGGATATATGTGTCGGAAGGAAGAAACCGAATGCGACCTTGCAGAGTACTGCGACGGGACCTCCAGTTTCTGCCCAAATGACACGTATAAGCAGGATGGCACCCCGTGCAAATACAGCGCCCGTTGTTTCCAGAAGGGGTGTCATTCTGCATATATGCAGTGCCAAAGCATTTTTGGATCTGATGCCAGGGAGGCTCCCACTCAGTGCTTTGAAACAGTTAATTCAATAGGGGATCAATATGGGAACTGTGGGATGATAGGAGCTGGTAACTATAAAAAGTGTACTAAGAGAAACACGGTATGTGGCAGGGTGCAGTGTATCAACGTCGAAACCCTCCCTGACATGCCAGAGCACACGAGCATCATTTCTACTCATCTGGAGGATGAAAATCTGATGTGCTGGGGCCTAGGCTATCGTCTGTCCTTGGTCCCCATGGGGATCCCTGACCGGGGTGTGGTCTATGACGGCACCTCCTGTGGCACGGACCGGATATGTGTGAACACAACTTGTTATAATGTTTCAATCCTGCGCTTTGACTGTGAGCCTGAGAAGTGCAACCACAGAGGCTATTGCAACAATAACAGGAACTGCCACTGCATGTACGGCTGGGCGCCTCCGCTCTGTGAGGAGCAAGGGTACGGAGGGAGCATTGACAGCGGGCCGCCGGGAGAGATTCCGGAGGAGGTGTCCGCCACTGTCCAGGTCGTGTCCCTTATGTTATCTCGCATTGCTTTATTAGTCATCTCCGTGGTTATCGTGTTTTTCAGGCGATTGATAGGAAGCTATTTAAGTTCCAAAGAGATAAAACCCGAAGAAGTAAAACCCGAAGAAGTAAAACCCGAAGAAGTAAAACCCGAAGAAGTAAAACCCGAAGAAGTAAAACCCGAAGAAGTAAAACCCGAAGAAGTAAAACCCGAAGAAGTAAAACCCGAAGAAGTAAAACCCGAAGAAGTAAAACCCGAAGAAGTAAAACCCGAAGAAGTAAAACCCGAAGAAGTAAAACCCGAAGAAGTAAAACCCGAAGAAGTAAAACCCGAAGAAGTAAAACCCGAAGAAGTAAAACCCGAAGAAGTAAAACCCGAAGAAGTAAAACCCGAAGAAGTAAAACCCGAAGAAGTAAAACCCGAAGAAGTAAAACCCGAAGAAGTAAAACCCGAAGAAGTAAAACCCGAAGAAGTAAAACCCGAAGAAGTAAAACCCGAAGAAGTAAAACCCGAAGAAGTAAAACCCGAAGAAGTAAAACCCGAAGAAGTAAAACCCGAAGAAGTAAAACCCGAAGAAGTAAAACCCGAAGAAGTAAAACCCGAAGAAGTAAAACCCGAAGAAGTAAAACCCGAAGAAGTAAAACCCGAAGAAGTAAAACCCGAAGAAGTAAAACCCGAAGAAGTAAAACCCGAAGAAGTAAAACCCGAAGAAGTAAAACCCGAAGAAGTAAAACCCGAAGAAGTAAAACCCGAAGAAGTAAAACCCGAAGAAGTAAAACCCGAAGAAGTAAAACCCGAAGAAGTAAAACCCGAAGAAGTAAAACCCGAAGAAGTAAAACCCGAAGAAGTAAAACCCGAAGAAGTAAAACCCGAAGAAGTAAAACCCGAAGAAGTAAAACCCGAAGAAGTAAAACCCGAAGAAGTAAAACCCGAAGAAGTAAAACCCGAAGAAGTAAAACCCGAAGAAGTAAAACCCGAAGAAGTAAAACCCGGAGAAGTAAAACCCGGAGAGATAAAACCCAAAGAAAAAGAAGTACCACCAGCTGACACTGAAGTGAAAAAACCCCCAGCAAAACAATCTAAAAAAAAGAAGAAAAAGGGACCCAAGGAGCCCTCAGTCCCTCAGTAACACAGGGTCATATCTTGAACAAGTTTATCATTTATCCAAATGGCTCTTCATTCTTCTCCAAACTCTTTTCCACTTAATTTTCCTTCATGGTTGATCAGCAAAATAAATGGTATTCTTGTTTGGGAGACAAACCAGTGCACTTTGCTTGCCTAGTGTTCGCTTGGCCTAGTTCGTGAGCGAGGTTGGCGTGTCCTGAGAGGGATCCCCTGGTGGCTTTTCTGAACTAAAGCTCTGGATGGTGTGAGTCTCATGCAATTACAGTGGCTGTCAGAGCAGAGTCCTGCCTCTCAGAATCCCAGCAAACAGAGGGATCCTTTGCCTTTCCCTCGGCCTCCCTCGGTGTGGCCAGTGAGAATGCCTGTGTCTGGCCCCTGCTGAACAATCAATGGTGACCTCCACGGTTTACAAATGGGAAGCGATGCTCTACCAGGAGTGTCCCTCAGATAAGCTTTTCGCCCTGGATAGTCACTGTCTGGGCCACTCCAGCTCTATGGACGTGTGGTCTCTGACTCAGGTTTGGGTGACCTCAGTGGGTTAGGACACTAATCTCTTGCTTTGCATCTCAGTCCATAAATGACGACACCCCCCTGGCAGTATTCAGAGGACAAGGATCTAACAATATTCTGTGCTTTGGGATTCTGCTCACAGGGACACCTCGCTCTAGGTTTGCCACTCCCCCTAAGTGGAGCAGAGGAGAGTGAGGAACGCCTTCCACGTCCCAGGACCCCCCTGTTCGCCTCCAAAGATTCTTTCCCCTTTTTCTGGTGATTTGTGGGGAGGGGGGGCTGAGTAGGCCTTGGGAGGAGTCAGTGTCCGCCTCTCCTGCCCAGGAAGGGTCTCATCCTTCGAAGACCTTGTCAACCCAGGTGTTTTCAGTCTTGTTCTAGGCCAGTGGTCGGCAAACTCATTGGTCAACAGAGCCAAATATCAACAGTACAACGATTGAAATTTCTTTTGAGAGCCAAATTTTTTAAACTTAAACTATATAGGTAGGTACACTGTTATTAACTTAATTAGGGTGCTCCTAAGGCTTAGGAAGAGCCACACTCAAGGGGCCAAGAGCCGCATGTGGCTCGCGAGCCACAGTTTGCCGACCACTGTTCTAGGCTGAGCCTCCCTGCTGTTCTCTCACCAGGCCCCAGGGCACCTCCTTCTCCAAGGACCACAAGTCCACTGTCCACCACCCCAGCATCCTCTCATCTTAGCTACATCATTCTTCTCATTACAGAAGAGGTTGAGCATGCTTCATAATAGTGGTCCCCGTGGACTGTTTGGGGGCTATTTTTACTCAGAGGACATCAAGATAACCTGTATTTTGTGGTGGTCAAGCTTGGTCATCACTAGAAAAGGTTCTGAAAGAAAGCAAGGACATTGATTTACAGCCCCAATGCTGACAATGATGGCTGCTGTGTATTGAGAGTTCACTGCATGCCAGGCAACGTCTCACGTGTATTACTGTCATACTCCTGACAATAACTCTGTGAGGAGGTGGTGTTTTCCTGTTTTCTGAAAGAGAAATTGAGGCACAACAAGGTTAAACCACCTGCTCACAATTATGTAACTAATAAGTAATGACATTGTTCAAGGAAACATGATATAGATATTATGAAAGTGAATTTAGAGAGAGGAGGAAAAATTTTAATTGTGATAAAATGTACATAATATTTACCATCTTGCCCATTTTTCTACTGTATTCAGAAATAATTGACAAATGTAATTGAAGAGATATAAAGTGTACAATGTGGTGGTTTGATATACATATACATTGTGGAATGACTACCAAGATCAAAATAATGAACAGATCTGTCACCTCACATAGTTAATTGGGGGGGGGGGCACTGATGAGGATGCTTAATGAGAACTCTAAGCAAATTTCCGGTACATTATTAACAAGTATCATCGCCATGCTGTACATTAGATTCTCAGAACTATATTACTTGTAAGTGATAGTTTGTACCCTTTGAGCTCCATCTACCCATTTTCCCTTTCCCTCCCAGCCTCTGGCAACCACCATTCTATTCTCTGTTTCTATGAAATGAATGCTTTTTTTTACATTCTACATATAAGTAATACCACATAGAATCTGTAAATCTCTGTCTGCCTTCTTTCAGTTAGCATAATGCCCTCCAGGTTCTTCCATGTTGTTGCAAATGGCAGCGTTTCCTTTTTACAGCTGAATGATATTCCAGGCCAGGCTGGGGGAGGGGAAGCCTGTGATGACCTGGGAAGAAGCAGATATCTATGCAGGAGGAGAGTCAAGATCAGAGGTAGTCTCAGAAGCATTGCAAGGAAGATGCTGTGGTCAACAGGGAAAATACTGAGCAGAGTTGAAGAACCACTGGATTTATTTATTTTTTATATTTTTATTGAATTCAGAAAGGGGGGAGAGAGAGAAACATCAATGATGAGAGGGAATCATTGATCAGCTGCCTCCTGCACACCCCACACTGGGGATCAAGCCCGCAACCCGAGCATGTGCCCTTGACCTGGGAATCGAACCTGGGACCCTTCAGTCCACAGGCCGACACTCTAACTACTGAGCCAAACCAGTTAGGGCAAGAAACACTGAATTTAGCCAAAGGGAGGTTGGAGTCACTTGAGTAAGGAGTGAACTGTGAGGAACGGCTGAGGAGCGATGCCAGACACCAGAAGGTTGTGATGTGAGTGGGGCATTAGGAAGGGAGGTCACAGGTCTAGACCAGATCTTCATGAAATTGGATGTGAAGCGAGAGAAGAGGTAGGGAAGTCTCTGAGGGTACAATGTGGTAGAAAGTGGGAAATGGAAGGGTCCTGGCCGTCGCATGGGCTGCTGGGAAAGCCCCATCAGGCTGCCTGGCTCTGCCTCCCCGAGAGGATGGAGGTCTCTGGGCACTGGGAGCAGCGAAGGAAGAGGCAGGGGCACAGAGATGAACTCGGTAGGGAGCAGAACTTGGGAGTGTAATGAGGAGACAATAAGGGAAGGGTAAGTCCGAAGGCTGTTTTCTCTGGGAAGTCAGCTGCTGAGCTGAGGAATCAGTGGGAGGATATAAAGAAGAGGCGAACTCAGGGGAGGGCCAACTAGGGAGAAATTCAAGGAACACCAAGTGTGTTGAGCTTCACTTCAGGTTGGAGCTCCCAAGGCCCAGCCATGCTTTGCTCCAGCAACACGCTTCTTTGTCCTTTCAATTAACCCACTTGAAGTTGAGCTTGCTGGGGTATAGTTCTCCTTCATCATAAACTGATTTTAACTGTAAGGGTCGCCAATGAACTGCGAGCACAAAAGCCAGGCCTACCTCTGCTTCGGTCCCATTCTCTTCCTTGTAAGATAAGGAAGAGGTTCCAATCACCTCTAAGTTCTCCTTTGTCTTTGATATCCTGTAATTCTGGTTCCTTTTCAACTACTTTGTTTTTTGAAGCAAGGCACCCTAAAGGAACTGACTGAATGCCTCCTGTCTCCTGGGTCCAGGCATTCCTGGGGTTCTTTCAGATAAGAGGTTCTTGGGTTGCTGTATTCACAGCACTGAGCCAACTCCGTGGCCACCTGAGCCATGGCCAAATGTTTGCCCGTCGGATGTGGACATAAAGGGAGGAGACATTTACAAAGCTTGGGTGTTATAAATTGTGTCGTCTTTAAAGGAGACACACGTAAGACTTTGCAATAAAACCATAAGATTTATTAATTTTAAGGCTGAACCCCATGAAGGATGCCCATAAAATTCTTATCTAAAGAATGTTCAGGAAATTGTTGAACAAAGACATCATCATTCGAAGAGATATAAAGAGGCTCTCTCAGCTAAGCATATGGGCTATATTAGAGAGGAAAGTAAACAACAAAAGACTCCATCTCTGCTCTGGGAAAACAACTGATGTCTCCTTAAAAAAACAACAACAAAAAACTCTTGTATTTGACTCTATTCTTTGACCACAGGCTCAAATTTGATGCCCCCTGATCTCAGAAGCATTGCATGGAAGACGTCATGGTCAATACCTGCATTCCTCTCTTTTAAATCTTATCAACACCTGAGTTTCTAGAAATGATAGATTTTTTGACCATCCTTATCTTCAAGGGTTAACCAAGAAGGACAAAAAATACATTTCCCTGCCCCCAAAGCACAGGTGTAATGAATGAATCACCAGGAGACACTTCCCTGCCAGTGACCCCAGAGCCTCCTCTGCCCTAATCATTTGAGTACCCCGTGTGGTCTGACAGGAACTCACACGGGTCCTAGGATTCCTTACACAATTAGCCCACTTCCTAAAACCCAGGTGATGGTGGTGGTGGAGGTGTCCCTGGAGGCCATAGTCTTGGTCCTGAAGTCATCAGCCATGTGTCCAGTTAGACCAGTGATGGCGAACCTTTTGAGCTCGGCGTGTCAGCCCTAATCATTTGAGTACCCTGTGTGGTCTGACAGGAACTCACATGGGTCCTAGGATTCCTTACACAATTAGCCTACTTCCTAAAACGCAGGTGATGGTGGTGGTGGAGGCGTCCCTGGAGGCTATAGTCTTGGTCCTGAAGTCATCAGCCATGTCTCCAGTTAGACCAATGCAAACATGTAGATGGAAAACCCCTTTGGAAGTAGCAAAAGCTTTCTGCCCTCTCGTACAGAGTGGTGGGAATGCATAAAGATTTAACCACTTTGGGTAAAAGTCTGGCAGATTCTTAAAATTAAACAAATACCTATTCACCTATTCTATTAGTCAGTAATCCCTAGGTGTTCAAGAGAAATTAAAACATGTCCACAAAAGGACGTATACGAGAATGTTCATAACAGCTTTATTATTAGAGCAAAAACTGGGACCATCCAGGTATCTGTCAATAGGATGGATCAACTGTGATATAATCGTTCTATGGAAAGCAAAAAGAGAACAATGAAAAAGAAACAAAGTTGTACACAAAAGAGTATATACCCTTTAATTCCAGTGATAGAAGTCCTGGGGTTTAAGATTAATCTATGATGGAAAAAATCAGAGCAGCACTTGCCCGTGGAGGGAGGAATTGGTTGGGAACGGGCATGAGGAACTTTCTAGAGTGGTGGAGAGGTTCTATATCTTTCCAGGGGTTTGGTTGGCATGTTAATATGCACTTGTCAAAACTCTGCAGACGTATGCTAGACATGTGTGCATTGTGTTGTATGTAAATTTTACCTCAAAAAATTTTTTTAAATCTGCAAGTAAATATTCAACTTTAGTAAAAGATATGTATGACGAAGTATTTAGAGGAAAGGGTACTGATGTCTCCGATCTACTTTGACATGCACTTAAGCCCTGCCGTGGTGGCTCAGTGGTTGAGTGTCAACCTGTGAATCAGGAGGTCGAGGTTCGATTTCCAGTCGGGGCACTTGACCGAGCTGGAGGCTCGATCCCCAGTGTGGGTCGTGCAGGAGGCAGCTGATCAATGATTCTTTCTCATCACTGATGTTTATATCTTTCCCTTCCTCTCTGAAATCAAATTTTTAAAAAAAATGTATTTTTAAAAAACAACAACAACATGGGTTGGTAGATGATTGGGAGTTAGTCAATGTACCAATATATGGTATAGCAAGAACAGTAAAATGCTCATGATGGACTCTAAGTGATGCATGTACAGGTAAAAGTATGCCACCTTAGTAAAGCCTTTCTACTTTGTTTTGTGTTTGAAAATGCGTGTGACAATGCAGCACTTCAAGTCTTTGGAGATCCTACAGGAGGGATACTGCCTTCTCCGTCATGTCAGCCACTCTGAGATTGGCCACGTTCATTCGAACTCCACTTCTCCCCACCCCAGAATATATTGTAAAAGTGTCCATTTTTTTTAAAAAATCTGATATGTGTTAAGTTCTTACTATGTACCAAGCACAATGCAAAACTCTTTGCACTCATGATCTCATTTAATATTCAAAACTTTCCTATGGTAGATGTACAATTCATAGCTGAGTAAGAAAATAGAGTATTTTGGGGGCTCAGTATCTACTGCCAGCCCCCCAGCTAGTAAGTGGCAGAACCTGGTGAGAACCCGGGTCTCTGATGCCAAAGGCCAGACACCAACAACGATGCTCGCCTGCCTCCCTCCAAATCCATTATCTGAGTTAGAAATGCCTCAGAAATTATCCGCTCCGCTGCCATTGCTTTAGAGACAGTAATGAGGCCTGGAAAGGAAGAGTGATCCTCCCACGTATGAATCCTCTTCTGTTTAAGGCCTGGGCCGTTTTCTCTGGGGAGTTGTTAATCCCGTTCTCTGTGATCAGTGGCAGCACCGGCAACGCATGTCTTACGTTTTGAATGAACAGGAAAGTGGTAAAAGACTGGCCACACCAAGTGACGCCAGGGTGTGGAGCACCTGGAGTTCTCCCTCATTGCTGCTGGGAGTGTAAAATGGTTCCAATGCGCCGGAAAACTGCCCCTTTCAAACCAACTCAAATAATCACGCATCCCACGACCCAGCCATCCCACTCCTCGTCGTGGAATGAGAACAATGTCCACCAGAGACTAAGAATGTCCATTGCAGCTTTAGTCAGAAGCTGGAAATAGCCACCCTGACCATCAACCAAGAATGAGCAACCATATAACAGTCTGTGCTACTACATTCACGCAGCCAAATGCTACTCAGCATGAGCAAAGCACAAGTTACTAATACAGGCGACATGTGGAAGCGTCACAAAAACCTTACGTCAAGTGTAAAAAAGCCAGACAGAGTACATGTTACATGCTTTCATTCATGTGAAGTTTCTTTAAAAGGCAAAATGAATCTATGGTGCTCGGAGTCAGAATAGGTGTTGTCTTGGTGGGGGGTTGACTGGCAAGGGGCAGGAGAAAAATTTCTGGCGTGATGAGAATGTTCTATATCTTTATCTTGGTTGTTGTTACACAGGTGTATGAAATTGTCAAAGTCCTTCAAGCTTCATATTTAAAGTGTGTGCATTTTATGCAATGTAAATGATACCTCATAAAATAATATCATAAAAAAATCTTTTTTTACATGCAAAACAAGACAAATGAAACAAGGAATTTGGCAACAAGGAGAGCTACATTTCACCTAGTAATTTTGAAGATGTGATATGGTAAGCCCCCTTCCCCTCACCCCACAAGAGAAACAAGTGGATAATAGTAGAGTGGACATAAAATTAAGTGACTGAAAGAGTGAGGGAAGGAAGGAAGGGAAGGAGGCAGGCAGGGAGGGAGGAGGCTGGTCACGTACAGACTTTTCACTTGACCTCTCTGTGGCATAACTTCCATTGCCACCTCTTGAGCGAATCAGCTGATGCTTTCGAGCTGCTAGAGCTCTCCCCACAGCAGATAACAGATGGTCCAGGAGAGATGGAGAAGGGGAGGTGGAGAAGGGGAGGCGGAGAAGGGGAGGTGGAGGAGGGAGCTTGCTTTCTGCCACCCGTCCCTGCATCCGGGCCGAGTGAGCGGGCATAGACTCCAGCTCTTCCCTGACTGTAAGTTAATGAACATCCTCAGTGAATGACTCATTTCCTCTCTGCTGATAGGATTGGTTCCAGTATCACCAGATGCTACAGGGCTTGCTTGCAGAAGTGCTCCTGATCAATATCCTTGTCAAATACGAAAGGATGAAGTCCAAGACTGTAAAAATGTGCACCGTGGGGGGGGGGGGTAAGGAGGAATTCTTCCATAGTGTTTGCTTAAACAACGAGTAGTTCATGCTGTTTTCTTAGGGTTTAGACGTTTCTAAAAGTTCAAGGCTCACCCTTTCATTATGCAGTCCCTTTAGACTTTCCCCGGGTCCCTCTACCAGACTCCACTTCCCACGTTCTCCTGAAGCACTTTTCTCTCATCTTTTTCGCGCTGTCCGTTCCATTAGGTGATGCACACCCCAGGCCCCCGCCTGGCTGAGGCGCTTTTTTCATGCCAATCTAATATAAAAAAATAACTGAGCCTTCGAAAACCTTCCCACAGGCACCAGCAGGAAAGTAGGAACTGCTCATTGGTTAAAAGGAGGACTAAGTGACTCGCTGCCACACCGACGCTGGAGGCGACTTGTCCTTGACCTCAAAGGACGGAGCTGTGAGAAGCTCCAGGACTGGACTCAAATGCAGCTCCCGGTCGTCTGGAGAGGAAGGCGAAGGGACAGTCGCCCAAGCTTCCGTCAGGAAGCCCGAGTCAGAAAGCCTCCTGCAGATGCGACAAAGACTCTTAGTGAAGTATAGCCTGGGCGTCAGCTTGGCGAGCTAATGAAATTGAACTGAAATCCAAGTGCTACATCTCCCCTCCCCTAACGCCCCCCAATTCCTTCGAGTTCTCCACATTCACTTCTTCAACATGGTCCTCTGTCTCTAGGCTCCCTCGAGAATAGGAACAAACTCTCTTTTGTTTCACATGTACCTGTTTCTACAAAAATGCCGGCTCGCATCTCCTTGCTCTGTCCTATCAACTGGTAGCCACCAGCCACGTGCAGCGCTAGGGAGCACCAGCCCCGTGGGAACCTGAGAGCAGGGATTGGTCTGCGCCTGCGTGAAGAAACAGGCTCTAACCCCAGCAGCAGCCCGGAGCCCTTCTCTGTCGGTGTGGCTCCCCAGGCAGCAAGCTCCCTCCCTCTCTCTCTATCTCTCACCCAGTTTTTAGTAAGCCTCTTCCCTTTTGAATCTGTGTGGACTGCTCTCGTCATTTCTTTTTTTAAAAATATATATATATTTTTTTATTTTAGAGAGAGAGGGAGAGAGAAAGATCAATGAGGAGAGAGTCATTGATTGGTTGCCTCCCGAACGCCCCACACTGGGAATGGAGCCCACAACCCGGGCATGTGCCCTGACCGGGAATCGAACCGTGACCTCCTGGTTCACAGGTCAACGCTCAACCACTGAGTCACGTTGGTTGGGCTGCTCTCTTGATTTCTACCCTGAAAGCCTCCCTCTCTCTCTATCTCTCACCCAGTTTTTAGTAAGCCTCTTCCCTTTTGAATCTGTGTGGACTGCTCTCGTCATTTCTTTTTTAAAAATATATTTTTAATTTATTTTAGAGAGAGAGGGAGAGAGAAACATCAATGAGGAGAGAGAGTCATTGATTGGCTGCCTCCCTCAAGCCCCACACTGGGAATGGAGCCCACAACCCGGGCATGTGCCCTGACCGGGAATCGAACCGTGACCTCCTGGTTCACAGGTCAACGCTCAACCACTGAGTCACGTTGGTTGGGCTGCTCTCTTGATTTCTACCCTGAAAGGGGGCAAGAATCACTCCATCGGTGACACGAGGAATTGTGTAACGTGGAAGGTTTTTATAGGAAATTGGACAAGAAAGTTATTAGCAAAAGGGAAGAAAGGATTGTTCCAGGTAAGGTCGCCTGTCTTGGGAGGAAGGGAGTGGCAGGGGTCTCATAGGCACAGGACCTAGTTGCTGATCCGGACATTCCAGCTTCAGTCTCCACTCCTGAGAGGAGCAGGTGCTACAGCTGAGTCTTGCTTTGCTATCCTGGGCCAAGTGGCCCCACCTGGGTCCTTGGTTCTTCTCTCTCTCTCTCTCTCTCTCTCTCTCTCTCTCTCACTGAATGTTTGTGGAACCATCTCAAGGGCTCATATTTGATTTTCCATCAGAAAATTCACTCTGTTGTCCGCCTTTTGAACCGCCCTCCTCTTCCCAGACAGGTATCGCCGCCTGTGGAGACGCATCAGTTAAGTGTTTGCACTCGCAGGTGTCTTTCCCAGGAGCCGAGTAGCATCACCAAGTGGAGGAAGGTAAGGTGCTTCACCTGGGCGTAGAGCATGATTCTGCCAAGGGAGGAAATAAACCACTTCTCTCTCCCAAAGGTGACTGTTTTCTCAATAATAACAATACGCCCAGCCGGCATGGCTCGGTGATTGAGCATCGACCTATGAACCAGGAGGTCACGGTTTGATTCCTGGTCAGGGCACATGCCCGAGTTGTGGCTTGATCCCCAGTGGGGACATGCAGGAGGCAGCCGATCAATGATTTTCTCTCATCATTATGTGTCTATCTCTCCCTCTTCCTTCCTCCCTCTGAAATCAATAAAACCATCTATTTTTTAAAGGTTATGTGCTCTTTTGAGGGTAGTTAGCTTATTTCAAAGATGTGTTAAACTAGATGCACACCACAGAAATAATAAAGGCTTATAGGAAAATACTACGAACAAAATCAAATCAGTAATCAAGAAACTCCCAACAAACATCCCTCTCCCCCCAAAGAAAGATAATTTAAGGTTTTCTGAGTTCCATTTTTATTTCCCCTATGCAGTGCCATTCCGATTCTTTTTGCTGGTTTGTGGTTTTAGGATTCTCTTTTTCTAAATTTCATGTATGGTGTGTCTACATGTAGAAGATACTTTAATAATTCTACTCAGTAGTCAGTGGGCCTTTTCAATTCAGATGTCTCTCCAGTGACCTTGGTCTTGCATCCCACACTTTTATGTGGGTTCAATCAAGGCCCACCTCTGGCGCTAACTAGTGGGGAGTCAGGGAAAGAACTCTTAAAGTCTTAGGAGCATCTACTTCTGTCTAATCTCCTCTTTCCTCTCCATCTCAAGCCTAAAAATCTTTATCTAATGGCGTGGAGCTAGCAGAGCGAGGGGGAGGACAGGGGAAGATTTACCTAATCACATGTTTTGTCAAAGCTTTCCTCTCTTACACCTGGACCGGTGCTTTGAACTGAAAAGCCTGGGAGTTCATGTCACTGTTCTCTACTGTGCAATGAAGCAATGGCAATGCCCATTCAGCTGCCCAAAGGGGAAGGGGCTTGTGTTTAACAGGAAGTGTAAAAAATATAACTCATCCGGTAATACCAACCACACACAGTTAGTGAGGAAACTGAGCCTTCAGAGAGGTTGGGGAGCATGCCCAGTGGTACACGGTGAGTGGGCAACCGAATGAGGACCTGAACCAGGACCCACGGGAAGCAACCCTGGTGATATTTCTTCAGAGCATCGTCAGAATGGCAGAGGGGCGGGGTTGGCGCTTCAGAGAGAAAGCCTGCACGTCCTCCTCAAGCTCACCACGTGGGGACATAGCCTATATCCTGCCCCGATGGCAAATCCTTTCTGTGAGGCTACAAACATCACGAGTCCCCAGAGTTGAAGTGGGGCATCTTTACAGAAAAGAAGGGGAAATACAGCAAAGGGATGAAAAGAGAGACCAAAGAAAAAGTAAGTACAGGAGAGGAAGATGGGCTATCACCGATGACAGGATTTTGCCAGTTGAGAGAACGTGGGCTGTAAAGAACAGATTCTGTGTGCAAACAGGGAGAGGTTTCCCTTCTGTTTGCTGAAAACACAGCTTACAGCCTTTGTCAAGCCATCCCTCAGACCGTGCGCTCCGGCTGCAGATAAGACTTTCATGGATGGGTTATTATTTGTAAACAATGTTATTGCTCTATGATTAAAACAACAGTCATATAATTCCTGAGGGAAGAAGATATAAGAGCTGCAGAAACTGCCCGGGGTCTCTCAGAAAGCTGAAGAAGGCGGTCCTCAGAGCCTTGCATGCCAACCAGGTAACCCTCCTGCTCTCCGCCAGCTATTCACTGGGCAGAAACGATAAGTTACAGCTCTAATGGTGTTGGGCATGCTTCTTGCTGTTTTGTTTGATATATGAATGACTTATTTTCTTTCTTCCCCCATTAGTAAGAGCATTGGCTTTGGCCTCAAATAGTGCAGGGTTAAATCATGGCTCTGCAATCTAGCAGCTGTGGAACTTTAAGAAAGTTAATCTTTTGTTTTTTTAATCTTCACCCAAGGATATGTTTATTGATTTTTTAGAGGCGTGGGGAGAGAGAAACATCGATGTGAGAGAAACATTGATCAGTTGCCTCCCATACCTGGCCCAACCAGGAATTGGACCCACAACCTAGGTAGGTGCCTCAACCAGGAATTGAACCCAGAACTGTTTGGATGATGCTGCAACCAACTGAGCCACCCAGTCAGGGCAGGAAAGTTACTTTTTTAAAAATGTGTTTTTATTGATTTTTAGAGAGAGGAAAGGAGAGGGATAGAGAGATAGAAATATTGATTAGAGAGAAACATCATCGATCGTTTCCCTCCTTCCTGCATGCCCCCCTCTAGGGATCAAGCTCGAAACCCAGGCATGTGCCCTGACCGGGAATGGAATCGGTGACCTCTTGGTTCCTAGGTTGACGCCTCCTTCCTGCATGCCCCCCTCTAGGGATCAAGCTTGAAACCCAGGCATGTGCCCTGACCAGGAATGGAATCGGTGACCTCTTGGTTCCTAGGTTGACACTCAACCACTGAGCCACACCGGCTAGGCAAGAAAGTTAATCCTAATGAATGTCAGTGTCCTCGTATGCAAAATAAGCTAATGATACCTGCAGTACAGCCTAGTTATGAGAGTTGAATTAGATGAGATGTAAGAATTCCATGAATGTCGGTTTGTTAACATTCATTTGTAGATTATTCAGAAAGATGCTGTGTGTCCCTCCCCCCAGACAGTTGGCTTAACAGAGGAGTTCTTGCTATTTGTGTTTCAGGGGGATTTCGGGACATGAGAATACCTCCATCACTTGGGAAGGAAGTTTGTCAAAAGAGTGCAGGGCTAATACAGTGATTTACAGGAGGGGGGTGGCCCTAGCTGGTTTGGCTCAGTGGATAGAGTGTTGGCCTGCGAACTGAAGGGTCCCAGGTTCGAGTCCAGTCAAGGGCACATGCCCAGGTTGCAGACTCGATCCCCAGGGGGTGGGGGGGGGGGTGCATGCAGGAGGCAGCCAATCAGTGATTCTCTCTCATCATTGATGTTTCTATCTCTTTCCCTCTCCCTTCCTCTCTGGAATCAATAATAAATATATTTAAAAAAATAAAATAAAAATAAAGGAGGGAGGGTGGTCATCACAGCCCCACACTCTTCATCCTTTTGTTTCCTCTTTATTAACTGTATCCAGGTGTCCATGTGGAGTGTAATATGGAGCTAATCTTTTGATTTTCCAGGAAAGGTTCCATTTCAAAGTCATGTTCTGTTGTTCCCCTTAAGCAATGTATTATTTGAGAGCTAGAACACGTGTCCTGATTTTTGGATCCTAATGCATGCTTAACTGAGAAGTCAATGAATTGCCCATTTTCATAATTACTTGGGGGGAAATCTTGGGCCCATTCCCATGCTTACACTAAAATAAATGCCAGATGGATGAAAATAGAGGAGAACATGGGTATGTATGTGGATGGTGATGGCCAGTTTTTCTGATATCAATTCCAAAGATAGAAAGGAGACGAGAGATATGACGATTTTTGAAATTTTCAGTACGGCAAACAAGATAAACAAGAGACTATACAAAATGGGAAATATTCTGAGTAATATATAAAAGGCAATAACTATTCAAAAAAAGGTTTCACAAATTCCCGAGAAAAAAAGATAAACAATCAAATAGCAAAGCTATAAACCAAACCTTTACAAAAGAAACTTATAAGCTCATCCCTATATGAAGAGATGTTCCACTTCATTAGCATATCAAAAGGCAATAACTATTCAAAAAAAGGCTTCACAAATTCCCGAGAAAAAAAAAGATAAACAATCAAATAGAAAAGCTATAAACCAAACCTTTAAAAAAGAAACTTTAAAAGCTAATCCCTATATGAAGAGATGTTCCACTTCATTAGCATATTTTAAATGCTAACAAAAACAATGAGGTGTTTCTCTAATATACCAACATTAGCAAGAACGCAATAGACAAATTGGGCATTCATTGAGGGTGCAGTTAGTGGAATGTACAATGCAGCCCAAATGGAGGGCATCTGAGCCAAGGGTATCAATGCAGCAATGCCCACGTTCCGTGCAGCTAGAACCCTGTGTATGTGAATTTATACCAAAGAAAGAATCGAAGCTGCATAAAAATTACATGAGTGGAAAAGATTTATTACCATAAATTTGTTTCTAAGAAACAAAACCATGTTTTGTAAAATTTATGTAAAATCTCTCACACAGAGAGATGTATATGGAAAGAGGTCTATAAGCTAGTCCCTAAATTGTTTATCTCTGGGAGATGGGATTTACTTCTCACTTTCTAGTTTTTCACTGAGCATATACTGTTTGATGGTGGGACAAGATAACAAACTTTTATTTTATTTTAAAAAGGGGCACCGCCTAAGTGTAAAAAGGTTGCGCTCGAGTCAGAAAATCTGGTTGTAGCTGTGTGACAATGAGCAAATGACTTTAGACGCATCAGCCTCCGGTTCCCTCAACTGTAAAATGTGGGTGTTAAGAGCATATATTCGCTTTGAAATTTAGCACCAAGCAATTCACTGCTTTGATTTGATTGACTGGTCTACAGCAAGCCCATTACTTCCTGGTCTGTGAGAAATCTTGCCTGCGACACCCTCTGGCGGTGCCCCTGAGAATAGCAGGGGCAGGCTCTCCACAAAATACCTAATGCCTCCGCATGGACTTTTAAACCGTTCAGCCCAGTACAGTGAGGTCCCTGGCACTGGCCCAGAGACCTTGCAGATGTGAACAACACTTCATACGTTCAATGTTCCCACCCTCCTAAACATTTAGTTGAAGATGGTCTTTGGTGTATAACCTTGGTTTAGCCAGAAAAATATTTTTGTTCTCCATATGTGATTTGGCACCTGAGTTCCTGGCTTCGTCTCACCAGCGCACATGTGTTCAAATTGCAGATCTAGGTGAACCCAGGAGCTTCCAGGGAACACTGGCCAGGGCTCTGAGATCCTTTCGGTAAACGGTTCCGAAGCTTGTCTGCCCCCAGGGAAGAGGAGGATGGCCTCCAAGAGCGTGTGGCTGCTCCTGCTGGTGGCTGGCACCGGCGCCCTGGGCGGTGAGTATCGGGCCCTCGGCTGGAACAGAGCCCACGGCCAGGGTTCGTGGCACTCACACGGCACAGCCAGATCCATTTGCCCCCAAAATATTTAGGCACTTCAGGAAATAGATGCTAAAGGCAAAAACGAAAGACAAGGTGATGTGGTAAATAAAAATAAATGCCAGGAATTTAGAATCAAGAATTCCAACCTTGTACGATTGTGAGCCATAGTCAACTCATCAACGACATGTAGATTATAACAATTATTTTGCAAGTTTGTGAAGGGTAGAGATATGTGTTTAAAACACCTGATACCTCGCTATCAGTAAATGAGGGCTATACTCAGAACTGCCAACGTTTATGCCTTGCTTTCCTACTTGACCAGATGGGGAGTTTGGGTTGGAAAGATGGATCCTACACGGGTAACAACCGAGCATCAAGTATAAAGTAACATGTCAACAAAGCGGAGGGTAGTACCCTAGAATCCACCAGTGCAGAAAACGGGAAGAGTGAGCTAAAGATAAGTCTCAACAAATATCTGAAATGAAAGGAACTGCAATGTAGGCTCCATTGTTCTATTGATGAGGAAAATGCGGTCCCAAGAGGGGTAGAGACATGCCTGAGGTCTCTCAGTAAGGTTAGGGGGTGCTCTGGCTCAGTCCTGGGTGCTCCCGCCATTCCCTATGGCCCTGCTGGGCATTGTATGTGGGGGGGGGGGTAAGTGAGGAAACCATGCCCCCCACCCACTTCTGTTGAGAAAAGGGCCTCTTGTATACAACCCGGCTCTTCACCCAGAGGGGACAACTTTGACTGGAGCGGGGATTGGAAGGAAACACAGAGAGAAGCAAGGCTCTTTGGCATCATGTTGGTGGCCATGGCTGATGTCTGTGGTCCAGCCACCAGCTGTCCCAACCACCCATGGCTGCTCAGGACCCGGGGCACTCAGACACCGCTGAACTGTGCCAGGATGTGTAAGACTCAGAGGTCCCTGCTGCAGAGCCGCCTCCCATGCCATTTCTAACCAACTAACCAGTAGTTCCTGTTGCTCTGGCTCTGGCTTCCCTGAGGCAGCTTGAAATTTGCCCACACTCTATGCTGGAACGTGAGAAACAAGCCCCCACTCGAGGGTTCACTGAACCTCTCTGGTTCCTTCCTTAGAGAAGGTAAAGGCAGAACACTCACCCCCGGCCCATCCATTCCTTTTTTACAGCTCTCCCTCCCAGCCGTACAAAAACTTTCTCCTGATTCTACTGTCTTAGGGGAAGGGGGTTCTCACAACACATCCTGTTATTCTTTGCATTATGGCTTGTGGAAGGAGTCTAAGCTTGCATTTAAGGGGAGTGTGGGAATGAGAAGGGCATTTTCTCTCTCAGGGAGACTTGATGGTCAAGAGCAGGGGTCCTCAAACTTTTTAAACAGGGGGCCAGTTCACTGTCCCTCAGACCGTTGGAGGGCCGGACTATAGTTTAAAAAAAAACTATGAACAAATTCCTATGCACACTGCACATATCTTATTTTGAAGTAAAAAAACAAAACGGGAACAAATACAATATTTGTATTTGCCGCGGGCCGTAGTTTGAGGACCCCTGGTCAAGAGCATCACCCTGTGGCCTCAGCAGTGATTTCTTTGTCCCGGCCCTCAGCTGCCTTTCACCTGAAACAATTCACTCAACAAGTAGGGAGACAAAAAAGAAGCATGACCGGTGGACAATGAAAGACTTCCATCCAGTGACCATTTTCAAAAGGATGACACTGGTTATGATGATAACATGATTGATTTTAATAGCTGCAATTACTTAAGTAGCTACTATTTACTGAATAATTACTACATACCAGCTCTATGCTAATCGCTGTCCATGCAGCATCTCCTTGAATCCTCCCAACAATCTAATGAGAAAGGTACATATTGTCAGTCATTGTGCAAACACTACGCTAAAGCTAAGAGAGGTCACAGAGAGCTCCCGAGGCCACAGCTCGCAGCGGTGGAGTAAACAGGCTGTTGCATCCAGGCGACACGCCAGCGGCTGAAGGCTCTCGCCACGCACGTGGTGACCAGGAGCTCTGGCACCAGGAGAGGTGGGGCTGGGGGCCGGGGCTGCTAGGAACACTCGCCCTAGCCCAGGTCCCACCTCATCTCCATCTGAGTGACGTCAACAGGCCACTTCACCTCTTTGAGGTTTTATCTGTACAGTGGGGATGGACATCTCCCTCTCGGAAGGTCTGGTGATTGAAGAAGGCAATCTGAACGGTTCAGGGACGCAGCCCATTGACCAATCGCCCAACAGGGAGAGTTTGCCGCACTGGGCCACGCTTCCTTGGCTCCTGGGCCCAATCCTCCTCTCTCCCCTTTCTCCCACGCCTGCTTGATGGACACCCTACCCTTCCTTGCCCATTCCTGCCTCCACTCCTCTGCTCACCCACCCCCTTTGCCTAACGTGGCCTCTCTCCGGGCTACTGTCTCACAGCCCAGCTCATCTCAGTTTTCAGCCCAGCTGCCACTAGCCTGTCCTATGTCTTCCTGGACAAAAAGCCACTCCCTCCTTGTCATGCCTGAAGCTACCAATGCGAGCCCTCGCTCTCTCCTGGGGTGCCTCAACATATAGCTATTGGATCTCAGTACCAATGTGGGGGTTCCACCCGATGCATTTGTTGATGGGAATTAGCCATCAGATGGGGTGGGGACCCACGGGGCCCAGGGTGAGAGGGACCTGAGCCAAACTCCACTGGTCACCTGACTCCATCGCCCCTCCGCTGGCTGGTGGAGCACAGCGACACTTTGGTTCTCCTGGAATTAGTGTCGGTTCAGAGTCAGCGTCCAGTAATCCTCCAAGGATCCGATTTGTCCTTTTCCCCAGTGCACAGCCATCCCGGTAAGAGGCCGTCGTCCCCTTGGGGAAAGGCTGGGAGGATTCACAGTCTAGAGCAGTGGTTCTCAACCTTCTGGCCCTTTAAATACAGCTCCTCATGTTGTGACCCAACCATAAAATTATTTTCGTTGCTACTTCATAACTGTAATGTTGCTACTGTTATGAATCGTAATGTAAATATCTGATATGCAGGATGGTCTTAGGCGACCCCTGTGAAAGGGTCGTTCGACCGCCAAAGGGGTTGCGACCCACAGGTTGAGAACCGCTGGTCTAGAGTATTCGCAGCCTTGGAGGGTCCGAGCCTCCCTTCCATTCCAGGGACACCAGGTCTGTAACGGGATCGAGGGGAAATGGATGGCTTTTGCCCTCAGAACTTGTCAGTGCCTTGTGCTTGCGTGCAGACATCCTCATGAGGCCCAGCTGTGCTACCGGGTGGTTTTACCACAAGTCCTATTGCTACGGATACTTCCGGAAGCTGAGGAATTGGTCCGACGCTGAGGTAAGACATGCTTGTCCAAAGCCGGGGGCCACCCTGGGCTCCAGACCTCCTTTGACTCCGAATCAAGGGTCCTTGCTGGGCATCCCGAGAAGTCACCTGGCTGGTGACATGGAGAGAAGAGGGCTGTGTGCTCAACTCAGCCCATGTTTCAAGCATTGATGGAGCGGGCGCTCTCTGCCCAGAACCTCAGTGGGCTGCGAAGATGTGAGAATGAACAGGACACAGCCCCTGCCCTCCGAGAGTTCACTGTCAGTAAGAGAGACAGAACTGTGTGAGTCAGAGGAGGAAGAGAAGCTGAGAAGTTACAGAAAGAGCAATTGCATTGCAGTAGGAGAGCTGCCAGGAAGAGCCGGGGTGTGGCCAGGCCTGGAGCTCAGGCCTCAGACCCTGACAGACCGTGAGGCAGAGGATGGAGAGCTTAGTGGTCCTCACGGTCTGACAAATACATCAGCTCAGTTCAAACCCCTTGTTTAACATCAGTTCATTCACATCACCTCACTTTACCAGTTTTCTTGCTATAAAATGGAGGTAACGCGTTGACCCCCGGGGGCTGTCAGGGGGACTTATTAAAGCAAGTTGCCAAAAGCCGGTGGCACATGGTAGATACTCAGTTCAGGTTTTCAAGGCAAAAAAACGAGTCCACAGGATCGAGACCGAGCCTTGGCAGTTAGCACCAGAGGCCAGAGGAGGCTCTGGACGCCGTGGTCCCTGCTGTTCTTGGCTCCCTGCCAGTGCTGATGGCCAATCTTAGTGCCCGAGGCTTCTGGAAGCCATCCAGGGGACAGACGCGGAGAATGACAGGGAGAGCCCATCTCGGCTGCAGAGGCGGAGGGAGGTCTGAGTCCTGTTCCAGCTTCGCCACCACCAGCTGTGTGAGCTCGGAGGGAAAATATCGCTTAAACACTCCCAGCCCGTTTCCTCTCTGCCCCAGGAAGTTCTGTGCCTGGTGCACCCACTACATGTTGGACTGGTAATCTGGCCTCCATGCCTCACACATTTGAAAGTCAAGTGCAACTCCCAGTAAAAAAGCAGTTAGGAGCTGTAGAGTGGGTGGCGAGTGTGAGGACTGAGTTATCATTACACAGGGACCACACCTCATCCCAAGCAAGAGCCTAAAGGCAAGCACTGGAGTAGCAACCACAGCCAATCCATGTTTTTATTACATTAAAGTTCTATCCCGTAGGCAGATCCCGTAACACAAACCCCCAGAAGCGTAAAATAAAGTGTATATCTCGTCTATCGATAAAATGCGTATAAAGTGTTTGCTTTGTTTCATTGGACAGTAAGTTTCAGGTTGGAGAACAGCACATTTTATCATCAGTGGTTTCTTAGATTTGTTTGGGAGGTAGTATTATAAAACATAATTATGACAAACGTGTCCTCCTGACAACTCCCTGGGTCGCGGTAATCATTTTCTCTGTTTCCAGATAATGAAACTAAGTGAGCTCAGAGAGGTGCAGTGACTTGTCCAGGTCACATGCACTAATGAGAGGCAAGACCAGGACCCCAGGCACTTCCACGGACCCTACAGCCCGGGCCCCTGCCTGGAGCTGCCTCGTCCTCTGAGACCCGCACTTGTTCCCTCCCTCGGTGACAGGAAGGCCAGGACGCCTTCTGTGGGGTTTAGATGACGACTTCCAGAGGCGGTGGGGTTGTGAGAGTCCCCACTGCATGGCACAGGCGAGGGCCGTGCTTTTAAACCTCGAGGCATCACCGCGACTTCTCCTTGCCCACAGCTCGAGTGTCAGTCCTTTGGGAACGGAGCCCACCTGGCGTCTATACAGAACCTCCAGGAAGCCAAAGCCATCTCTGGGTACATAGGTGGCTACCAAAGGAACCTGCCCGTGTGGATTGGCCTGCACGACCCGCAGAAGGTAAGCTCGGACGTGGCCCACAGAGGCCCCGTGTGAAAGCCAGAGAGCTAGCCCCTCTCTGGAACTGACCGCCAGGCCCCCTGGCAGGGGGCACACAGAGTAGAGCTTACACGTGCCTCCAACTGAGAGGGGCCAAAGCCTCCAGGTCAGGGTCCAGTTCCAAGTAAAGTCCTCCCCAATCTTAGAACGCAAAATTACCAGCTTTTCAAAAAAAAAAAATGTGCAAACACACACACACACACATACACACACCTGGTATGGCACCCCGCTTAATTAAATCTCCATTGGATCTTGGCTTAAAGTTGGAAACTTTTAGCTAAGCTTTCTCCTAGATGCCATTACGTTTTTTAAATTTTATTGAGGAGAGAGAGATTTGTTGTTCCACTTATCTGTGCATTCATTGGTTGTGTCTTGCACATTCCCTGACCGGAGATGGTACTGACCCCCTTGGCGTACCAGAACAGTGCTCTAGCCAACTGAGCTACTGTCTAGAGCCGATGCTCTTATGTTTTTGATGATTCCTTAACCTTTTGCACTAGACCCTCATTTTCCTCTCCGTCAACACCTCATTGTAAGGAGCGGCCTGTGAGGTCTTCGGGTGGAGGTCTCTGTGGGATCTGCCGTGAGCAGGTTCTTCGTGGGGCGTCTATAGTCAACCCAGACAAACGTAAGGAACACGGGAGCGAACACCCAGACAGTTCCTTGATAAAACTTTCCCACCAACGTTACACATATTCTTTACAATCCATTTTCCATTTTTATGTATTCACACTGCTACCAACCAGAGCTCTCATCCAGAGGTAAAATATTTACATCTATTTCCACCAGGTAGGTTTTGTCATTCATTTTTATACATTTGTGACTAAAGAAAGGAAGTGGCGAATGAACGTTCTAGAAAGTATGTGATGTCTCTAGTTATCAAAAAAATGCATAATAAAGGGACATAACTTGGCTTATTGTTCTATCAAACTTTTGTTTTGTCTTAATCAATAATATTTTTTTCAATATTTTAAAGGATATGCCTAATTGCCCACTGGATGGGGATGTAAATTCCTCCAAATGAATCATTTTGGACAGGAGTTGGCCATGAATATCAATCCCCTCAAACGATTCATGCCCTTTGGCCATTCATTCTATTTCTGGGATTCTATTCCAAGAAAATAATTTTAAGTATAGAGACAGCTTTATGAACAAAGTTATAGCAGTATTATTTGTAATAATTGTAAATTGAAAACAATATAAACTTCAATCATTAGGGGAATTATTCAGGTAAATTATGGTACAGACTTACCATTAAAAAATGTTTCGGAAGCAAGATACAGAGTTGGGTATATATTTTAAAGATCACCCTGTTTTTTAGTTCACAGGCATATTGTGATAGATAAAAATGTTTACACCAGAAATGAATTACTAAGAGATGAGTAATGTTTACAGAAAGACTTTCAATGTTTCCTTTTTCACACATTCCTGTGCTTTCCCACGTTTTAAAATAAAAACTGCATTTTTCACCCAGCCAGGTGGCTCAGTGGTTGAGTGTTGACCTATGAACCAGGAGGTCACTGGTTTGATTCTGGTCAAGGGCACATGCCTGGGTTGCAGGCTCGATCCCCAGTGGGGGACGTGCAGGAGGCAGCCGATGAATGATTCTCTCTCATCATTGATGTTTTATACCTCTCTCTCCTTCTCCCTTCCTCTCTGAAATCAATACAAATATATTTAAAACTAAAAACAAGAAACAACAACTGCATTTTAGCGGGGCCCGAGGGCTGCACCTGGGCTGTGAGAGGTGGGGTGACCTCTGCATGCCCTCTGTCTCCTGTCACCCGCAGAGGCAGCAGTGGCGGTGGATCGACGGGACCTCGTATTTATTCAAAACCTGGTCCGGCAGGTCCATGGCTGGAAACAAGCACTGTGCTGAGATGAACGCCCACAGTGAGTTCTAAGGCTTCGCCCTCCCCTCCCCCTTAACTCTGGTTCCAAGCAAAGCAGCCAGAAAATGCTGCTCAGCTCAGCACGGAGCCGCACGAATTGACATGGCTGTTCATTCTCTTACAGACTTTCTAACTTGGAACAACAAGGAATGCGACAAGCGCCAGCACTTCCTCTGCAAGTACCGGCCGTAGAGCAGGAATCGGGGTCCCTCACCCCGGCCCAAACCCCTCCCCCCTTCTTGCCCTGCCACGGTGTCTATGTCCAATCATTGCCTCAGGAAGTAAACGTGGTAACCAAGCTGGTGAGGTTCTTATTGCACTGCTTTTATCGGGTTAGAGGCAGAGCCCTCAACATCGATACAACAACGGCTTCTAGCTCTAAATGCTCACCCCACAATCGCTGTCCATTACACTCGTCTTTCCTCCTCCCCACCTCCACGTGTCTCGTGCAGACTAGGGGTGCACATCCCTCCTGATGAAAGAGCTGGGTGTCTGGCCACCAGGGAGACAGGTTTGAAGACGGGAGGAACCGCTAGTGAGCTTTGGGTCACAACTGACAGCCGGACTGTCTCAAGCAAAAAAGAAAAAGTATTGGTTATGTCACTCCACCGTCCACAGGCAGATCTGGGCTTCAGGCATCGCTTGACCAAGGGCTCCACAAAGCCCCCAGGATGGGGCTTTCTCTCCGTACCCTTTGACCTTGTTTTGCTGAGAATAAACTTTTATTATTCCACCCCATCTAGTTGCATGGTTGGCTACAGCAGCTCCGACCCTCACCTTGTCAGGAAAGAGAGCCACAGCCCTCAAACAAAAGCCTCCAAATTACAGCCTCTTTGGCCAAGAATCTCGAGTCACATGCTCCCTCTTAACCAATCACTATGGCCAGAAGGAGGGAATGGGATGGTTAACTTCGCTCAGGTGTATCGCAGGTAGCTCCCTGGAGCCCAGGGGTGTAGTCTGCTTCCCACAAAGGCCTCTGCTGCAGAGATATGGTTCCTGTGTAGGAGGCATGCCCCTCTGGGAAGGCACAGCCCATGGGCCGCAGGACCAGAGCGGGCTGCCCCCTTAGCTGTGTACTTGGGGCAGTGCACCTGCTCACGGCCCTCCTGTGGCCCTGCTGGCTGAGAGCAGGTGAGGTGTTCTCCGCCTGGGGGCCAGGGGCCATCCTTTGGGGAGCTCTGTCCTGAGGCCCCACAGCAGGACTTTAGACTCAAGTGTCTGAACCGAGACTGGAGAGGCACCTGATGCCAAAAAGAAAGCAACCAGGTAGATACTGTTTCCCCAAGGTGTGCTCACGGGCATAAAACTCCAGCCACCGCCTAAGGCAGTTTGTTATACTGGAAAGAGCAAAAGGCTTTGGAATTAGGCCTCTCTGACTACCTCCAACTGGCTGTAGGAGGTGGAGCCTGACATCTCTGAGACCCTGTCTTTTTTCTCGGGAATCTAAGGGCTAAATTGGTGGAAACAGGTAGAGTTTGGAATGGGGCCTGACATACGTGCTTAACAAATGCAGCTGTCCTCTCTGAGAGTCACACGAGCTGCCATAATAGCTGCTTACGACCGTGACACAAGCTGACACCCTCCACTGAGGGGTAGGAGGACAGCAGCACAGGAGAAACCTGGGCTCCAGGGAACTCTGTGCATGTGTCTGCTGGCCCGTGCGGGAGCCCACGGGAGGCAATACCGACAGGATGGTGAGGGAGGTGCGTGCCAAGCTCTAATTCAAAAATCTAGCACACGTTTCCATCAGACTTACTCCATGTGAAGGCATCATAGTCACTGCATGGATGAAGGCAAAGGAGAGTAAGCTGAGGGCATAAAGATTAAGCCAGAAATCACACAGATGAAAATCTTTGTGATCTTGGGTTAGATGTCTTAGGACACAAAAAGCCAAAACCACAGAAGAAAAAAAATCATAAATTATCGTCAACATTAAAAGCGTTTGCTCTTAAAATATACTGTTGAAAAGCTAAAAGACGTGTCATGAAATGGGAGAAAAATATTTGTACAGCACAGATCTGAGAAAGGACTTGCAATTCACTCAGAAGGCAACTTGATTATTTTTTAAATGGGCAAAAGAAGTGGACAGACACTTCACCAAAAAATACACATGAATAGCCAATAAGCACATGAGTAGATATTCAACCTCACTAGTCATGAGAGCACTGCTAATTAAAACCAAATGTGGTTATCCCAGGAATGCAGGATTCAACACAAGAAAATCCACCAATCCGTGTACTATGTCATATTAATAGCATGAAGGAAAACGCTCACATGGTTATCTCAGTTGGCTTTGTTTTAAGCATTCGGCAAAGTCTAGCTTCCTTTTATAATTAAAAACAAGCTCAGAGCCCTGGCTGGCGGGGCTCAGTTGGTTGAGCGCCATCCTGTGCACCGAAGATCTCCGGTTCATTTTTCTGACCCTGTTTACTCTGTAGGATTATTACCTGACTTTTCCTCTAGTCTAGATCCTCCTGCCTGTAACCAAACACAACAAGAGGACATTTATTCTGCCTCTGCTCTGAGCCACAAGCCAGACTATTGCACTTCACCTGCAGGCATGATGATGGTAGTGTGATGACCTAATCTTGAAGCTAGCGAAATTGCAAGCTGCCAAGTTCCTTCCTTTAAAAAAAAGTTTATATATTTCAGAGAAGAAGGGGGAGAGAGAGAGAAACATCAATGATGAGAGAGAATCATTAATCAGCTGCCTCCTGTACACCCCAAACTGGGGATTGAGTCCACAATCCAGGCATGTGCCCTGACCAGGAATCGAACCATGACCTCCTGGTTCATAGATCAACGCTCAACCACCGAGCCACGCCAGCCGGACCCAAGTTCCTTCCTTAACAGCCCAATGATTATTTTTCTTATCTCATGAAAGGCTGGCAGCATTCACACAGCAGACCCTCCCTTGATTTCCCAGGCCCAGCTAGTGCGCACCAAATGCGAGGCAGGGGTCCTGTGTAGAGGACATGGCTTGTGGGCAGTGGGAGGAAGCGTGAGGAAATCAGGTCCTCTTCAGCCTGTAGATGCCGGTTCATTTCCTCACGCCCTCCCCAGTGCACAGCGTTCATTCATTGAACACTTACCATGTTCAAGGCACCGTGCTCAGTGCCTGACATGCACTATCCCACTTCACCACCACCATAATCCAATGATACTCTAAGTGAAGAAATGGATTCTAAGAAATTCCAAACGATTAGTTCAGTGCATCCAGGTAGGCTATGGCTGACTCCAAAGTCTATGTTAATGCCACTGTACTACAAGTTGTGTAGCTATGGATATAAAATTTACATTTCTGCCAGAACCGGTTTGGCTCAGTGGATAGAGTGTCGGCCTGTGGACTCAAGGGTCCCGGGTTCGATTCCGGTCAAGGGCATGTGCCTTGGTTGCGGGCACATCCCCAGTGGGGGGCGTGCAGGAGGAGGCTGATTGATGTTTCTCTCTCTCTCATTGGTGTTTCTAGCTCTCTATCCCTCTCCCTTCCTCTCTCTAGAAAATCAATAAAACATATTTTTTAAAAAAATTTACATTTCTATCATTATATAGTCTTCCACTCCAGCTCCCTCCCTCACCCCACCTTGACAACCGTTCCTGGTTGCAGCTGTGTTTTGTAAGATGCAGGAGGTATGCATGTTATTAAACTGGTTTGCGTTTCTCTTGTTCATCTGTCTTTTATTATAAGGAGGACTCAGCCGAGGACCTAGAAGGTAAAGGGAAAATCATTTTTCCTCTCCTCGTTTCTTAGTAGTGCCTTCCAGTACGAATTCTTCCTTTCCTTTCTTAGACACACAGCATGGTTATTTTAAATTCTGGGTCTGTCTGTTTCCAGAAATTCTGTTTCCTATGGTATGTGTCCTTCAGTGTGCTGTCTTCCTTTACAGTCTTCAGAGTATTGTGATTTTGGCGCCTGCCATCTTGTTCTCTGGGCAATGGCCACTCTCTGGTGCTGTGTGTTGGGTAAGCGCTGAAGGCCGGGCCCTGGTAGGTGTGTATTTCAGGGGAGGGCCCTCAGGGAGAGCCCCAGACATTGCCTAACCCCCTGTGGACCATCCGTGTTTGCTGCCACGTCACCAGGAGACACCCCTGACCACGGCTTCACATTTAAACCGCTAGGAAACCATGGCACCGGGAGAATATTGCTGGGCCATCCATCTGGGGGGTTGAGAATGGAGGTTTGTTACAGGGATCGTCAGAGTGTGATTGGTCAATCTGCAAGTCTGTGCATGCACTGGGCACCAGGGTAGGGCTTTTACAATGTCCCTCCTCCCTCTGCCCCCTCCAGCCATCCTCCACCCCAGGCTCCACCCCGCTTCCAGCCTCATCCCTGCCTCTGTCCCATCCCTGTCTAGGGTATCCTTCAGACTCCTCAGGGATTTCTCACAGCTTTTAAAACAAAAAATGCTTCCAATTCATGCTTTACTTTTTTTTTTTTTCTGGTGCTTTCTGGGTTGATTTGGGAAGAAGCATTCAAACAGCCCTAGTGCCAAGTAAAAAAAAAAAAAGGGTTTGACATGATAAAAATGCTATGCAAATTCTAAGGATGCCCATTATCAACAAAATTCTGAGACCTCCAACAAAGCAGAGGCGGTTGCTTATGTAAATTGTTTGCTTTGTGGCTTATTATTTGTTATTGACATAAGAAGACTGCGAGCACAGAATGTTTTTCCAACTGTTTCAGTGTGTGCGAAGGTGAAAGCTGACAATGAATGCCAGGGGAGGGGTGACAGGTGGTGCCAGGGTTTGCTCCTTGAGAATCACAGGCGACCGTTGCCACACTGCGTCTTCCCCGTGCAAACACTGAACCCTCCCTCCGGGAGGCTGCTAGCTTTGTTCCCTGCATGACATCGTAGACGCAAGGCCACACCTGGAATGGTGACAATGGAGAGACAGCAAAACACCCGGTCAAGTGCTCAGTGTTGTTCTTCTGAGAAATTCCATCAGACTCCACACCCTTTCCCCTACTTTTCTCAGGACCTTTCACTTAATTAGATAACAATCTATTACCTATAAGCCTCAGACGCCTCCCTCACAAAACTGTGGGTCTGAATGTCACCCCAGGCAATCAGAAAAGGCAAGTCCTGCCAAGGAAGAGATTGGTTAACCACTAACCAAACCCCGGCACTGTCTGCTCTTCCCTCCCACAGCAGAATCTGCAAGTGAGCGCAGGAAAGAGCCGGATAGGGAGGTGCAGCGGTGAGAGCCCGGCCTGCTGAGGGGCCCCAGATGTGTGGTGGCCAATGCAGAGCGAATCAGTCACTACATGTTGTGTTTTTCTTCAGCCACGTTGAGCGGC